CAGTAAATGTCTGATTGCTAATTACACTGCACACAGCTAATGAAATCACAGAGCCTGTATATATTAGAAAGCAAATATATATATATATACAGCATTTTTAAATATATGTAACGATCACCAAAGTCCATTGCTAATTTGTCTGCTATGTGCATGGGTTTGAGACCAAGCCAACTTATTCCCCTCTTAGTTCCTCCACAGTTCCACAATTCGCTGCTATGTTCACAGTGACAATGACAATTTTACTTCAGTTCTGACAGTTTTGTGTTTCCTGGGAAACTAACTGACCATCCAACTAATCAACAAACAAACTGCATATGGAGAAGCCACCTGTCACTCAGTTACTCAAGAATTTCTCAACACTTTATGAAGCCTGAAAGTTCATTATCATGTTCATAAGATCATCCCTATCCTCAGCCAGATCAAACCAGCCCAGACCACCCTGTCCCATCTCCTTTAAGATTCATTTTAATATTATCCTCCCACTTACATGTAAGTATTCCTAACGGTCTCTTTCCTTCTGGCTTTCCCACCAAACCCCTGTATGCATTTCTCTTCTCTCACATGCATGCTACATGCCCTGCCCACCTCATTCTCCTTGACTTGATCATTCTAATTATACTTGGAGAAGAGTAAAAGTTATGAAGCTCCTCATGCAGTTTTCTCCAGCCTCCTCTCACTTCATCTCTCTTTGGTGCAAATATTCTCTAGAGCGCTGTGTTCGCAAACCAGACACTCTCAGTCTGTCCTCTTTCCTTAATCTCAGAGACCAAGTTTCACACCCATACAGAACTACAACAGTTCAAATGTGTCCTGTTATGTTACTTCTATAATCTGACACACACAATTTACTACTGCCTATTCTGAGTCTAGTCTGATGCAACCAATTGCTTTTGTTGCTCCTGAGGTTCTCATGGCAATCACTCTTTTGGGCTGTAACACACTGAAAGACACTTCAGCTGATTGCAAATTTGCCACACAATCATACCCAATTCTGGGACCAAGTAAACACAATACATACTGTAACAGATTTGATTAATGCGTTGCCAGGCAACAGCTCTGTAAACACAGTCCAACACACAATAATAGAGGAAACCGTTTTTCTGTTCTTGTGATGATGTCACACAACAGCGGACAGAGACCATGTGACGAGTTTCCTGTAGATCCGACCAACGAACCAATACACTGGCTGGAGAGCGATCACGTGACATGTGTTTACTGTAGGTCCATGTCCGTTCCACAGCTATGTAAGTAAGTGACAGAATTCGTTCAGGGCAGTTACGAGTTACAAGTCAGCCGTAAGCTGGAGGAGTGAGTCCAGAAGAATTTTTAGTTCCGAGGTTCCTGAGTGACTGCAGATGAAATGGCAAGACTTCATAGTAATTTGGAGCGCATATTTCTGTGTTGAGATCCACCACTAGAAGACTGGTGGAAACTGAGAATGCCAGTGCGTGTGCAACAGTGGACTGGAAGTGTAGTACATGCCATAGCTCAAGTGGTTAGTCACTGGCTTCCCACCGCGGCGGTCTGGGTTCGATCCCGGGTCTGGTGAAGTGGGATTTGTGGTGGACAAAGTGGCGCTGGGGCAGGTTTCCTCCGAGTACTTAGGTTTCCCCTGCCAATCTTCATTCCACCAATTGCTCCACAATCACCCTCACCTATCATCTGGGGCTGGTACAATAGGCCAGAAGTGGGGGCAGTACAGGGGACTTAGTCCCACCCCCTTAGCAATAAAAAAAAATACAGCTAGTGAATATTCAATAAACTGAATCATTGATCCAAACCTGCATTTGTAGTCACCCATACACATGACAATATTGTCATACTGCATGTCATGTGCGCACACATGCGCCCGTACACACACACACACACACACACATATATTCTTCCATACAAAAGGCTAATGCTTGCTACTCTATCATTATGTATGTCAGCAAGTAGTTACAGATAGCAGAAGAAGATGGCAGCAGTAAATATCAGCGGTAGTTGGTATGCTTCATTCCATATGGCAATGTCCATTTTTGCCCCCCAACTGCATAATGGGATAAAGTGGCCAGAGTGTCATGCTGACCACTCACCTCCATTTTGTGCAGAGGTCTAGAATGGAGGAGCTAAACCTCCACTCCCCCATGTCTTCATGGCATGGTGCTTAATTAATGAAGCATAGAGACAACATTACTGGGGTTTTTACAGAGCTTTTTTATAGGTAAGTGTGTTAGAGTGCACAGAAATTGTTTTATCAATGGACTTCATGCTCCAAATTGAAAGATGATGTTGAGAATAGCAATAATTTTGTGTGAACCTTCAAGGAAGTTTCTCCTACTGTGAATATAACCTCCTCCCACACAAGTATCTATGCACAGATATGCTTGAACAAAAGTAACAACCACTCCCATTATTTTTTGAACAGTGTAAATAATGGTATTACAGCAAACCCTTGTTTTATCCTGTCATACATTACTTTGAGGTAACATAACTGAACGTGTATTTGCTGCTATTTAGACAAAAGTTATGGCTCACTGCAATCATGTATTAAGAAACTATGATCAAGCCCTGACTTCTCTGCAACACTATCTACTGTGAAGCTTTCCATATATGATGTCATTTCAGACACAACCATCTCCGCTCATCCTGCACGGGGAACTTTAAAGTGTACAAATAAAAATGTATATCATCTGGCATCCTCAATACAGAAACCAGCAGCAGACTCCAATGAACAGAATTCCATACAAAGTGGGGAATTTCCCTACTGTCTAAGCAACTACTAGTTTCACAATATGGACTCTGCTCCTTGAAGTTCGTTAATTAATGTCAAAATCACTACAGCCATTTTATGACTTATGTGATTTCAGTTGAAGATGACTGAAGAAAGCAGGCCACTTCTTAATCTACACCACTTTAGTTCTGAATTCAATGTAATCACATGATCAGTAACCCACAACATGGCAGACAACTGTGTGATGTTAAGGCAACCCCCCACCCTGCATCTGAAGATGACGAGAGTAGTCCATGCAGAAGAATGTCAGTATGACTCAAATAAATGCACAGAACTTCTTTACTACCTTCATTTTTACCTTGCTTTTTTACCTATGTTTTACATAAATGAATACCCAAAACCCTTTTGGATGGCTTGGTCTGTGCACCAAATCCATTAACTTTCATTGATTATGGAAAGCTGGCTATCAATTCACATGCTTTTACACTGTGCCATGTTTTTTAGGAATGGATTTAATACATAAATTTCTGAATACATAAAATAATTGTTCAGCCCTGGAGTCCATGTTCTGTTCATTGCAGTTTGAAACATGCAGCCCAATTATTCTGTCACAGTACATTTAAAAAGTGATACGTTCAAACGTTTAAAGCAAAACAAAAGTTTACAAATGATGGAAAATAAAATTTTACATTTCAAGCAACCACCTTGACTTATAAGTATCAACAGAGAACATTCTTTAAATTTACAGGATCTGGTATCTTCAAATGCATAGTCTCTCTCTGCCTGTTCCCAATAATCCTGCACTTGACAAGGAAGTTCAGTGCAAAAGCACTCAGCATCAGTACTCATCAAATATGAAATAAAGAATAACAAACTAAACACAATAAATAAATACATCAAAGAAAACAAAACTTGCTTGAAGATGGGGTTCTCACAGCAGTGACAATGAAAGTTACTCTTTTCTGGGATGTGATGATATGTAATCCAGTATCTTCCAGGATACACACTCAGTTCAGTCTTCAACGCTGAAGACGGGGCAGTACGTTCCTCCAAAACAATGATGAATGTCTGCCAGATGACAGTAATCTTGAAGAAATAAGCTTGTCTATTATCTTGGACAATGTCCATCACCTTGAATCTTAAAACACATTTCGGAAACTGGATTATTTCGATCATACACCGCACGGGAAGGAAGATTCCTGCTTGCCTGGCCCATCAGAAGGGGCTAATATCAATCACTGGACACCAAAAGAAGTTCTGTTTTTGAAGTCTGCCTGCACTACAGAACAGGGTATGTTAAACCTTGTGCAGGCAATCTTACAGAGGAAAAGACTAACTTCCCACTCTTGTATGACTACTAAAACTATCCTGAAAATAGAATCTAGTAACTCCTTGATAATGCTGTTAATAGGCTATGTAATTAACTAACAGCATAAGTCCTCATTCTTATAGCACATGCAAAACATCCGCTTAAGATAACGAACATCGAGAGAATATGTACCCTGCTCAGAGCTTTTTTCGCTGTCCAAGAACCAAGACTATCTATGCCAAACAGATCCACCCAGCTAGGAACCTCTCCTCCCTTTCACCTGATGAAGGATCCTGAACTAGATCTGTTTCCATCCTCAGGTGAGGGAAAACACCTATTCTCTTGGGTCCCTTAGAAAGAGCTAGCCTCAATCACTGGTCCAGTGATGGAAACAGATCCAGTTTCCGAAACATCGTGTTTTTCTTAGTTATCTCAAAACCAGGACGATGGATAAAGTCCGAAAACCCAATATCTCTGTGTTATGCACCATTGTCAGAATCCTATAGAAACAAATCCAGTTCTTGAAACATGTTTGACAAATCTCAAGACAATGCACGCGATAACAGTCACGCCAACTTCAACACACTTCCGTCGGATACATTTAAGCTCAGCTTAAAGAAGAAATAGTTTGGTATGGACTGAAGAAGCAAGACATGAGAACAGATGCGGCCAAACTGCGGCTCGTGAATCCCATGCAGCTCTTCTGAACCATTACTGTGGGTCACAGACAAAATATCAGTCAATTCCTTTTTCAGGAATAGATTAATTATATCTGGTGTGTGCAAAGCATGTAGTTAAACATCTACACCAGCCAATCCTTGTCTGCAGCTCCAAACTTCTGAAAATTACCACATGCAGCTCCAGTGTTTGGTAATTGTGGCAACTGCTTCATTAAGATCCGACTGAAGGGTACAGAGACATGGGGAGTGAAAATAAATATACAATTTAGGGATGACCAGTGTTCACAGTGACACAAAGTTCTGCACAGAATTTACTGTCTTTATATACATCTGATCTGTACACCTTCCTTCCAACATATAGAACTGATGTGCTGACAATATGGACCGCAGATCCTGTCCCAGAGACAAACAAAAGTCTATTTAGTATGGAGGTGGCTGGTGGGAGTATGGGTGGTGCTGTTGGTTTGGCTGGTTGCCCCCCGCCTGCTGCTGCGACAGCTGTCGCTGAAGATGTGCCACCAGAGCCGGAGCCTGCTGGTTTGGTTGTTGTGCTGCAATCATCTGCTGCCTCATTCGCTGCTGCAACAAATGCACAACAATATACATTAACTCCCGGTGATCTGGTATGCAAGCATCCAGAATTCGCAAGCGACAAGTTATATATAGGTTATGGTTTCACCCAATCCAGTGAGTAATTGATTTATCCTGTCCTTGAAGAGGAGGTCCCATTTCAAAACAAGTAAATGTCTTTAAAAGAACACAAGTACAGTGATGGGTCCTGATGGTGCCCGAACCAGAAGGAATGTGGTGGCGAATGCCAGCACCAATTTACCTGACTGGCCGACCAGGTCCAGTAATGGTTGGGTTAGGCTGTGACCCACAGCTCACATTATTAGTCATTCACTTGCTTCTCACTGTGGAAGCCCAGCTTCAATTCCAGGTTGGCTGATGTGTGAGTTGTGTTGGACAATAGGACTGCTTTGGGTCCCAATAAGAAGGGACTCAGTCCCATCCCCAACTAATAATTGGTTTGCAATGTACAATCATTTCACAGTGGCTTAAAAGTGGTTATATGGGAATTTGAGATACTCAAAGCAGTGGCACTGTATCCACTGTCTAGCAAAAGTTTGCCACTGTTTTGGAGGAATGCCAGTACACTTGCACCAGACTGTACAGCAACAAATCTCAGAAGATGGTACTCTTCAAATGTACAGAATTCTATGAAATATTTAAGAAACCAATCAAATGCTTCCCAACTGTTGGTCTTCAATAGTGAGTTATCACATTCATGAGGGCTCAGACTCTTGTGTAGATTGATATGCTGTTTAAAAAGCCCAGAAGAAAACTATCACAGGGTTTAAATGTTTGTCACCTATAAAATTAAAATTCGCTTAGTGGGGGGTGGAGCCCAGCTGGGTCCACTTGGCACAGCGGCCACTGATTGGCCTATTGTACCTGCCCCAGGTGATTATGATGGAGGATTTGGTGGAATGAAGATTGGCAGGGAAAACCGAAGTACTCAGAGAAAACCCCACTTGACGAGACCCAGGATCAAGCCCAGGCCACCGCGGTGGGAAGCCAGTGACTAACTCCTTGAGCTATGGCGCGGCCTTGTCCCCTACAAATGAGACTTTACAGATTTCATCATACTAGAGGGAAGGCAGATACTGGGGCAGGACCTCAAATTTGCCCACAACTACTACCTCCACATCCTTTCAAATTCATTACTGATTAGTCCAAGTCACTGGAAGTGCCATTAAACAAATCACAAGTAAGTAAACCTAATCTATAATAAGCAGAGAAACGTGCGTGAGTGGTTAATGTTCCAAACTGACCTGCTGGAATTGCTGGTTTTGCTGCTGCTGCTGTTGGGCAGTGTGTGGTGGTGGGGGCCCCTGTGCGCCACTGGGGCCTCCTGCCCCTGCACGGCCATATGGAGGGGCTGGCTGTGGCTGCCCCTGTCCCTGCTGTCCCATAGGGCCACCCATTGCAGCCATTGTCACATTTGGAGCCTGCAAAATAACATAGACATTGGTTGAGGCACTATGCTACAAGCCAGAAGGTGGCAGGTTCAAGTCCCGATGAAGTCACTGGATTTCTTTTTTCAATTGACTTAATCCTTCCAGCTGCACTATGGCCCTGGGGTCAACTCAGCCCCTAACAGAAATGAGTACCAGGAATTAATTAAATAATTTTTCCTGGGGAGCAAAGCGTGGCTAGCGCAAAAGGCTGAAACCTTACCGCCATCTTTGAGCCGATTGTCTAGATAATGTGGGACCCTCAATGTCTCACAACCCTATGGGCCTTCACGGCATGTTACAGAGATAGCTTTATTTTTTACTTTTTTACTTTTACTAATCAGGGATGGGTTTCTCTATCAACTGTGCTCTGAAACTGGTTTCAGGAGAGATTGCTTTCTTGGAGAGGTGGCTTATATAGCAATGCTAACAGTACCTAGACCAGAGATGGGCAAAGGAACAGATTTCAGCATGCGTGTGTCTTGTCAAGCCCGAGACAGTTCACTGTAGCACTGCTGAAGTGCTGCCAATAAGTGCAAAATGGCAATATTCAGGCCATCAGTGTGACTTACACAGTTGGTGAGGGGGGGAGACACCTACTGAGTTGGGTCCCTTAAGAAGAGCTAACCTCAATCACTGGAATAGGTTCACTCTTTCTAAAGGACCCAACTGAGAAGGTGCCGCCCCCCCTCCCTCACCTGAGGATGGAAACAGATCCAGTTTCTGAAATGTCATGTTTTCTAGTTTGTAGAATTCCGGATGATGGAAAAAGTCCAAAATCCAGTAATGCTGAGTGTTATACACACTTGTCAGAACCTTTCAGAACCAACAACAAACCTTAACCAGTATAACCAGTATTCAACCAAGATTTGAACCAAGAACCATCTGAATAAAAGCCTACAGCAGTACCTCTTGTCCAACTTCTTTGGTGGGATGGTTTCTATAACGCCTGATTTTATTAGGGATTGGAAATGGCTGATGCTTTGGAATCAGTAGGAATGATCAGCACATATTGGACATTTTCCATTAGCCCTCTTTTTGGTTAGATACACACAATGTTTCAGAAGGTTCTGCGTCCATGATGAGGCAAAATAATGAAAATAACTCTGCGGTCTGCTAGACACAGGCAATCACTACTGGGAGGAATATGATGAGGAAGATGTGGTCAACCAGGACAAGAGGTAAGCAGGCAGATCCTGTCCCACCGCACAGTATTCTTAGATCTCACGTTTTACGCATGACAAACGCATTTCAATATTTACCTGTAGGTATGTAGGTCTTGCACCCTGTTGTACTGCCATGGCTCTCTGCTGGGCAGTCATACCACCCTGAGGGCCCATGTAATCCCCTGCTCCCCTAGGCTGTTGTGGGGCAATGGGTCCACCAGTGGTCATCATACCGGGAGGCTGCTGCTGCGAAACAAATCCTCCGCCCTGCTGTCCCGGAAACCCTCCCATCATTCCCTGTCCCGCTTGTCCCATGAGCTGCTGCTGTGACACCATCTGAGGTCCTGGCTGCCCTCCGTAACCAGCATAGCTCTGGTTCATTCCTACACAGCACACACTTACCAATCACAGGTGCTGAAACTTCAAAATAATGTACCTGCATCATCATTCATGGGTCCATTCCTATGGCAGCACGCACTGGTTGTAGTGAAGGCCAAGGCTCACCCAGGGCTGTAACGCCAAGTGGTAGGTAATGTGTCTGCATACTGATGGAGCCTTGTCGGGCACAACCTACATTCACGGGCTTTCGGTCTTCATGTAATAAGCACTCTCCAGTAACGTAAGCCCCCCATAAGTATATAACAAATTAGAAAATGTATATACAGCGCAACAATTCTGGGAAGTTCTTTCCTTTCCTTCTCTCAAAACCGTAAGATTTATGGGAAAAAGTACAGGACAAAAAATGTGTTTCGTTTTCCTCTACAAATTTTAGTTCAAAATGCTTTTCATTGCTATAAATATTCAGTGACTTGCAGTGAGCATACAAAAACACACGTCTTCACACAAAGTGCCCACTATTGTTGACCAATCTTAGTGAAAGCCCCCTGTACCAAACTGCATGCAAATCTGTGCATCATTTCTCAAGTTGTTACATGTGGACAGGCAGACATGGAGTGATAGGAATAGTTTTGCAAAACTTTTCCTTGTAAATACACCCAAAACGAACCCCCACAACATAACTCATCCCATAACTCAGTCACCATGCCACAACATGATGGTAACGATGTCTTTCTATGTCAAGCAGAACTTGACTGCTCTCAGCAACTATACTTCTTTGAAAATACTTAATTGGCTGTGTGTTGCATTGCTGCAACGAGCCATCACACGATTTGGCGAGACATGATTTGTGCTCTTTCAATGTTAATATTGTTACCCCAGTGAAAATCTGGCACCAGACTCACAGTACTGAAAGATGTAAATGCATGACATGTAAATAAATGAAATGAAAATGAAAATGAAATATGACATCCCCTGTTCCTGGTAGGTAAACTGCAACCAGCGTAACAAAGAAACTTAACCCGCAGACGCTCGTCTACAACTGCAGAAATCATTATGCATGCCGTCACTACATCCTTCTCTTTTCATGGCCTTTTAATTTAGTTTAAGTGGTTTTAACTGCTTAGCTTTAATACTCAGTGTAGGGCTGACAACCTCACTGCCATCTGTGAGCTGACTGTCTAGAAAATGTGGAGGTCTCAACATTTCACAACCCATGGGCCTCCACAGCCTGTTACAGGGATAGCTTTACCTTTTAAAAGAGGCATGCAGTAATGTAGTTAGTTGAGGCAGTGTGCTACAAGCCAGAAAGTCATGGGTTTGATTCCCCACGAGGTCATTCGATTTTTCAACTGGCCTAACTCTTCCAGCTGCATTCTGGCCCTGGAATCAACTCAACCTCTAAGAGAAACGAGTACCAGGAATAATCCTGGGGGATAAAGGGTGGCCAGCATATAAAGTTGACAAACTCACTGCCATCAGTGAGCTGACTGTCTAGAAAATGTGGTAGCTTCGACATCTTGCCATGGGCCACCAAGGCCTGTTACTATTACCCTCTTTACTGATAGTGCAATAACTTATGTAAAGTACTTCATGCAGAGTGTGCTGGCCAGTTATTCACATTTTAAAACAATCACTACACTTGATGGGACTCTACTTCAGCATATACATATAACTGCCAGGGCTAAAATCTGGGTGCCATATCCAAACCATGCAACTTGATATCCCCTGATCGTGACGACAGTGTTAAACTCCGCTGCAGAACATGCGGCCCATACCTTGCTGCATGCCGGTGTACATGGCCGGGGCACCCTGCTGCTGAGGGAACATTCCCTGCTGGGGTGGAGGCTGCATGCCGGGAGCCCCGTGCTGTGCTCGTAACTGCTGTCTGCAACCACAGACATCCAACAGCCAGTCTTTTTGCATTCTGAGACTTTCACACATGTTCATGAAAACATGCATCCTAGTAAGCAATTACCATATTTTGTACTATATTAGCCTGAAGATAGAGAGAGTAGCTTCCTCTGAAATGTCGGTAACCATCCACCAGATGGCCTGGTATCACATCCAGGAAGACTATAATCTGAATATGCCTGCCGATTCCATATCTCCCCAGTCCAGCTCTTCACGAAGATAACCAAACAAACTGCATTAATCTCTCCGCACTGTACTTCTAAGCATATTTGTATGCCAGGAACATGGCACTTGCATGAAAACCACCACAGCCAAAGAAATCAGCTCATTAATATTCAGCAAGCAGTTTCTGTGAGTAGATGGCATGAAATGTGACACACCAATGCTTAGAGGAAAGAACACACTTTCATATGACCTATACTTGCTGCTGTTTGAAGCTTACTTGAGGGAGTACTGCGGGTTTTTCTGCGTAACTCATGTGACCCCAAGGACGACTGACATTACTAGCAGCCAGTTCTATGTTAGAGTGTTAAGCAAATTACTGCTCCCAAAAGTTACATGGCATGGAATGGTGTGTAACAACTTTCTGCTGTATTCCACGCTGGGTACCTTATGAACTGCTGCCGTTGCATGCTCTGAGGAAACCCTGGAGGAGGCTGCTGGGATCCGAGGTACTGATTTGATGGAAGCCTCATCCGCAGCATCTGCGACAGAGCTTGTTTGGGATTTGACTGGTTTAGAGGACGCTCGAATCTTGGACCACCAACTGGAAGTTAATAAACACAAAGGGACCACCATTAATCTTCATTATACATTTTCAAGGTCCTCATTTACTTGTCTCTGATACGTACCACGAGAATTCACAGATCCAGAAGATATGGCACCAAGAACATGTAAATGAACAAACCTGCTTGTAACTGTTGTGAGGAATAGTAGCCCTGTTGTTGCTGCTGCTGTTGTTGTTGCTGCTGCTGTTGTTGTTGTTGCTGTTGTTGCTGTTGTTGCTGCTGGTTGTAGGTCCACTGAGATTGTGTTGGGAACATCGCACCCTGGTTCGGATAAGCCATGTGAGGTACTGGTGGTTGTGGCTGCTGCTGAAGATGTTAGATACATGCAGAAATATTTCAAATTAGTTCAGTTTCATTGAAACTAAATCAGTGCATCTCAGCACTGCAATTGAAGAATTTCAAATCACTTCACATATTTAAATCACAAAAGAAGCTATGGAAAAGAATGACAGCACTCAATATACACACACAGTGAGACACCCAATGAAAAAAGGAAGAAAATTGAAACTGACAAAGAACACAATGGAATCAGAAACAAGTAAATGGCTAAGACTGAGTCAATATACAAGGCAAACAAATGAGGTGGCATCTACTAATCTATAATTCTTCATTGCATTTTTTTTTTCATTGGCACTACAGCCCTCATTTGGGCCTAGGCCTACTTCCATGAAACTCTCCGTTTCACTTCGGTTTACTCAATCTTACACATACGGTAGGACTCCTTGGGCGGGTGATCAGCTCATCGCAAGGCCTCTACCTATACACAAATACAGAAAAACGGACACGAACATCCATGCCCTGAGTGTGATTCGAACCCACGATCCCGGCTTCCGAGTGAGCAAAGACAGTGCATGCCTTAGACCGCTCGGCTATTGTGACCAGCCCTTCATTGCATTTACTATGAGCAAATAAACGGCTCTGCCATGGGACATACCACACAGTGTTATTATCACATTTCAAGTTACCTCTCCATGTTCTTCCTTATCTCATCACAAAAGCTAATCTCAAATAAGGAAACATTTAAGCCCCACATTGGAGAGAACATTTATAAAACATGGCAGCCATAAAATAAAAGTCATTTTTCTTTATTTAACCCTTTACAGCACAGTGGGCATTACTACACATATCACCTGCTTTACAATTTGGAAGCTCTGCATTTATGTGTTCTGTACAATTCCTAAAAGCAAACAGTGATTACTTCTCTGAACAGTATTAATCATTGATTTTTGTAATGCAAATGGATTTCTTTTTCTTCTTCTTCTTGAGGTGGGAACTGAACTCTTAAATATTACTTAGATGAATTTCAGGCTTTAAAATGTTAATAATATACTCACCATTATTTGGTGTAATGACAGCTAATCAAAACAAGTAAATGTTAGATAAACCTATTCCAACTCAAAACTGACATATATACACATCTGCATGAACGCATGATCTGTGTCTTCCACAACAGGAGGCAACATACAGACCATATAAACATATCTGCATTATAGTGCATGCAAAATTACAAAACTGTTTAGAGACACTAACAAAATGGTCTCAAAGAAACAGATCCAAGGGTGTGAAACAGATTCATGTGGCTCAGGATAGGGACCAGTGACGGGATCTTGCGAAAACAGTAATGATAGTTAGAGGTACTCACAGGACTGATTGTACTCTAATGCAACTGGAAAAATGTTCATGACAATAAGCTAAAACAAAAACAAATAATGAATCAGGCCTACTTTATGCCGGAATATACAAAGTGTGAGGCAAGGAACCCAAAAATTCTGGCTTAGGTTCACTGAACACCTCCAAGATACATGGTTCAGAGTAACCTCACAGGATCTCAACACTGGCCATGAGCATGCACATCTCAGAAACACAATCTCTGATCTGGTCTACAGGTGAAACACAAGGGATGAATCTACACAGCTTGGTCCGTTAGAATAACCTCGGTCAGTCAGTCAGCATTTTCAGAACACCAGGCAACTGGCAAAACTGAAAATGTTGTAATCCTAAGTGCAATGCACCACAGACCTTAAGAATTCAGTGATAATGAAACGAAAATTATCTGTATGGCAAAACAAAATAAATTACTTCATGGACATTGCATACAGTACAATAATATATAATTGAGAACATCTGACAGATGACAAAGGTAGGTGTCGCCAAATGCTGCAAGTCCCATGAGCATGCGCGGCATGTGTACAGAGTGTGAAGGCCCAATTCTACGTACACATTCTGCTGCGGCTAGACGCTGCAGTAACAGCATGAACTTGAGAGAGTTATCAAAGTTCACCTACAGTAATTTTAGAGAAATCTGAAAATAAATTATTAACACATTTTAACAATTTTTGTGGGCGCCGACCCCAACTCACACACTGCAAACTGAACTAGCGGAAAGGAAACATAACTCTCATGGAACTTATAACTTCAACTGTGATCGACTGATCAACCAAGAAGCATAAAAGATTATGCCTGCACTGTCATGTGGTAACAGGCCACATTCTGCAGTTCACATATGACAGGAGCAGAGTGTCAGATCATTTCATATCACCTTCCTTCAACTGAGGGAAAGACAGTTCTTGCAGACTGCAGAGATGGTGCAAGGCATGCACACATATAGGAAGTAAGATAGTATAAAGAGTGTTATCCATGGCTTACAACACTGACAGGCGTAGTGCAAATGATCTAACGAACACAGGCTCTGTTCTCTGCAGCACAGTTTTTAAAAGAAAAATCAGTGTTATATGTAAAGTTTTATGAATACATAAAATTGGAACAACAAATACTATAAATAAGACTTTACTGAATGCAGAAGAAATCTGAAAGAACACTTTTACAGGACAAACTGTAACAGAACTCCAAAAAAGATCTTACAATATCAACCAAAAGGAAAAATAAGCCAGAGAAGTCCTCTGAAACAATCGAAGGATCCATTTTGTAACACCTGTAACATGTCTGAATACACCTGATGCTGTGGGTGATGATAACAATGATGACTGTACTGGAAGCTGCACAGACCAACATGAAACTACATTTTAAAAGCAAGAAATATGATTCACAAAAGACAAAGCTGTACATGCCTGTTCTATATATACCTGCACTTGCTGTGGCATGCCTGACATAACAGGCTGCCCATTGGCTGGAACACCAGGACCTCCAGCTTTAGGACGTCTTCTTCGCTGAGCCTTTGGTCTCTTGTTTCCCCCCACTCCTCTTGGTGACTGGTCGGAAGAGTTGGGGGTATCCGCTTTTCCATCATCCTTCAACTGGTTGCAGTACACACATGAACACTACGCTTCAGGGTTAGAAAAGGCTCACCCTCTATGGAAGGCACTGCATATACCCCCCACCCCCTGCCTACCTCCTTCGGGATCACATAGACACTCATAACGTGAATAATTTAGTAATAGTAACACTGATAACTGAATTTTTGTGCAACTTTACGCTAACAACACAGATTACACAGCAGGTATGTGTTTAGTAAATGCAAATTTCCCCACGGGCTTAATTAAGCATGATGCCATGTAAATGTATGTAAGAGTGGAGGTATAACTCCATGCAATCTTAATCTTGGGCACTAGGTGAAAGGGAGTGGTCAGCTTCATGCTCCAGCTACTTTAACCCCATAAACAGACTCTAGGTGCACCCGAGTCAGCCTGGACACTGCGCATTACAGGTCAATATCTCCCTACACCGGGAATCAAACTCTGACTTTCCAGTTGTCATCCAGCCTCAATCCTAGTCCCCACACTAGCTCACCTGTTCTTTTCTTTATGTGTGGAGCATGCAAAATATTACTAATTTGCGTAGCCAAGAAATATCCAGATAAGTTGTGAAATTTACACATTTTACTGTAAAATACTGTGCTCTTTGGAAACGACCTGGGGCATCCATTTCCACACGGCATCTGAAATCACTTCCATTTTATAGTAGCACCACACATTCTGACAGAACTGAATGCAGGTCCACAGACACAAATAAGCTACAAAAAATGACAGCTGTTATGAGATTTGAAGTTCTCACAGCGGTGTGACTATGAAGGGTATCGTCTTCTGGGTTGCAACGCTGCATACTTCGGACAGAACCAGACGTTCTCGAGGAATAGGTCATATAGCCTGTTACCTGCTTCTGCTGGTTTCTCACTTGACTCACTCTTTGGTCGCAAAGATGATGAGGATATGTCACGCTTTCCCAGAACCACTCTGTGTTTTACAACCCAGATGACTATACTCCTCAGTACAGTTTTCGTTGCATCACATCCCACATGCAGGAAAACACAGAGGCAATACTTAATTTCAGGTTCTCATGGCAACAACTACGAAGAGGGCCATCTTCTGGGTGTCCCATTGTGCATCCCAACACAAACGCACAAACATTTCAGAGGAATGAACTGCTCCATCTTCAGGGTCAAAGAGGGAAACCAACCAAGCAACCAGCAAGTGGGGAACCCTCGTGGGTTGCTTCCTTGGCTTACTCTTTGGCACTGAAGATGGACGTTACTCCAAAACATCGGTGAACTTCTACTGAGCCACACAGTTACACATTCCAGAAGACCCCTATTTCTACACCAGATCGCGCACCTCTGCTCCAGTTTTCTGTCCCACTCAATATGAAGTCACACAGAAAGAAGCACTGGAGAATCAGTAAAATTAGGAAACTTACATCTTGACTTCTGCATCCTGCTTTACTGCTTAATAATTTAATTTGCAGGGGCAGTCTGGGATGTGCAACTTCTTGTTGTGTCCGTAAACTGGTGCTGTGCTATGTTGCTGCATATTATAGATTATTCAAGTCACTGATTCAACCATCTTGCGTGCACTATTTCTTTCTAAAACTTATTTAAAAGTTTTCCACATCACACTACATGTTCTGACCAACACTGGTCATCAGTCATTTAAAATTATTGGTGAAAAACTGTTTTGCTTCCATTTTATATGAGTATGTAGTTTCAACATTTGACATGTGGTCCCGTGTATGTGCCTGTGTATCTGTAACACATGTATTAAAATGTTTGTGCCTGTGTTTGTGATTCTATACCTGCTATGTTATGTGCATATGTTCATTTTTAATTATGTTTTAATAATGTGGGACCCTGAACCTCTCACAACACTATGTGCCTCCACGGCCTTTTAAAAAATGTAAAGGTATCCCTGTAACAGGCCGTGGAGGCCCATAGGGTTGAGGTTCCCACATTTTCTAGACAATCGGCTCATAGATGGCAGCAAGGTTGTCATCCTTATGCGCCGGCTGCCCTTTACCCCCAAGAATATTCCTGGTATTCATTTCTGTTAGAGGCTGAGTCGACCTAAGGGCCAGAGTGTGCTTGAAGGATTAGGTCAATTGGAAAAATCCAGTGACCTCATCGGTCATAAAAGTTTTATGTTTGCATTGTACTCCTCAAGAAGGGCTCAGCTCCATAAGTAAGTAAGAAGTTTTTAAATAAGTTTCAGAAAGATGTGTCACATGTGAGACAGCTGAATCAGCGACTTGAATAATAAGCAAAATGTGCAACAGGATGCTGCAATGTAATATTGAAGAGTATTACAGATGTTTCTTCAACTTGTTTTGGCCATGTAATGACCTGTTAGATATGAAAACCTTTTTCTTTTTTGAACCAATATTTCACATTGCCAGTACTCAGCAGTTTCCAGAACAGCAGAAACACTTTAGAGGTAATTTAAACCAAGCTTCAAGAGAGTAGAACAATGAACTAGAATCATGCAGCACGGCAACTATGTAAAAAATCTATTTCTATAGTAATTCACAAGAAACCAGCACACCATCAGCCTATGAACACGACACAGAATTTCACCTGTAGGAATAACCCTGTGAATTAAGTAAGAAAGTTAAACAGCCTCCTCTGCAGTATACACGTACGATCAGTTTTGTCTCTCATGTTACTCCTATGCTTACACACGTGAATCCATGCACCGTCTTTCCTACTCGACGTAGTTTTTTGTTGCAATTTCAAGAGAGAAGGCCATCTCATGTCACATCTTTAGGTCATACTCCACCACTCCGCTGCATGCAATGGTTGCTGTCCATGATTTCTTTTCTAAATTTGCAACCCACAAAATACTGCAATGGCAATCGCAATGTAAATGATAAAATAACATGTAGTAACAAACAATAACTATATCAAAAGAAAAAATACATTACTTGCCAAAATATAATAAATGAAATAACACAAAATGAATAAAATTAAACTGGCAACGAATTTAAGTTCAGGAAGAATGTGATTGAAATGTGTCTAAGGCACTGATTGCTCTGTAATTACCATAACAAATTTCTGCCTTCTTTTCACTACCACACGTAGACACAAACAGCTTTGTTGGTAAGAAAGTGGCCTTTCAAAAGGCTGAATACTTACTGGTTTCTCTTGAGGGGGATCCAGATCTTCTGGTGGGAGTGGTGGAGGATCCAGAAAGTAGGCTGGGCTCTTCAGCAAGGAGTGTGTGTGATATTTCAAAAGCCTATGTGTATCTTCATACCACAATGGCTTACGTTCCATGCGCACAGCTCCGAACCAGGACCAAGACAGAGGGGCTGGGTTCTTGTGGCCTTCTAGCAGATCCCACGGACTTACTCGCTGCTTTTCAAACACTTGCAAACCCTGTGAACATATTTGTAGTAATTTACAACTTTTTTGTTTCAAATTTTAATCATTTGACACACACTACTTTACTTTGAGCATAATGTGGACTACTGAAATAAACTGTACCATATCAAAATTTCCATTTATGACTGTGAGGTCAGATTGCAGATGTACTGCCCCTAACTACAAAATAAAAAGACATTACTACAACAGCTATCAGTCAGCAAAATGAAATCATTACTAAACCATGAACAGTGCTATCATCTGGATGTATCACCATGCAATCCAGCAGAAGTACATGAACTTTTCAGAGCAACACTCTGCTGCCATGTTCAGGGCCAAAGAGTAGTCAGACAAGGAACTGACAGAGAACCAGGATGTAAGCAAGAAAACAGCACTGTTCACAGCCACCACTGGGAGAACCTCAAATCCAGGCTTCGCTTTCCACCTGCTTTTTACAGGCTACATGCTTTGCTCCTCTTTGGCCCTGTAAATGGTGGCAATATGTTCCTCTGAAATGCTCAGCTTTCTAACACTGAATATGAGAAAATGATAGAAAAGAGTATATACTCATAAAATACACAGAAGTTTGGATAAAGCAAGCAAAGACAATGCTATGAGCCAGATTATAAATGCAGCTAAAGGACTGACACTACAGGCCCACTTGTGGAGGTAAGGCTCCAGTCACTCTGACTTCAGGACTAGCAGGAGGTGAGTGCTTAGTGTCATGCATTGGCTGCTTTATGCCCTTTGTATCCACTGGATAGGAAGCCGGCTGGGTCCTGGAGATGATAGACATGATGAAGAGAAAGAACAGCTTCCCTGCCAGGACTCAAACCCCGATATAACTGAATGTGAATAGTTCAGATGTCATGTAAAACTTCACTGATTAAGATAAGACAGGAAATCAATACAGAAGATATGAATTACAGATTGAAGATGGGGAATCATCAGAAATGGAAGAAATATTAAGATGTAACTCGGTAAATGGCTCAAATGCAGAATTCTTCAAATACCTGATTAGAATCTGAATTCATGCCAGGTCTCCCTCTACCTATATCCATACCACTTCTCCATGCTTGGTTTACCCTGAAGACGGAGGAAGCAGGTTCCCATGAAATGCTGGTAACCATCCACCAGATTATGTGCTTACCTGCTTCTTGTCTATCGAATCAAATCCTGCAATCTTGTTGCCCTTAGTGTCAGTAAGACATCCCATTGGCTGACAGACCACCACTTCTGCAGTCACCTTTGGCAGTGGTAACAACTGCCGAACATACTGAATTGAAGGTGAGGTACGGTCTCCCAATTCCTGCATGAAAAACATCAGACTAGTGAGGGCTTAAATACAACTGACTCAGTTGGCAGGTGGCTCAACGCCATGCAACGAGCACTGCACCGAACATGTTGGTATATATGTTTCATAGTCTATCTTCTGTGAGAAAGCCAAACTGGTAACACGATTCCCAAGACATTTTGATCAGTACGTACAAAGTAGCCTAGGCAGGGCAGTGCTCATCATTGTCACTATGTTGATACGTCGTTCTCGTGCTGTTTCTATGGAAACAAAATGCAAAGTCAGCTATCTAACATAACATATACAATACACTTTGGTCACTATAAACGAAAATGCTCTCTCTACTTGCAAACTATTTATAGCAATAAATAGACGTTTGTTTGCACTAACAGAGGATGAGAGTCTTGAGAAATAAAATAATACAAAACAAAGAAATGGCTCATGTTCTTCAATGTCCTGCTCCTGCAAGCGCAAGTTCTGAGCAATATTTACAGAAGCCGTTTCAATGCAGAGAGAAGGGAGACAGAAGTGGGACAGGAATGAGAGGATGGACAAATAAGAGAGATGAGAAGGAAATATTGGAGAGAGAAAAAAAGATAACTATATGTTTACAGGAGACTTCCCATTACATTTTTAACAGGCGTTACATTAGTGCTTATAAAGTTTAAGTCACTGTGCAACTTGGTAAAAATGTGGTAACTACCAAAATAGTTCTGTGACATTTTATCAAGCTTGCAACTTGTAAGTTTCTTCAAATACATCGCAAACTTCTGAAGCAGCATGGCATGCACTTCATTTGGTCTCTCACAACTCAATTTATTTAACTCACTGACTGAGATATGGATATATATACATATATATATACAGCTGCACTTCTGAGATCTGGCGATCTCATGGCAGTCAGGATTTTACTTCTTATCACCTGGGACTGGCACTGTGTGCTCTGGTATAGAAAGATGCCGAAGTTTTGGAGGAACCAGCTGTCCTCTGGTTTTGGCACAGACCATCACTTGCCTTACACAGTCTCACAGGTTCAGTAGTGACGGAAAAGGTCAGGACAACAAGCGTGTTGCTCTGAAACACTGGTAGCTCTCTACCACACAGATGACAGTATCTTCACATCAGAGGTGTCAGGACATCATAAATCAGAGCCACACTTCGCTGTGTTATGAGAGTGAACATTACGAACCTTCTTGAGTTTCTTCATGAGATTCTGATAGTGTTTGCGATTCTCCTCCTTTTCAGACTGCGAATCTGAGACAAGCGTCGAGTGTATCAATGTTGCCAACATGTCTATCACAACAGTGAACAGCTCCCTACAAGAGATATCAGACAAGCAAACTTCATGGGGCTACTCAGCAAATTCCCAGTCCTTAAGGAAACAAAGAACATCACTGGGCTCACAAAGCCTGCAAATATGAGTTCAGTTACAAATTAATAATGTTATCATCATACATGAAGAACAAACAGAGACGAATGTAAGGAACTTGAGCAAATACTTTCAAATTCCAGGAATGTGAGCAGTTTGGGAAGAGAAAGGGACATAACCAGGGAAGGAAATATGCAAATTATGTGGCACTTACGAATTATTATTAAGATCAATGACTGCATAACTGATCAGCTGCACAAGGAGAATCGCCCAGTCTGTGGTGACAGTTGTGTTTCGCTGGATTGTGTCAAACATTCCTCCAACAAGGCTAAACCTCAGCTGAAGTGCGTCTTGCATCAATGCTCGTCCTTTGGGATCTTCATAATTTGACAGTCTTTCCTAATTACATAACACATATTACAGGATTTCAAGTTTATTTTGTAACTGCTAACATTGTCATCTTAGCTTACACAACATCACATTTCTCTCTACTGAATTAAATAGTTCAATGGAGCACCATTAAAAATACATTATGTAGAAAACAATTATCTACATAAATTTAACTTCAGTTTATATGTATGACATTTTCTAAAATATGTTTTGAGATCAACTCTCTAATAAAACAAAAGTATTAAACAAGTTAGGCAATGTATGCACAATTATTATTTTATACCCGAGATGCGTGCATACACACATATGGATCTTGATCTAAAAAATCTGCTATTTATAACAAAAATTGGAACGGGTTGATACATTTTTGTAGAACTCTGCAACATCAAATTTCATGAAAATCTGTTACTCATGCAGACAGACAGACAGACATGGTGAAGACAACAGGTACAGTTTGTAAGTTTTTCTTGCAAACACACCCAAAAAAAAAAGGGAAGTAACACTATGGAACCAGAACACAAAACATTCAGCACCACTAATACCAAAGGCGAGCTACTGAGACAAGCTCTTTCTAGCAGGACCAACTGGTTATTTTGCTCCTTGCACCTGACGACAGAAATGGATCCAGTTTCTGAAATGTTAAGCACATGAAGTACACTCCAGACAATGGACAGCGTCTGACACAATGTTCATGTAACAAGCTCAGGGCTCAGTCTCACACCCCACTTACATCTTTGGAAAGCATGAGGAACTGGTTGAGCTGAGAATGTAGGGAAGTGAGCAAGCCTTCTCGCTGCTCATCTTGACCCTTCAAGCAAGTCAGAACCAACGACAAGAATGGCTGATGGCTCAGAAGTGATGAACTTCGCTGCACATTCCGTTCTTTGTCACGGTTCTTTGAAGACCAATTTCCACTCTCCAGAACTTGCCCTTCAAAATCAATAAAAGAAATCTATTAAGAAGACAGATGTGAGGAAACAAATCCAGAAAACATCTGCTTTAATTAGAGGCTTTTCTCTTTGTAGTTGATTTATTTATGGTATATTTAATTGTGTTCAACAATCTTCCACAAAGTATTAAAAACTTGGGCAATGATACTAAAAAGTTTAAATCAGAGTTAAAGAATTATCTACATGCTCATTCCTCCTACTCTTTAGATGAATACTTCAATGTAAATAGAGAATGATGTAAAATTAAGTTATATTAATTTTTAAGCTAAAATTGCCTGTACTTATGTATGTAACCTTTTGACTTGTTCTGTATCCAAAGGTACTAACCTGCTTAGGATTTATAGAATGTAAATAAATTCAATTCAATTCAATTCAATTACAGCATGAGGGCCATATCATAGCTCAGGCAGTTAGTTGCTGGCTTCCCACCATACCAGCCTGATCTGGCCCCAGGTCAGGTCATGTGGGATCTGTGGTGGACAAAGTGGGGCTTCTCTGAGTACTTCAATTTCCCCTGTCAATTCTCATTCCACCAATTTCTCCATATATATTTATCATCCTGTACATGGCCTTAAACACAGACATCATCATTAAATAACCAAATGAACCGCCATAACTGCCAGTACTTCAGACTATACACAGTATAGCGTCAAGTCGCAGAAAGATTAATAAATGAACTGGAAAGGACGTGGAAGGAAGTGTCTTGCCCTAGTTCAAGCCACCAGGCCAGAATTTGCCTGGAGTTAAGATATGGGGTGTCTCTACAGAGATGTGAACTGCAATACACGTCACAACTGTTACAGCCTAAGCAAACTTGCTTTGCTGGATGAAGGCAAACAGTGAACTGCAAAAAATCGTGGAGGAAGTGGTCATGGTCAATTTTTTTATCCTGGCAAATGCCTGGAGGAGCTTTGGAAAACCACAAAAAACCTCAATCATTTGCTAAGATTGTACCTTAAATTGGGCCATGACTGTTGCCCTCAAAATCATTTCCAATTAATTTATCATCATCCCATCACTTGGGGGTACGCAGTAGCATAGTTGGTTGAGGCGCTATGCTACATGCCAAAAGGTCACAGATTCAAGTCCCGATGACGTCATTGAATTTTTTTAATTTACCTAACCCTTCCAGCTGTACTATGGCCCTGAGGCTGACTCAGCCTCTAACAGAAATGAGTACAAGGAATATTCTTGAGGGTAAAGGGCAGCAAGTGCATAAGGCTGACAACCTCACCGCCATCTGTGAGCAAATTGTCTAGAAAATGTGGGAACCTCAACATCTCACGACCCCATGGACCTCCACGGCCTATCATAGGGGTAGCTTTACCTTTACTTTACTTCATTCCAGGGAATGCGGCAGTGTAGTTGGTTGAGGCGCTATGCTACAAGCCAGAAGGTCGCGGGTTCAAGTCCCGATGAGGTCACTGGATTTTTTCAATTGACCTAATCTTTCCAGCCGCACTATGGCGCTGGGGTTGACTAAGCCTCTAACAGAAATGAGTACGAGGAATATTCTTGGGGGTAAAGGGTGGATGGAGCAGAAGGCTCACAACCTTGCTGCCATCTGTGAGCCGATTGTCTAGAAAATGTGGGAACCTCAATGTCTCACATGGGCCTCCACAGCCTGTTACAGAGACAGCTTTACTTTACTTTACATCCCATCACTTGATACTATGTAATTCAAATTACTGATGTTAAATAAACTACAAGTGCATCAATAAATAAATACTCTGTGTCCTATCCCAGAAACCTGCAATCTGCAAGACCCAATTTGATATGTATAACAAAAACAAATTCTCCATCAACATTACAGGCTCCCATGAAGGGAGCAAATGGAGACAAAGAGCAGGTTAACGCTTTGTGGCTTACCTGCTACTTTGAGCACTCTGCCTTGCACAGCACTCGGCAGTTTGGAAACTAACGGGGCCACAAGCCATATTGAACCAGGTTTGTTCGGCCTCAAACCACTTCGGTTCTCTTCCTTGCCATCCAAACCACCGGTTGCTCCACCGCTTGTAAGTTGGAACACATCAATCGCTGCCTTAGCCACCGTGTCGAGCCACTGGTTCAGTTCGCTGGAGCCGGGGGGAAACTGCGTGAACATCAGCTGGAGATCCAGCCAAGACATTCTAAGTGTCCACTGGTCCAGATTCTGCAAAACAAATGACAGAAATCCTATAAGGGTTTGTGACACATGATGTTGGTTGCTGTCCATTGTCCGGGATACACTGAAAACACAAAACATTTCTGAAACTGGATCTCTTCCTAACATCAGGCATAAGGAGGGGGGACGAATATTGTATTTAGCTGGGTCCTTACACCTGATGGAAACAGATACAGTTACCAAAATTCTGTGTGTCTTAAATACAGCCCCAACAATGGGCAATGTCCAAAATAACTGCTGCAAAACAAATGTGAGTTTAAAAGATGTTTCTTACCAAGAAGAGAATGTATATGTTTTCAAGCCTAATACATCACTAAAGTAAATTTCAGTTTCAAAATCCCTGGTGAAATGTACCTAAACTTGATGGCACTTTTAGCCTATTTTCATTTCTCAAAGAAAGCATATGACATCACCATGCTGTCTGTGTGTGTCCCATTTCAACCTTTGAAGCAGGTGACTGAATTTCATCAACCTTCGTATGTTATGCCAAGGTCACCCAAACCTAGCACTTCTCAATTTCCTGCAAGGACTAATAACAACATGGCGGATGTTAAAACCGCACAATTTGAAAGTGACAATATAGGGTTCTTATATGAGGAATGGTGCCATCTCAGAAAAATATGAAATACTGTTAAGGTATTTTTCATTTCTGGAATGTAAAAATAACATGGTTCTGTTTTCTTTCAGTCTGATGCTAATAACTAATAAACTGTTTCACCCAGGTATGTGAAATTTGGCACATGAACAGACCATAAGCATAATAACTACACATTATGAATGTAATATTGTTTGAAGGTCAATAAGTACAAACGTGGCAAAAGTGTGAAACTCTGAAGCTATATCTGCCAAATTAATGTAGAGCGAATCTGTACTCAGGTACACATTTTCCACAAAAAATAAAAGATAAAGCAACAATAAGAGTAGAAATAGATCTGGTGGACTGGAAATGTATGTAGCAGGAAGGTGGACTATGAGTTCTGCCAATGATGCACTGATATCTTCCAGATCTCTCCATTTCTGTAGTTCATGAAACAGTCATACCAACCTCCAGAATCCTAGCAATAATATCCCTCTGATCAAGTGATTCTTCTGTGGCAGCTGTGGTCTCGGGGTAACAGATCATATGCAGCAGACGCTGAGCCTAAAACAGAAACATGCTTCAGGCTGCTGTCTTCTCAATTGCACTGCTGTGTGCTCTCAAAGGTGTTTACCAACATTTCTGGAACAGCTTGCTGCCTCCAACTTCAAGGTAAAGATGAAACACTGGTAACACCTTATGAGATCATATACTGTTGTAACACATTTACTTACTTACTTACTGACTCATGGAGCTGAGCCCTTCTGAAGGAGCCGCCAATTCTGCAGCTACTCAAGATTTTCCTAGCATTTTATGGAACCCGAAGGTTCATTACAATGTTCACAAGAGCCCTCCACTGTCCCTATCCTGAGCCAGATCTATCCAATCCATACCATCCCATTCTATCTCTCTAAGATCCATTCTAATATTGTCCACCCACCTATGTCTTGGTCTTTCCTGTGGTCTCTTTCCTTCTGGCTTTCCCACCAATATCCTATACGAATTCCTCGTCTCCCCCATTCGTGCTACATGACCTGCCCACCTCATCCTCCTTGACTCGATCATTCTATTTATACTTGGAGAAGAGTACAAGTTGTTGTAATACATAATAATCTTAATTTTCACCACGATGCCACAAGTCTCAAAATATGTCCATCAACCAACATGTCCCAATCCACTTTGCAATCAATCACTGATGATTGTTTCCTTCAAGCTTTCTGCATGCCATCTAACATGACTCGCTTGGGGCAGTTGCAGTAAAACAGCCATTAGCATATTGTTATTCATTCACTGCAGCATTTCCATCAAAAGATGGCTCTGAGTGTCATATACCAAGGTTTAGAAGAAAGAACAGGCTTCCACATGACATATTTGTGCACTGTTTGGAGTTCACCTGTGGCAAGTACTGTGTGTTTTCCTATCTAAGTGCATTTACCCCAAATGGCCTTGACTTGTCTAGTTTTGTACTGGGGCTTGGAAATCAAATGATTTAACAATTCTTATAAAATTATTATTAATTAATTAATTAATTTACTAACAATGACAGCAAAATTTGTTGTATAGTCTGAACTATTGCCAATATCTTTAAATATATAAATGTATACATGTCTTACTTGTTTAGGTGTCAACATACTGTCGAGCAGCATGTCAGTGTGGCAAAGCTCCTCAGGATTTTGGAGACACCTCTCCAAGACCCACTCCTGACTGCAGATCTGACGTAGCACATGCTGGGCAAAGTCTGACAACCCTGCAGCAGTTTCCATCGTACTTGCAGTTCCTCCTATAGATGATGTCATTGCCCGAAGAAGACAGTCAATAAATGACATTATATAAAAACAAATTAACAAACTCTATATAAATGGTTATTCTTCGATGAATAACTGAATTTGGGGGTATATTCACAATCCTGCGCAGCATCTATTAAACCACTCTGTTCCTCTTCAGAATCAACTGATTTTCATGAAATTTGAAATTGGGGAGTTTTCATAAATTCTCATGACACACAGCAATTCTGTTTAAAATCAGACAAGGATGATGAATATTTTACATGAAAACACGCATACATGCATTTCTGAATGTATCTTCAGCAGAACTGATTATATATTTACCAGACCAAAAAATATTTGAAATGCAGAGAAAAATGAAAAACATATCTTTACAGCAAATTATCTTTTCTTGCAGGTCTTACAGTGATTTCAAGACAATCAAACAAAAATTGTTACACTATGTTTACACTCCCTAACATGTATATACAACAATCAACAAAGATCTTCTAAACACATGCTACAAGGATCACTAATTTTCTTATTCTTGATAATAATTATATAAAGCTNACAGGCAAGCACTGCGGCTATATAAGGGAACTGCACAGCAACTGCGAGTCAGTTGTAACGTAACAGTCGCCGAGTCGAGTTGACATATAGCAGCAGTCGCCGAGTTCAGTAGTTCCGAGCAAGCCTACGAGTCAGAGTGTGTTATCAACAGCCCTCAAGGCAGCAGCTTGCGAGCAGAGTTGGAATCTAGCCAGCGGCGTGCCACGAGTGAAAGTGTGTAATTCAGGGAGACTTGTATAGTTCCCACGTTACTAATACGTGAAGACTCTTCAAGATAGTGTGAAGGGATTTGGTTGTAGGGTTTGTAAAGTGTGGAAACCCGTAATATTGTGATAAGCAATTGTAGCCGTTACTTGTAGATTGTTCAATAAACCAATTAACGATCTCTACGGCGTATTCAGTAACGAAACACATTACAATATATATGTAATTAAAATATAATACTACTGAAGAACTCAAATACTTTTCTAATATATCTGAATATATACTTAAAATATTTATCACAATAAACAACTGAGCAAGGCTGTTGGCCATGTCATTTATAATTCTTTCTTAGTTTCTGGTGTTATTCGCAAGTGTTCTCACATCATCCTTTCTTTTCTTGGGTCCTTAACATCCATTTTAATATTATCTACTCATCTATATCTAGGTTTTCCAAGTTACTTTCAGATTTTCTAACTAAAAATATGAATGTATTTCCATCTCTACATGCCCCACCATTACCTCACCAGACAATTCTGAACTAGGCATCCACTTCTGATTCTCACATTCTACTTTTCCTAAAACCTACGTCATAAGCCCATTCATTTATTTCACAGTTTTCCAAATGGCTGTTTTGTAAAAATTCTGTTTGCATTCATTATGTGCCCATTCTAGCTACATACCCAGATTAATGAACATAAAACATATATACGGTTATGAAGATTATTATCATTTGGGATGTGAAGGCAAGCAGTGAGGCAGAGAGGTATCGACCGTTGAGAAAGACTTGCTACATCATCTCCAGGGCAGCAGAAGCAACAGGTTTCTGTCAGAATGCATGGCATCACATCCCAAACAACTGCAATATGCTGGATCTTCGAGGACAGGTTAATAAATCAACAACATCAGAGATGACACTTGACACAGTTATATGGTTTTAGTGGAATATTAGTGCCATTTTGACAATTTTCCTGAACAAAGACGCAAAGAACAATGAACAACAAAGCAGAATTATTTTTTAAAGAAAGTCATAAGAGCAAAGTAATAATCCATTAGTGGGGAAAGACTGGAATAAAAATGAGGGTTGGGGGGGGGGGTAAGCAAACAAGTAACACAGTAAGCAACGAATGAGTGACAGAGAGATAAGACAAACCTTTGTCCAGTTCTTGTAGCAGGTTCCGCATCAACCACCCTGTGAGGTCAATCAAACATAACACAAATATTTATGGAGCAATGCGTGGCACACTGAATGTGTGAAACTTACAACTTGCATCACTAAGACTGCAGTTGATTTCAGCTTCTCACAGCGCTGACTATGAGGGGTACCATCTTCTGGGATGTGACACCATGCTGTCTGGTAGAAATTTGCTGATGTGTTTGAGGAACATACTGCATCCATCTTTGAAGCCAAAGAGTAAGCCACACAACCAGCAAGAAGCATGCCGGTTGTGTGACTTACTGTACCTTCAGCCCTGAACGTGGCGACAATGCATTCCTCAGAAATGTTGGTGAACTTCTATCAGACTGCACACTGTCATCTCCGAGGAGACAGCAGTCTTCAATGAGACTCTGGTTCATAGTACTTAACTGCATACATCACTACAGAAGCATTTACAAATTTCCTGAAAATAAAACTTCAGATCATCTTCGAGACTCAAGATATTCCAAGTTGAACAACAGTTTAGTATAATTTTAATATATGCATAAAGCTTGGATACTAAATAGGAAATTGCTGCAATTATCAGCACCATTACTGAATTTGGATGACAAAATCCACCAAGAAAAGAATATAAGTGCACACGCAACATTTCTTACCCGCAAAGACAAATTCTGCGTAAAATATGTAACCTCAGTAACTTGAAGTTCTAGAATACAATAATAGATTTGACATAATAACAATGTGCACTAAACAGTGCTGCTACCTAGAGGAGCATTATGAAAGTTTCTGGCACGGTTGGACAATGCGATATTAACTAAAACACAAACCTTCCACTGCTATTCACTGCTGCCAACTTCTGCTCCTATCTGTAACTAATACTGACTCTAACTGCCAACATACATGACAAGAAGAGAAGCAAGTGTCAGCCTTTTATATATAAGGATATGGATACATGGATAAAGGATGTAAGTGAAAGATCAAGGACAATTCACTACAAGGACATAAAGAACTTCAGCATGGGCAAATAAATGCCCAGGTTTCAACTGAACTGTGATTCAGAATGATCTGCTGTAGCAGACAACAGACACATTGCAACTGTGCGGTAAGTGCACCTGGTACCAGCTGTTGTTTGAAGAGGTTGAGGAGGAGGAGGAGTAGAAAAATAAAGAAAAAGGAAGGGGAAGGAAAAGAATTTCAAGAGCACAGGAAGAACATGGAGGGAAAAACAAGAGTTGACACTTCAAAATGGTTTGTTTCTATGCTTCTGCAAACACGAGTTTCAGCTTGACCCACGTTATATGGGTTCAGATGCCTAAGCTGCCAGGAGGCATCCACAGAATTCTGTATGAACAGTGCTCTCAGTTCTACACTGCCCCTGCAACCAGGGGAACTAACTACTTACAGCATTATGGACACATTAATGGACAAGACGATAAACAAAGAAAATTAGAAAAAGAAACAAGATTTGGAAGTTCTCATGACTATGATGAACATGTGACGTCACGTCGTTTGACAAGATATATTCCTCCAAAATGTTGGACCAGTCTACCAACCTACATGACATCACATCCCACATGACTGTCACCTGAAACCACTTTACTTAAAGAACTTACTGTGAGTTACTGCATATTTTCACACACAGAACATCGCATTTTCCCTTCTTCGTACGTACAGTAATTTTCCGCCTGTACATTTGTCCCTACTCCAGCTTATCGTGAAGCAGCCATATTCACTGCACTCTTGCTAACACGAACCCATATACCATATGGCTTCACAATATCACATACTGAATTAGAATGTGTCAGTGAGACCCACCCCAGATCTAGCAGGGGGTCTTCTCCTCCACTCAGAATGTCACTCGTGCCCAGGATGTGACTGATGCTCAGTTCTCCGCCCGACGAACCAGAGATCGGAGTCTTATTGCTCCCACCAGCAGCACCAGACGAATGCATCTGCTGTGACTGCTCTGGTTTGCTCTTGCTGCTTGGGGTCTTGCCCTCCCGTGCTGTCGCATCTCCCACTACTAAAATTGCCTACAAGAAAACAATGCTCAGTCTTCATAACCTTCACTGACAGGAGGAGTAGGAGGGGATCTTAAATTTCACAGCACTACAGGGTTGAAGACTACATGCCGTATTTACGCATGTATAGGCCGCGTGCGTGTATAGGTCGCAGCACAATTTTCAGACAGAAATTATAGAAAAAATAATTTTCTTGGAATATTATTTCAGGAGTATTACACCCTGTATTACTAATTATGAATATAATTTTTTTTAAATGAAGTGTGATTTCGAATATTTCGAATATAAGCTGCACCCGAGTTTTCCTCTTGAATTTTTGGCAAAAAATGTGCGGCCTATACATGCGTAAATATGGTATTAAGTAGAAGGTAGCAGTTTATTGCTCTAAAATAGGAGACTTTTGCATTTCGTGGTAGCGGTATTAGATTTGAAAAAGCATGACATTCTGCAGCTGCTGTGTGTTGTAGGCTCCAGAAACCTCCAAGCCCCTATTAAAGGTTAAATCGTTGTTGTTTTTGTTATTACTGCTACAGAATATGACAGAAGAAACTGAGAAAGACCATGAATACTGCAGTTATATACTACCCTCAGACTGAGCTTCAAACCAGAGATCTCACAATACAAAGAACACTTTACCATTACACCAGAATGTTTCGTTACAGCATTACATGTCACAAAGATGAATTTCTCATACAAGGTGCTACAAGTACAATTCATGAAATACCAGATTACAATATTACGTTAAGACAATGGATCAGAAACAACTGAAATCGTGTCTCCTTATGCAATGTTGCGTGTAGATCTTGTGTGTGTATGTGGTGGGGAAATAGGACATATTGCTATGTACCAGAAATTACTATGAACTTTTTTCGCATCAGCTATCATAATGAAGGATAATTAAAGACAATTTTATTTTCACTACAAATAGTTTTCATGTTCTACACATAACATTATAATACATGAGGATTCTACATGTGTTTACGTGCCACTTCTTCACATATGTGATTTTGAATCATATGCGTCACCACTTTAGAGACAGACAGACAGACAGACAGACACAGTTCATGGTCAGGTGTGTTACAGGCTGTTGCTAAGTTCCTTTAAAACATGAGAAGGGAATTATGGGTTACCTGATGACAACTTTACATCTAGCCTGCAGTGTCAAATGGTTGAATGATTGATGAATTTGGAAACAATTTGAATGTGATGCCATGGAAAAGCACAGAACACGCCACGCATGAAAGCCGGTGTACAGCCTGAGATTCAAACTGAGCACATCCCAAATACAAGTACAGCACAAGTCAAGTGCATTACTGCCAGACCAAGCTGATTGGTTTTAAAACATGACAGCTCAATTTTAAAGGGAAATAGGAAAATAAGCATTTGGGTTGCAGTTCAGTAGTTATTTGCTGGTTTCTTGCTGCAGAGGCTGGTGTTCGATCTCAGGGCAGTCCATGTGGAATCACTGGTGGTCAAAGTGGCAATGGAGCAGGTTTCTCTCCATAAGCTTATGGCTTATCCCATTCCTATGATTTAAACAAAAACAGGTCCACCAGTTCTCAGCAATAACGTCTTGTTTGCATTACTAAAGAGATCAAACTCCCACAAACATTACTTACCTTAAGAACAGCAAGAACCGGCCCAACTCTGATGTTGTTATGGGCAGCTGCTAACAGGTGGCGGTCGCAGCTGAGTTTAATGCTGTAACCAAGATTGGATGTGGCACACGGTATCGGATGAGGAGAAGTACCTGCATAAAGCGAGTGAAAGCTGCAGACCTTGTTACTGAAGACACACTTCACATTGTGATAACACTGGTAAGCATCATGTAAGATAACACTTCCTGCTCACTACTGCCCCCCACCCCCCACCCCAAAAATAAGCAGAATGTACAAGAGAAATGAATGTTTAAAAAGGGAAAGACATAGATCAGAGCAGAACTTTACCAGAAATTTGGTAGCATACTCAGAAAATGATTCGATTCCATGTAGGTTTACTGTTGCAAAGAGAATAATAAAAAGCAGGTGAAGCAGACATTTTGATTTTAACCAGCTGAATTAGACTGTGAATAAACACCAGATTGTTTCCTGACTCTTTCTCTATCTCTCACAAGGAAACTGCTGCGGAAATAAACTGTTCTGACGACTGACCGACTGAATAGAGGGCAGGCTGTGGGCACTCGACGGTCTTGAATAACCGTAACAGAAGGTGACATGTCAACCTTGCGCCGGCTTCAGCTTCTATATCTGCGTCTCCTCGACCTGCAAGTTTATTGAAAAGTAAAATAAAAATAAAGACATATATACACCTTGCGTCTTAATGTAGAAGTTCTGAGTACGGCTGATAACATTTACTATTCTACAGACGTTTAGTCTTACAGGCCTGTTAATGTTATTATCATCATTACTGTATTTTACTTCTGTGAAGAACTCATTACTTAAGTGCAGATCCACATTAAATCTGTCAAACATTAGCACAAATCCCCCACTATTGTCACACTTGTATTTGCTGACTTACAAAAGAAAGTTATACTCATACAAGATATATCTGCACACCGAATTTCACAAACCCATCTCCAATGGATCACTATTCACAGCATCAAAACGAATGCTACTGAAAATTTTCACGCAGCTGCCATGTCCATAAAAGGTTGCATATTTATTGAAGATGTATTAGCACACACAGTTTCAGCCAGTATTCCAAATTGCACACTGTACGTTAGGCAGAGATCTGCACATGCAACTCTCTTACCTTCATTGCAAGCCTTTACTAATGAGGGAAGGGCAATGTGTACCACAAAATCTTCCAGTGAGAAGCAGTGTCGGGCTGAAACCATAAATTACTGAGTTAGTATCCAAGATTACTCTGTGATTTACACAAAAATCTGATAAATTTAAAACAGAAATAAATACAAACAATACGTGATGGACTGGATTCATCTGGCTCAGGATAAGGAGCACTGGAGGGCTCTTGTGAACATGGTAAAGAACCCTTGCATTATATAAAATGCTGATAATTTCTTCGGCAGTGCAGCAGCTGTTCTGTGTTCTGGGATATAATGCAGTGTAACCCACCGGAAGTCAACTGACATTTCCGGCAAACGAGTTGCTTCCACCTTCAGCTTTGCTTGTGCTCTTCAACCCTGAAGCTGGAGGCAACATGTTCTGCTGAAACACTGGTAGATTTCAGAAAATTATATGGCGTTATATCCCAGAAGATAGAACCCTTCGTAACCACTGCTGTGAGAACCTGAAATCTACCCATCGGTGCCTCATCAAGACTCAGTTCCCTGCAACAGTGGCACCATTTGACCATAAAATTCAGTCTAACAGATGTCTAACAGTCATAAAACTATTAATACTGACCAATCAAGATTGATGTAAACACTGCTAGCGAGTTGTGAATTGAAAGGTCCTGAACATCAACCTGAGCCAGCACGTCAATAAAATGAGATGAATGGTTCGAAGAACAGCACAGAGCCATCAACACACCTGCAAAGGAAAATTACATTAACACAGTATACAGCAGTAATTCTACGAACCATGTGCTTCCCAAACTCTACACTTCTCCCACACACAGCATACATATTTATATATTCTGTATCATTCTTAGAACACACTGCAATTATTTCCATAAATAGCACTCACTGATTAGTCTTTGAAATGGAGAATTGGTGTTTCTTGTGAGGTAAGAACTTTCACATATAATTTGGATAAATTTCAGGCTTTGGTGATTAATATTAAGAAAGTTAAATTTTGCAAAAAAAAATGTCATGTCACATATGAGTGTTTCATAAGATGGAGGATGGATGTTGTGAGGAAATAATTGTATGTACAGTAAACCCTTGCTATTCTGGATTAATTGGATTAAGCGATAATCCAGATTAGTGATGCAAAAGGTAACCCCAGAGGACAAAAAAACGTGGAACATAAATAAACAAAAAATGTAATGACATAAGTAGCGCTGATGAAAATAAATAACAAAAATATCACTTTACAGCCTTCATTTAAAACTATTAAAATCCATTTAGCCATCAACAGAAGACACAGCAGTTGTACTTGTTTTTGGAAGTAATAATGCAGGTTTGAAGATCCAGACTATCAAACATCCGGATTAATTGTAATCGGATTAGCAAGGGTTTCCTGTATTTAGCTCTATGACTCACCAAGCCACTCAGCAGAAAGTGAGTTGCAACACGCTGTGAGCTCAGCACATAAAATAGCATAGCAAGGGTTTCCTGTATTTAGCTCTATGACTCACCAAGCCACTCAGCAGAAAGTGAGTTGCAACACGCTGTGAGCTCAGCACATAAAATAGCATAGCAAGGGTTTCCTGTATTTAGCTCTATGACTCACCAAGCCACTCAGCAGAAAGTGAGTTGCAACACGCTGTGAGCTCAGCACATAAAATAGCAAGATCATTGAGGCGATCATTGTCAGTTTCATTACAGACAGCAACCACCGCATTGCACACAAAACTGTAGCGATTGTTGGGTGTCTCTGCTAACTGTCGAGCCCAGTGAGGTTCGATCCTTCCTGCAACATATATATTTCACACTAAGTTCCCTCTCACACATGGGAATTCATTGTAACTGTAACCAACACAGTTCAAAACACAAGCAGCACCACTCACAGGAAATATTAACAACTTATGAAATGCAATTACAGTGCAGTAATTCTTGCATCTTGGCTCTGCTACTGCTTATGAAGGTAAAAGTTAAACTTGTCCATACACTTAATAATCAAGTACTACACCATGAAGACATATGGGGAAGTGGAGATATAGGTCCACCATTCTTGACCTTGGCACTAGATGGAACTGAGCGATCAGCTCCATGCCCCAGCCACTTTATCCCCCACCCCCAGAAAGAACTCCTTGTAACCAGTGAATATCAGGCTGGGTGGGCCCCAAAGCTAGTCTGGACACTGTGAACTGGAGAAATATCTCTTATCTGTCAGGAATCGAACCCTAGCTGTCAAGTCCACAGCCTGTCACTATGCCAACTAAGCTGACTGCCTCTCTGAATTAACAATTTAGGAATTATAACTCCTTATGGTCCTTTATAAATAGCATACAGCAGTTAGGGTGGGCAACTGTTTTGTGGGCCATTTTATAGTGTTGCTAATAGCTAAGCTGTACAGCAATGAATGGAATGATAACAAATTGGAAAGGATTTTGAAGGAAGTGAGCATGTCATAATCAAGGTACTATTCTGGCATTCTCCTGGAAGACCTGAGGAAAATCACAAAAGACTACAATCAGGATGATAGTAAGTGCCCTAGCCAAGATCCAAAATGAGTAATACAAGTTTAGAGTGCTACTTCTAACTGCCATTATTTATAACAAGAATCAACCAATCAGACAATATACCTCCTCGACGTGGATTACTGAATACATCGGCCATAAACTGTGCGTTGCAAACGTGGTTCGAACTAGATGGCTGCACAGTGGAGTACAGGGCTTGACGGATCTTCGGATAAGCATTTCCGAACGGCTCAACGCAATGAGGCTTTGATTTTAGAAGACTACAGCTGGAGTACAGGTCATACAGGTGAGCCAGAATACATCGTTCGGCTGATGAACAATCACCTGGGTTCGTCACGTGCTTCACTACACGACACAAGCCTTCAAACACAGCCGTTGTTTGTTCTGGAAACACTGTATAAGAAAATACACTGAATTAATTCCCAGCCACCAGAATTTTAATACAAAACAAGAGTTGATGCTCAATACCATCAATAAAAAAATATCACGCCTACTGCATTAATGATACTACTTCTTCTGAAGGAAAAGATAAGTTTTCTTACTGCATTTCCTTTCTTCAAATAGTTGTGAGAATCCTGACAATACAGCAGCATTATATATATAAATTTACAATCGGCTCATGGTGTTCAAAGCGTGAACTCACACAAAAGGCAGCAGTGGTATCTCCTCAGAACTCCAACGACATACAGACTAAGGGACGTAGTGTAACTTCGGACAAGACCGGATCCTTTGGCCTGCAACTGTCCTTCTACTTCGGGAAGCTCTTTCAGGATCTACATATATACAGAGGACATATAGCATATATATAAGTTATACATATAATAGTCAGAAAACTTCTATTGTTTTGAGACTCGTAAACTCAACATTTCAGAGACTTGGTTCATTTCCACTTATAGGTATCAGAAGAAATGTTCCTACTCATTAGAAAGAGCTAGTCTCAATCATTGGAGTCACTAGGTCACAACACAGAAGATGATATTGAGTAGTTATTGGTCCATTCCCAGAGCAAACTTCTTTGGTGTTCAGATTCTTGGCTTCTGGGTGAGGACACACATGTTCGCTCATTTACTTACATACCCAGTATTCATATTATACATATATATGCACACAGTCACTACATGCTGCTTCAATCATTTCCCTTTTTTTTTATTTATAACCTCACTCCCAGTAGCAACAAACTAATTTGCATGAACACTTAAAAACAAATGACACTACTTACGTACTTACTCACTTATGGAGCTGAGCCCTTCTTGAGGAGAAGCCAATTCTGCAGCTACTCAAGGAATTCCCAACATTTTATGGAAACCTAAGTTTCATTAGCGTGTCCACAAAAGCCCTCCACTGGTCCCAATCCTGAGCCAGATCATTCCAATCCATACCATCCATTTTAATACTGTCCACCCACCTATGCCTTGGTCTTCCCAGTGGTCTCTTTCAGACTACAGTATGATAAAACATAAAACTCCTACTGTCTGTAGTTCCTATATGTAGACTACTACAAATATTCAGAGCAGAAACATATCGCACTGAGATCTCAATGTGGCTGTATATTAGTGAGCCTGGTAACACACAGCTTTGCAGGCTGGAATAGTTAGTACAGGCGCATCACAAAGCTGGAAGATTTCTGACGTAGGATGAGATATGGTCAAGACAAATTTTCCAGAAGAAGAATACCATCTTCTGGGATGCAACACCTGTTGCTTGCTTGGCTTATGTTCCCGCTCTGATGATTAAGGCAGCACGTTCCTTGAGAATGTTAGCAACCGTTATCACACTACAACACTGCGTCACATCCCAGAGGAGAGAACTCTTTGCTGTCACTGCTCTGGGAACCTCAAGTCTGATAGGGTTTTACAATATCCACTTGGAATTACCTGGATGCAAACGTCAATGAGATCGTAAATACTGAACGCCAATTCCATGAGGTCAAAGAGAAAGGCAACATGCTCCTGGACAGGTAAGTAGTTGGAACTTCCACTGGCAAACGAATTCAACATTTCTACCACTGTTACTGTACACTGCCATGTGACAACATGCTGATCAAAGTATGAAAGTGCTTGCATCTTCGCCGTCGTTGCCTCAAAGTTAAACTCACCACGCGAATGCTTCTTTACTTTCCCACCTACACAAGGAACAGAATATAAATCATTACTTAACTGAGTGGAGACAGAATGCCAAGCTCACAGATCTAATTACATAACAGCTCACATGTGGAAAATAACAGAACAAACACACAGTGAAAAATTGTTACCTTATTGTCATAAACATATGGTACTTTATAAATGTGAAAATCAGTACACACAAATCAAAGACAGTAGTCCCCACACTTCATTAATTCCATGCCATTTAGATGCACTGGGGAGTGGAGTTACAGCTCCATGCATTCCTAACCATGGCACTACATGGAAGTGAGTGGTCAGCTATAAAACAAAAAAATATCAAAGCAGTGGATATAAAATTTTTGGAAGCACTGAAGGGAAAACTAGAAGTGACAGAATTACAAATAAAATGCCTAATGAAGATGGAATTCAACATTTGTTAAGGAAGTTAGAGGAGAAAAAATTACAGAGGTCTTGCAACATAAATGAATGGTCAGAACACAGACACCAAGAGGGGCATTAGAATTACATCTAAAGGAAAGAGACCCATGGGACAACCTGGAACAAGATGATTTAGCCAGGTACTAAACACAACACAAATAGAGCAGGGAGCTGGTAGGAAATAAAAAATGAAACATTGCAGGAGTATAAAGATCAGGATATGCAAAGCTGTGTAACTGAAAGTGTGGCTATTATGACTGAAACAAACTCAATATGGACGGATCTACCTTCTGCAACATCAATACTGAACTTCTTGCTAAAAAGTTTGCAAATTTCTTTAGTCATTTTCTTAATAGTATGCCGAGCCTCGTCTCTGACTCTTCCAACTCCATAAAGCAACACGTGACGCTGATTGCAGTCGTGAAGGCTACCGGGCTCATCCTGCAAAATCAACTAAAATCAGTAACAATATGGCTCCTATTACAATATAAGTACTATTTAATAGCATCTGTATACTATCTTTGAGGGCACATCACCATCACATTAAACTGTTAGCAAAATGTCTCTAGATTCTATTTACTACACTTGATGGGAACCATAATCATCATGCCAGAGATCCTGTCGAACACACAGGACTGTTCTTGCAAACAGCTGCCTACTCAAGGCATGAAGTGTGGGAATGGGTACACAATGCGCCTTCCAGCAGCATGTTTCCAGTTCTCTCTCCCGTCTCAGGTATTGGGTAAGATCCAAAATACAGAATCTTTCCTTTACGTAATTTTAGTTCAAACATGAAACTCAGTGACAGTTCCTTTCGGGAGGTGGCCCAGTTCCAGCCCAGGCCAGGTCATGTGGAACTTCTGGTGAACAAAGTGGCACTGGGGCAGGTTTTCTCCGAGTACTTCGGTTTCTCCTGCCAAGTCTCATTCCACCGACTGCCCCACATTCATCATTTATCATCCTGGGTTGGTACAATAGGCAAGTTAGTGGCCGACATACCAAAGTGGGCTGTCTCATCCTTTTCAGAGCGTTCTGCTGCATACCGAGAAACAGCTTATATGGTGGAAATTTAACACTGAGATTATTGATTTGGGGTAATTAAAATTCAATGTTACATGAGAGAAAATATCGAATCAAGGAAAAATAAAGTGGGGTTCCACTGTACTATCATGTTTGAGAGTAATCCATTCCATACATGTGGCAGAGGAAAGTGCGTCGTATAGAGCAGATGTCTGGATCTCATTTCTCCAGGGCCTCCTGATTCTGCACCTTCCATTGGAGTTACAGAAGCCATAGGTGCTGCCACCAGTGAGCCAGGGGGCACACCATCATCTTTCGGTGAATCTGGAGCATCCTGTAGGAAATTCAAATACTGTAAAGCACTGTCTGTCATCCCTCCCGCACTGCCACTAGTACTACTGCTGATATTGCCGCTAAGCATGGATTTAATGAGGAGATACACTGTAACTGGCACACAACTCAGAATGGCAGGTTTTTAGAGATAAATATATTGTGGCATATTCGCTCAAAGCAAGAACTGTGAAGTCATAATAGCCAACTGACACTTGGCAGTGGCCCATAGAAACAGAGGAATGGTGTTTTCCGTGCAGTCCGTACCAATGGCTGCACATGCACAAATGGAACATGTCTTCCCACTGCTAAGCAACAATTGCACTGCAACAGAGGAATGGTGTTTTCTACATGGTCAGTGCTGAGCTGTTATAAGCAGGGCCAGTCAGTGGAGTGAGTGAGAGGACTGCTGTAGCACAGTCACTGTGTGCTGTTTGCTATTAGAAGCTGGTAGCTGAGGCCAGGGACAGTTCTGGAACCCAGAGGAATGGGAAATGTCCACTGTTGGAAGCTGTTACCAGACAACGACTGGTGGAGACACAGCAGGCTGAGAAGACTTAAGTGTCTGACTTTGTGAAACAATGATAATTACTGGTTGTTATGAACCTGCAAGTGTTCAGTAATTCCAATTACAAATCCAAACCCCATCTACAGTCACTCATACACGTGACAATATTATCAGACAAAAAAAGTAATATAAAATATGAGCTGAAAACACAAAAGAAACAGAATCAATTGTGCACACGTAACATCTATTGTCTTAATGGCAGCACACATCAGACTCGCCTCAGCAGACCCTGTGCTGATCAGCCACCTGCTAGGAGCAGGATAAGGAAGCCAGAAACTGTTTAGGAATGAGAATGAACCTCTTGGCTCCAAGCGTCCCAAGGCAGTGGCCCACAAGCACAGAGGGTAAGCAGCAGCATTCGGTTAGGGGCGCAGTCCTACACACAGTAAACTCACAACATGTGAGCTCAGGGCAAGAGGTCAAATTTCACCATCTGTACTTATCTGTATCCAGGGGCCAACAAATGGTGACCAAGTTCACTGGTCAGACAAACACTCTACTTGCCCAACATTCTGCACAAAGCAAGCCCCACTGATCAATGTCACTGTGCATGACAACTCGGTTTCAGTCCCCTGCCAGTTCCCCAACATGCAGGGCACACAAAATGCTGCCCCCACAGAATGCAGAAACATTAGGGAGTTGGAGAGGACAGTAACAAACAGTATTCAGACTTCCTCCACTTGTCAGTTTTGCGTCTTCACTCGTCACTGATGGGCAGAGAAATGGGTTACCTATAAACATACTAAGCACAGAACTCCTCCAGATGATAATTTGTGCTGAAATTACACCAGATGTCAAAAATGTTAGAAATTCTAGTTCGAAAACCTGAATGGATGAGGGCTCCTCAGACACCAGCATGAATACTGGAGTATATTAAGAAAAAAGTGCAAGAATGTGGGTTGGATTCATCTGGCCCAGCATATGCTCCAGAGACAGGTTATCAACAAACTATAACAATTTCAAGTTCAACAAAAGGCACAGCATTCATTGACTAGCTGAGGGGCTACCAGCTTGTGAAGGACTCCAATTAGTTACTTAGTCAGTTAATGAGTTCATTAGTAAGTCAGTCGGTAAGTCAGCTGCCTCATGCTTTGTCCCCACAGAAATCTATATTTATCAGAAGAAGTGCACACAGGTCTTCAATAATTTTACCAATGAATTTTGCTGCTCCTCCTTGATATGCTGCAACAGTTTGTCCAAGTCATCATCAATCTTACTGTCATCATAATCCATGTTCCGCCCATGATCCTGCAATTAAAATTTAATTTTCATGTAAGACAATGTGCTACATCAGATGGCATAAAAAAAGGAACGGTGTGGCAAACAGCCTGTAATGTCACAACGGCATGTGTTCCCCCACTTAACAGCAAAGTTTCACACAAACCACAATAACAAATCTTTACTGTTACTTTCTCCCTGAGAACATGTAACGTCCCAGAATACAGGAACATTCAAAGCTTACTTTGATTACATATGAAATATAGCAACCTGGACATCCAACTTGGTAGGCTTCAGATCGATACCAGGAAACAAGGAACCATCATCGTCTTGAATGCCAGAGTTGTTGACTGGTCCTCTGCTCTCGGCTGGAGTCGCAGGTTTGTTGCTAGTTGGATGATGAGAGGCGACTGCAGCTGGTCCACCAGTGTTCAGATCCCCCCGAGATATAAGAGTGCACATATACACATCATGGGAAAATATGTCATGGCGTATCAGCTCGGAGAAAAGATGTACCAGGTTCGTAAACATGGCTCGGTTCTGTGCAGTTGGGTTGTCTTCTGCAATGAACAAAGAACAGAGGGAAGTGCATATACGCATATTTGTTCCATGCAAGAACTGCTGAGCCATAGAAACAGCCGTTGCTAAGTAACACACGCAACAATGGAATAATGGGGTTATGCAACCCGTTTCTAGGCAATGGCTCAGTAAATACATTTCCACATAGGCGGTGACATCACGCAACAACAGAAGAGCTGTGTTTTCTGTGCGTGGTTCATGCCAAGAGGATGTAAGATTCAGCATAGTTCAGTTGAGTGAAGTGAAGTGAATATTTGGTTGGTGAGTGAAAGAGTTCAGTTGTCAGTAGGAGATAGCCACTGGAAGTTCCTAGTTGAAGAAGAATTAGAAGTCAGCCTGTGAAGACTTAGTGTGTGATTAGATTTAGTCACAGCGAGATAATTTTAATTCCGCTGCCAGGAGGCGACCAGTGAAGACTGACAATCCTAGTGCCTGTGTAATGGTGCACTGTAAAGTGTGTACATCAGTGACAGCGCTGTGTTGAATGTAATAAGAGAAACTGTAATTGAAATGCCAATAAATCCAATCATCTGAACTAGAACCTGTTACTTTCGTCACGTGTACCCCCTACACATGACAATATCTAAGATGTTTCAATTCTACAGCTCAGAGTGGGTGAAGTCTTCTTCAGTTTCCCACTGCAATTCATTCCACCATTGCTCCATACTTGTCTATTATCACTGCCCCTGAGGTGAGCGACCGTCCTTGCCAGGCAGCACATTATCACAGCCTCACTCTCTTGAGATGAAGGTGTGAGCCCTCAGACTTGAGGTTCTCACAGTGGTGAAAGTCTCACTGTGATGCTCTGAATTATAACAGTGAAATCCGGTAGGTGGTTATCATCACTCCAGAGGAACTTACTGATGCCGCCTTCCACAAAGAAATGGAAACCAACAGTTTCCTCTCCTACCCTGATGAAGGACCCTACACACGTCTCCAACAACAACACAAAGTGTTCTAGACAACAGGACACGACATTAAAGGCATCAAAACCAAGCCGTGATAGACAATCTTCTTCCTTTAATGAGAAGAAATTCCAAGACATGATCCACTGGTTCTGGTTTTAACAAAAAGTTTTTATAACTCTACTTTTAAATACTTGACTGTGTAAATAAATTAGTTATAATAACTCATAAATGTTCCAACCACTTCATGTACTTAGTTCAGTTACAAGGTACAATTTTTATGTATTAATGACAATGTAATAGAGGTTTCCTAAATGTTCATCGTGTGACCACCACCTGCAGCTCTGTGAGGTCACCACGGACACAGGAAAAAACGGCCTCCTCTACTGTTGTGTGACCTAGCAATGGACTGTTTACCAAGAATCTGTCTTTGTGGAAACTTGTTTACCAACACGTTGCCTAGCAAAGGACATACAGGTAAGAATAACATACACTGTGACAAAAGAACAAACCTTTGTACTTTAATATACAAAGATGATGAGATATTCTGCTACTGGTTTAAAACACTACCATTCTGAAATACACAACTGTACATAACTTTACAACTCTGCTTCTAACTTATTGCTTTACCTATGGTAAAGTTCAGCAACTGCAGCAAGCATTCTCACCTAAAATTGGAGCATCATTATCAAGGAACCGCATAAGAAGTGGCTGGAACACAGGGACTCCAGTTGGCGCTCCATTTGCTGACGATACAGAGTCCTTCTCATCAGCAGCATCTGCCTCACCAGACATGAGATCACTCTGTCTTTTCTCCAATAATTTAGCAACAGCCATAGCTCGATGTTCACCTGAGCGCTGACTGGAAACAGCCCATTCACACAGGATCTGAACCACAGCCTCATCTTGAAGAAGTGTCTGTAACATCCATTGCACAGTATTACCTGTAGTGAATCACTGTTCAAACTTGAATATACAGCATGTGTTTGTTTTTCCTCTGTTGGTTACTTAACAACTTTCAGTATGGAGACGACATAGCGTCACAAAATACCTGAGTCAGAAGGATAACTGGTGGCCTGAGCAAGATACCAGGAACCTCAAGAATGCTCCTCTAGAGCATTACCTCTAGACCAATTTGTTTGGTATATACAAGGTGGTACCGGAAAGTTCCCAGACTGTTACTGTTGTAACTGCCTCAGTGAAAGAAGATGAGAGGAGAGGTCAAGGTCACACTTCCACAAGCCTACTGCATCAGTCTGACATGTGACACCACGCTGTGAACATGTATTGCTTTTACATGAGTGCCTTTCCAGCTTCATGTTTCATTTTGTCTGCGATGGATGGAAAAATCAAGCAGTGTGTCTACACCAAATTTTGCGTGAAGCTTGATAAATCTGCTACTGAAACCCTTGAAATGCTTCGTGAGTCTTTTGGGGAACATTCTTGAAGCTGGACAGCGGTTTTTTGAACGGGATTCACATTTCAAGGTCAGTCAATTGTCAGATGAAGATCACAAATTTTCAGGGCAACCAAGCACCAGCAGGACAGAAAATGTTGAAAAAATTTGAGAACTCATCCACGAAGACTGTTGCTGAACAATCCATGAGCTCATAGCCCCTTGGATCAGTTATGGAGTTTGCCTGGAGATCTTAACAGAAAATTTGAACATGCACCACAGTGCTCCATTACAACACATCTCTGAAAACCACAGAGTTTGTGACTAACAACATGGTTATCATTCCCCATACTCCCTACTCACCAGGCTCAACCCCTTGTGATTTCTCTTTGCTTCCCAAATTGAAACTGAAACTAAAGGAACAACATTTTGAAACAGTGTCTGACATCCTAAGGGAATCGCAAGCACTACTCGACAGCATTAAGGAAAATGACTTCCATGGTGCTTTTGAAGCATGGAAAAAATGATGGGATTGCTGTATACGTTCCCAAGGAGATTGTTCTGAAGGAGATGGCAGCCAAAATTGAGTAAGTTAAGCCAGCATTTCTATTCTGACCTAGTCCAGGAACCTTACCTGCATGACTGCAAAAAGCGCAATTGCAATAGTCTTTTATTAATCCAGATTTTTGTGTGTTAATCTACAAGATGGAGGAGCAGAGATGACTCTTGTCAGTATAGTGACTTGGCTACGGGCTGGATGAACAAGAAATCTAGCTATGATCCCTCACCTGAGACAAAGATTTTTCTCTTCTACACAGAAAAACCAAGGGTCTGTCCATTATTTCTCAGTGTTCCAGGTATATATGTTGATGCAGTAAGCAAGAACGGATGATCTGAACAGTATATATAAAACTATACTTATATTACATATGTAAATACACTTACATAATCCGCTCTGTTCTCCCGTGATGAGTCACCACCATTGGTCCCGCTGTTCGAAACGGTACTATTACTACCATTATTACTAGTGGTGTTGGTGTTACCGCAACTGCTGCCTGCCAAACTCGACTCTTTGGTTCCCGGAGGTGCGAATATTTTGGCATACAGCGTATCAAGGGAGTTTGTAGCATCCATCCTGTCAAAACTGTGCCTGTCCAGGGCATCAAGCGCGGTGAGAACCTGAGACACGGACAGCACAATTTTTATATTAAAGGCTGATACTTACTTAGTTACTCATGGAGCTGAGCCCTTCTGGAGGAGCCACCAATTCTGCAGCTACTCAAGAATTTCCCAGCATTTTATGCAACCCGAAGGTTCATTACCGTGTTCACAAGAGCCCTCCACTGGTCCCTATCCTGAGCCAGATCAATCCAATCCATCCCATCCCATCCTATCTCTCTAAGATCCATTTTAATATTGTCCACCCACCTACTTTTGGTCTTCCCAGTGGTCTCTTTCCTCCTGGCTTTCCCTCCAATATTCTATATGCATTCTTCGGCTCCCCCATTCGTGCTACATGCCCTGTCTACCTCATCCTCCTTGATTTGATCATTAATTATTCTTGGAAAATTAATTTAAGTGAATTACATACAGTGCGTGCATGTTCTGCGTCAGTTTCCATCCCCACTGCTCTCCCTAGTTCTGCTGTGGAAAGGAACTCGATACAGCACCACACATACGAGGGAGAGTCAGTAAGTAGGTCACAAATGGAAGGAAAACAGCTGTGATGGATGTAATAGGTTTTCTGTGTGTATCTCTAGGTAGCCGCAGCTTCATGACAGTCCAGGTGGCCGACGCACATGCATATGTTCAATGGCTGGTTTCAGTGGTCCAAAAGGTGACTGTGTTTGAGGAATGTACTACCAAAAAGCAGCAGTCTGTTGTGAGTTCTATGTGGGCAAAAGGATTCAATGCAAAGGAAATGTTTCCTGTTTACAGCGGAAAGTGTTTGTCACATAAAGTGGTTCACAACCGGATCAAGAAATTCTCTCAAGGACATTCAAAAGTTGCAGTGGATGCCCAACTAGGTCACCCTGTTGAGACTGCGACAGTCAAGAGACTCCTCCTATGCTGCGGGTTTTGACGCGATGGTGTAGACAGTGTCACGTAACTTCGAACAAGGCCCCGCATTCCTAGTCAAATCCCGTGCATAGCTTGTGGTGGGAGGAGTTTCTTAACACTCATTCTTCCACTTTCACCGACCCACCCCCTTGTCTGAGATTTTTCTTCTGCACATTCAAGGTTACTCTTAGCCTTGTTCAAAGTTACGTGACACTTGCGATAAGACAAGTGCATCAGTGCTGGTAGTGAAGGATATGTCAAGAATAAAAAGTTTTTCCCAGGTTCAAATATCATGTTTTACATTTTATATACATTTGTGACCTATTTACTGACTGTCATATACACCCAAGAGATGACAATGACCCTCAGTTCCATAATGTAGCTCCATTCCCTCTACAGACTACTTACACATCACCAAAGCAGGTTTCCTTTCACATCAGAACAGAGCAGAGCATGCAAACAGCATCTGAGCACTGGGTAATCCTGTCCCCATAACCACCTGAGCAACAGGTGAAGAAACCTGACATGAACAGCACTGGGCTCGTGGCTAAGGTTGGAGCAAACAAGGTTTCAATCTATCTTGCGGCAACTGACTATTTTGACGGCTTCCCTGATGACGTACAGATGGTAAATATGGATGTCAGCTAAGGCTTTAGTTTTATCAGACAATGCTCCAGCTGATAGCAGCAGTGTCAGACTGTTGTTGGTCATTGCTTCTCTAGTGCAAGTACATGTTCACACACACTAGTTATAAATACTGAACACGAAATCATAACAAACCTGATGTTCTCACAGCAGTGAACATTAACTTTACAAGGTACTGGATGTGCTCTACTGTCACCAGTTTCCTCCAAAATATTCGTAATGAGGTAATGAACTGCATGACATAACATCCTAGGTGACCACTGTCTAAAGTAACTGCAATTCCATATCTTAATCTGGAACAGTACTCACCTTACTGGTAGTCCGTCCAGCAGATGACTGTTGCCACTTATCACAAGACCAACGTCCTTCGGCCGCTCGACTTCGATTACGAATATGTTCTTCGGCTGCTCGCAACTGACGTCTGAGAACAGCAATAACATTTTTGCATCATAAAAATGAAAATAACATTTTCTGAGAAAAAGAATTGGAATAGTGATATGATGTCATGGTTAATAACTTATGGTTTCGCTAAAGAAAAGGTTAAGATGCACTACCCTTATGCCTAATTAACCAGCACACAATAAAAAGTGTAGGGAAAGCTCAGCAACAGGGCTGATGCAAGTTACAGGGGTAACCACATGCAAAGGAATGGGAAAGACAGGGAGAGCTTACCTAACAGCAGGATTGTTGGCCCTCTGGGGCATTGGAAGAGTTGACGGAGCACAGGACAGATGGTCTAAAGATGAACCATTCAGAACTGATGGAGATTTGCCCTCTCCTACACAGTTCCATACCAGAGCTGTTGCGCAATCTAGAGTTACTGCCTGTGGACAGCCAAGGAAACACTGACAATTAGCCCGCAGACCTAACAGTCATTTTTTAATTTCTTCACTGGAGTTAGTACTCACACTACAAAATATTGAACATACTTATAATTTTTCAAAATGGTTAGAGGATTGACTAACCTGCAGAATGGCACTTAATCCTAATACAATATCCCGGTGATGCGGGCAGCTCATGTATTCATTAAACGTCACCAAAAGTGGGTTGACTGGTGCTGTCTGCTGTGTTGGTCCTGACTGCGGCAGAATACTGCTGGAACAAAATATTACACAATAGGACATATGATATTTCATAATTCAAAATCTGATTCACCACACAAAAACATGGTCCAAGACTGAGAGAGGATTGTCAGCAATGTGTACGGACCAGTAACTGAACAAGGGGTTTGGCTGAATCAGAACTAATCAAGAACTCAGGGAATTACATAGAAGCCCTGATGTGACAGTGGACACTACCATGAGAAGACTGGAGAGGTTGGGGCATGTGGCCAGAATAGATCAACAGGCCACTTGTCCAGTGACTGAAAGGAACTAGTTCATTCCAACAGGCCCAACCGGGTAAAAACCTTTCCTTCCTTACATCTGGCGAAGGAAATGGATCCAGTTTTTGAAACTCAAATAAGCCTCAGATGACAGACAACAGACAGCATAATATCCATATAATGAATCAACCACTGCACAAACCTTTAGATTTACAGAGTATCACATGCCCAAAAAAGTTATATGGTAAAGACGAGTAGCTGTCTTGCTTTACAATTAAAGGAAGACAAGACTGTCAGTCTGTGTTCTGTTTTATAGTTGATTATTTTAGATATACACAATCTTTATATCACTGTATACTAGTCTTTATTGGAATTTATTATGCTATTAATGTATGTTATACAAAACTCATTAATGACATTGTGTTTTGTGTTTTAACTGTACAAACTGTATAAGGTCTGCCATTGCTCTTACTACCAAAATTAACTTATTTATTATATTGCATATGTTTATCAGTATTCTATTACAAATGTGTATGCTATTGGATGACAACTGTAATTCTTAGTTGTGACTGTAACTAGGACGGTCTCCACATTCGCATGAGAATGTACTCTAGACAGGATTAATGGAAGGTGAATAAATGAAATTAAATTAAATCCAGTGTGAGTAACACGATAAACTTACATGTTCCCTGGCAAGAGGGGGCTCTGGGGTGAAGCGGATGGTGGCAATGCTGGTGAGGAGGACAGGGCATTAGTGACGGCTGTGTCAGTAGCTACGGAGCACAACTGTGCAAGTTTTTTAGCACAAAGGTATGCTAACTTGCGGGCCAACAGCTCTGATTGCACAAATTCATCCAGATATTGCAGTGCGAGTGGTAAAAGTAGTTTCAAGATCCCATCATCGGATGGAGACGATCGCATCTTATCCAGCAGTTCAAGTATCCACTGCAGAAATTCCTGTCGCTCGAGGAGACCTTCCTGCAAAGTTAAAATTAATAGAAAGGTACATATAAGAGGTATAAATTAAGGTATGAGAAAGAAAAAGCAGTAGCTATGAGATTTGAGATTCCCATGGCTCTCACTATGAAGACTACTACGTGACATTGTAGTCTGACAGCTCATTCCACTGCTTCACAAGAATGTGCTGCCTCCTTTATCAGGTAGAAGACACAATCCTGAAGATGGAGTCATCATGTTCCTTTGAAATTATGGTAACATTCCACTAGAACACACATACACAGGTTCAAATTCTGAATGACAGTAATCTTCATCAGTATTCAAAATGATAGCCTGGCCACCACTGGCGACCAATAAGGTACCACAAAATAACGAACTGCATCTTTCTGGTAACCAAATTTTCAACAGTTTGCCAGCCACTGTGCCACTTACCTCATACAGATATTTGGCCAACTGGACACAAAATTGCCACTGCCTCTGTGCCAATTTCTGATCCTCTGTCATTGCAGGAACAGAGGTGCTACCAGCAGTTGGCTGCACTGAACTGGAACCAGCGTTCGTGTTTACACCTGTGTTTGTGGATGAAGCTGCGCCAGCAGACGCAACAGGTGTGGCTGTTGAAGAGCCGTTGCTACTGCTACCATTACCAGCAGCATTATTACCACCTGTGGCGCTACTGTTAACGACGCCTGTGCTCACACTGCTGCTGTTAGCTGCAGTGCTTGCAGTTCCACCACTAACATTTCCTCCAGACTGATGATAAAAATCCTGAAGCCTGTTCAGTTGGTCCTTCAGAAATTTTATAAGGGTGGCTGTCCATTCTGCAGGAAAATAACTGCAGTGAGAAGGTAATTCAATTTAACAGTGCCATTTTACTATACACATATATACCTTGACTCACATGTTTCTGAAGCAAGCAACTTTTGCATACAGTAAACCCTTGTAATCCACAATATGTGGGGGGGAGAGGTCATCCAGATAAACAGATAATCCGGATTAACGAAGCAAAAGAGAGCACTAAAAGACACAAGAAACTAAGAAAACAAATATATGGAAAATTTAATAATATATGTAGTGTTGATGGAAATAAATAAAAACATATTATTGTACAGACTTAGAAAGTATAAAAAGACCAAAACTCTGAAATCCAGGGTCTTCTTCCAGTTCAAGCCAGTCTTGGATATCTTCTTGTGTCATTTCAGTTTCTCCAGCTGCCCTCAACACAGTCTGAAAGCCCTCTTGTTCCTAAATCCCAGGTGTCTTTTAAAGTATGTACTCAACTGTGAAGAGAGTTTTTAATTTTCCATATTTTGATCTCGATTATCCAACATCCTTATTAGCTGTAACTGGATTAACTTGGATTTACTGTACTGCAATTTTATGAGAATTTTTAATTCAATATTTTCGGCAAAGACTAAAAAATCTGTTGACATCTGCCAAAGACAAGGCAATTATGATTAATATATAGTTAATATGATGAACAGCTGATATCTTTTGGACATGATGCCATATAATCTGGTAGATCACTGCGTTTCAAAGGAAGCTGCTGCTGCTGCTGCTGCTGCCATCTTGTGTTGTGTGACAGAAACAGGAGGTTCCTCTCAAATGTTGGCAACAATCTACTTGAGTACACAGCATCACAGCCAGAAGTCACTGCTGTGGTGACTTCAACTGAATTATTTATTTTATGACACGGCCTACATCTATCTTAGACTACGTAGTGTCTAGACATAGGATGAATGGTGAACATTGAACAGAAAAGAATTTGTAAGTAAATGGTTGTCGCCTAAAACAACGCAAGGCTCTGGCATATTTGCAAGAGTGGGAAAACCATGAAAAATCTCAGTCAATACAGCCATGATTCAAAATTAAATAATTTTCCTGGGGAGTAAAGGGCGGCCGACACGTAAGGCTGACAACCTTACTGCCCTCTTTGAGCCGACTGTCTAGATAATGTGGGACCCTCAACATCTCACAACCCTAGGGGCCTTCATGGCCTGTGTGAGAGATAGCTTTACTTTTTACTTTTTACTTTTTACTTCAAACCAAGTACATTTGAAACACAGATCCACAGCATTACTACTACACAACCTTGCTTGGTTAATAGAATGACACACTTATTAGCAATGGGAACACAATAAGGGCAGTGACACCTTGGGAGTAACAAAATCCTTACCTTGAGACGGATCAGACAGCTGACGCTTCTTGATCTTCACTTCGGACACAGCTACTGTATACGCATAACTCAGCTTTATGAACCATGCTGCTCGCAACATTGGAACTTGGTACTCACACAGCATAATGAAAATTTCTTCCTTCTTGTTAAAATTAGGTGCCTAGTGAAGACAAAATTGAAGACAGTTATGTAACTAACAAAACTACAATACTTGTCCTCATGTTTCTGTATGACTTTGGCTTTCAGGACTGCAAAACACTCCACTCTGAAGGTCTTGTAGCAGATTAACTGCTGCCATCTTTCAGGTTAATGTCTTCCTGGGGTTGGGGGGCTGCGGCAGGGTCTCTACGGTGGGCGGAGAGCTGCAGAAGAAGCTGAGGACAACATCCTGCTCCTTGGATTTTTCCATGCCCCATTCGCCACCAAAATCCAAAATTCTACAATAAACTGGAATGATCTTTAGCACTGCAGCCTTACCTTTTTCGATAAGCTGCTGAGAGGTTTGCTTCCAGCAAGGTCCTTGAACCAGGCTTCTATAGCATTTTTAGTCCTTGCTGTAGCGGGCCAAAAGTTGTCTTTTGGGTTTATCTGCTGACGTTTACGCCCTGTGTCTGGAAGGGTATTCAATTCCTCCTTCTTTGTCAAAATTGCATTAAAATATGCTCCAACCTAAAGTGACAAGGAAGTTTTTATATCATAAATCATGGTAAGTTACATTTAATATAATAAAAGAACAAATATATATTTATTTTTTCTAATTCCACACACCTTCGAAGCCGTAATATTGCAGTTTCTCGCTGTACCAAATTCATCTGAAAGCTGGGGCAGAGTTGTAAAACCATGCTTGACATTTAATGTTGTCAATTCATCCTGTAATAATGAAGTCATGAGTGACCACAAGGGTTATTATACTCGGGTCAGCCAAAAATTAACAATAAATGGTTGGCTCCAAGTCTGAGGCCTGCGCCTCCACCCTACCTCCACTGTGTACCTCCCTAACACCCAAAAGAAAGAAAGAAACTCAGCAAGCTGTCAGGGCCAGAAACACTGCTCATGTTTATTCATGAGATGCTGGGTTAAAATCTCAGGTGGGACAATGACAACAGCTTGGCATCAGTAACACAGATTATATAAGGGTCAAACAGCAGGTAGATTAGTAAATAATTAACTAGAATGGATATGACAGGAAGTAGATGTAGCCTATTTCAGGAAGTACTCTGGCAGATCCCTTGATGGACTGAAGAAAACCGAGATAAATAACATGCAGGAAATGGTCTCTGGGTTGTAACCTGAACCTGGCACCTCCTGGCACAACTCAACCAGGCTAAGAACTGACACATTTGAGTGTATACAGGTTTATGCTTAAGGTATATTTTTTAATGTTTTGCAATGTATCCATTATATATCATGAACTACGTATGTGCTGTTGACTAATGCATTGTTGCATTATGTATTTAAGCTGTCATGACAGTAACCACATAGATACAATGTAATTTCTTAATGGATCTATGGTGAACTAATAAATGAATGAATGAACTCCTCTGTACAGAACTGTAAGGTTTATTTTGGACCCTATCCATCCTCTGGTATATATAAGACAAAAACCACAGCATTTCGGAGACTGGATCTGTCCCCGTCCTCAGGTGGATGGTGCAAGAGAGAGACCTCTGTATTTATTATATTCATAGCTATTACAATAAATGGATTTCCTGAGATGATTCTATGGTAAACTAATGGCATACCTCTTTTTGTTTTGGCTCCTGGGGATACACGTCTGGAGGACCAAGCCGAGGTCTCTTCAGGGCTCGCTTCTCATAAGAGAACCCCATCATTGTAATCTAAAGCAATTTATGGCTGGAACTTCTGTTTAAAATTATAAAATAGAAAAAAAAAATCCTGGATTAGGCCTCTGTGTATCTAATTTTCAAGACAAGAATGTAAGAATTGACAATTCAGACCATGCTTAGTACTGTTTTCTAAATCACATAAAATAGGCACCTCACATTCCACATCAATATTTCCTTTCCAGTAACACAAGCAGCGAAATGCCATGTTCTTCACAAGTCACTATAAAAACAACCTTGAAGAAGTGAGTATTGCCTTATATCTGTTAAACTAAGCTGTCCCTGTGCTTACTTAAGCACCACACCACCAAGTCAGGTGGCAGACTGGAGGAACAGTCCCAAGCAATCTTAATCTCTTGAGCAGATGGAGGGGGGTGGTCAGCTTCACACCCTGGCTGCTTTACACAGCGAAAAACAGAGTCAAAATCTGAATAGTTAGTCATTCCAACCTGTAGCGTAGTCACTATATTCAATGACCTATCCTGGCTACTTTTATTTCAGTCCTGTAAATACTTTCACAAAAGCTTCCACATTACATCGAACCAGGTTATAAGTGTCAAATGTGACGTTCTTATAAGTAACTATGAAGATTACCATCTCCTGGGATGTGACGACATGTAGTCCCATAAACAATCACCAATGTTTCAGGTGAACCTCTATTTTCACTACCTCTCCCATTCTCTATGCCCTTGGAAAACTACCCTTTAAAGGGTCAATATCGTTCACACTAGTCTCCTTTCTCCTCCTTAGCTAAAACTCCAGTCCTTTCACCCCATATATCGTGCCTTATTACTTTACCAGGAAGATTGAGGCAGTAGCTTCCTCCGAAACGGTAGTAACGATCCGCCACAGTACACGGCGACATATACCAGGAAAGTATCATCCGTTTAGAATTATTAAGGTTCCACTATAATATTAGAATGAAGAAAACCTACTCTCATTAAAGACGGAAATTCCGTTTGCAGTGGCTTTTACTGGCGTTTAACACTTCAGCAAACTTCCAGTACATGATTCTACAGTACGAATAACATCGGATATCAGACGAATGCGATCATAAACGTACGAACGTACTATACTGTATTTTCGACTCCAGCATCCCTGACAGCCATCCTGGATATTTTTATGCCATGTTGAGTTTAACAAACACGCGTACATCACTAACATAAGTCGCTGTTTGTGACTACTCATACCACTGATAAAATTCAAATAAAATATCATCTAATCATAATTAACTGCAAAGAAACTTCATCTAACACTCCTCCCTGCCATCCAGACATTTCTAACAACACAACCTGCCCTCTACCTAAAATGTCAGTACCGGCCACTACTTCCACCGCGGCCGCCACTGACGCCGTTCCGTAGCAACCATGACAACTATCTTACCGATTGCACTACCGACGTCTTTGATGTGTGGTTCCCGAAACGCCCCATACGGGATGGTAGAAAGCTGGGTTGTGAACATGGTTCACTGTCGTGTATTCACGTGTTCACGTACACGTCGTGTATTTCTAACCGGTAACATGTAATATGCAAGGATGGCAAAGTATCCAAAGTATTGTCTCCCGTATGAGTGACTATAGGCGGGATTTGGATCGGTAATTGGATTTACTGAAACTCTTATGACGCGGGCACACCAAGGAAACTGTCAACCGGAAATTGCGGTTGCGTTGCAGTTGCCGGTTTCCTTGGTGTGCCCTCGCCCTTACAGAACCTAACTATAAGTAACTATAGCGCTATCGCTAACTACACACTCAACAATTCACTACAGCACGCCGTAAGTCTTTTCAGTCAGTTGTGTCTTCACCAGTCATTGTCTGGTAATGGCTTCCACCGTCATAGATTCCTGAGCTTCTGTGTTGAAGGGCTTACCGGCCAGCAACTATCTCCCAAACAAACTCTAGACGCTCTAGACTTGCCCTGCTTGTAACACCTTATAAGGACTCCATAGAAAACACCGCTTCCAAAGTCAAAGTTACATTGCGACTGACGGCCAATCAGTCAGTCAGTCAATCTTGGTGTCGAGCCCAATCTGGGGCTCAGGACCAAATATTTATTACTGTTCGATAGTTTCGGTCTTGTTTTTGTGGGGCGCCCTCTCTTAAGAGAGGTCTGTCTTTTGTTAGAGTCATTGTCTGCAGTAGTAAGTAATTTGTTTTAATGTAAGGGATAATTAGATTTTACACGTTGAACATGTTAACAAATGTATATAAAATATATATAGGGCCTCTGTCAGTTCAGGTTTAGTACAGCAGATTATGCTCTGTTTGTAGTAGACTCCGCTACAACAACAGTCTAGTCCCTTGAATGGTCATATGCTTGGCCACCACCAAGTTTAAGCCTCTTATACATATATTTATGCCAGGCTTCGCCTTGTCCAATATTGCGAACATTTTCGTTATCATGATTTTTTATGACTTCTGCTTGTTGCCTGCATAATTTTGTTATATAATCATATACATACGGAATGTTGAAAGCAATGTGTAAATTGCAAACCGGCGTGTGCCTTGGAAAATTGACAATGGTGCAAAGAACCTTGTTTTGCAGACACTGCAGTTTCATTAGATGGGGTACCTGCCACAAATTCCCAGGTAGGGCTAACATAAGTCATTACAAATTGAATGAGAGCTTTGTGGAGGGTCAGTTTAATGTTAGCACTTAATCGCTCACTTTTGGATAGGGAATACAATCTTATAAATGTTCTGAAGGCCTTGGCTTCGATCATTTCTATGCGCAATCTCCATGTAACCCTCCTTTCGAAGATTACACTGAGATAATTTACACTATTTACAAATGGAATATATCTTCCATTCAATGTAAGATGAGACACAGGCAGATGACTGCAAGAGAAGTAGATCCCTTGAGTTTTATCTTCGTTAATTTTAATGTTCCAGTGCTTAAAGCTGGTCTCCATTGAGCTGAGACCACCCTGGGGATTTCTAAGAACAAAACCCTCCTTGCGATCTGTCGTATACAGACAGGTGTCATCTGCAAAGAGGGCTAGATGACACCGTGAGTTTGTGGGACATCATTTATATACATATCGTAAAGAGTAGGAGACAAGACCGAACCTTGTGAGAGCTCTTCCAAGTTCTGTTGTTGTGAGACACAACTGTTGCACCGACCACGTAGAGAACATCTATTACCATTTAGTCCATTGGTGCATGTTAGAAATCTGTTGCCTAGCAAAGGGGGATGTTTACAGAATCATTACTTGGTAACAAGTCCACAAGCTACAGTATGTTAGGTCACTCCTGTGTGTACTATTACTAATACTAACAACAACAACAAGAGTTCATGGATGAAAAATGATTTCCTTTGCATAAACTGTCCCTTGTATTAATTTTTGCTTGTTAAGTCTTTTCTGGGCTGCCTACCCAAATTATCATCCTAGGCATCGTCTTCTGTCATGGCTCTTTTATTGGCATGGCCATTAACCTTATTACTTCTCAGTTTTTTATATTGTGATATGGTGGCTGAAAGCCAGAATTGTGGATTGACGAGAAGCATCCATTGCTAGGCTACAGCAACCTGAACAGCTCGCCACTGCTAAGCAACGACTCTGTAAACACGTTTCCCGCGGCAACAAATATACATGACAATTGGGGAATTGCTGGAGAACAGACACACAAAAGAGGAACCATGGAGACAGTGAGAACACAGCTTTTTTTTCATACATTTATTATACGTAAGCTGCAGAATCTGCAATACATGTACATGCTCAATAAGCACTGGCTCCTGAATGAGTTATGCCCAGTACCGTAACTTGTATACTTATTTTTCCATTTATTTAGGTATCATTTTAATTCTTGTATTGGGGTCTGTCCAACAAAATGTTGCATGAACTACTCTTCTATCCTCATACATTCTACATGCCCCACCCATACCATCTTCCTTTATTTGATCATTCTATTTGGCAAGGCATATAAATTTTGAAGTCATCGTTATGCAGTTTTCTCGCATCTTTTTTGTTACTTCATACGCCTTACATCCAAATATTCTCCTCAGTACCCAGTTCTCAAACACCCTCAATGTGAGAAACTAAATTTCATACCCATACAAAACTAAAGGCAGACTTATAGTTTTGTAAATTTTAATCTTTATGATTCTAGACAAGAGGACAAAGGATTCTGGAAAGAATGGTAGCAAGCATTCACAGAAAGTATAAACTTTATTATTTAACATTATACATACATCTTAAAATTATTACATATATGTACAAGATAAAAATGCAGATGCAGCAAACAAAATGTTTATTGTTATGGAAATCAAAATTATTCCTCAGAATACATGGCTGTAGGTTGTACTGTAATACATATCACTTTTGTCCAGTATTCATACTGTACATGTCTAACTCATCATTAAAGATGAGTTCACTTATGTACCAGTTATATACATTTTCTGCCGAGCTACATTAAATTTAAATTAGTATCCAGGATCGATGGTGACATCTGTAGGGTCGAGGACATACAGCAGAATATCTCCTCTGCCAGTCCCATCCTCCTGCTGCACAACCGTCCCGTCTGAGAAAATGAATGTACTGCCTGTAACATAAAAAAATATGTGAAAAATGAAATAGTACAAAGGCAAATAGATCCTCCTTTCCAAGGCTTTTCAAAAAGTGCAGGACAGTACCAGAACAATACTGGTTACAATGGTTTGGGAATGTGAAAAGAATGGATAGACAGGACTAACAAGCACAGTGAAGGAAGTAGACCTCTGGGATGATCTAGAATAAGAAGGTTCAAGCAGGTACTGAAAGACATCACAAACAGGAGTACGAGCTGGCAACAAGCTCAAAGTAAGGACTGTGGCAAGAAAGAAGAGAGCAGAGACTTTCATCTATCAGTCAATATAAAACAGAAATGATACTGAGGTTGTGGGAAGGAGGGGAGGAGAAAGAGGAGGCAGACAAGGAGGAAGGAAGCAGTGGTAAAGGTAACTTTGTCACCGCACTTAATCAAGTGAAGATGTATGGGTATGTGAAGGCACAGCCACACCAATCTTGCCCTCAGCACCATACGGAGGCAAGTTCTCAGCTTCATGCTATAGTTGCTTTAACCCAAAAGAAAGTGTTCCTGGTACCCAGTAGCTAGGAAGCTGGGTGAGCCCCAGAGCCAGTCTGGATACTGTGGAGTGAAGAAAAATCTCCCCGTCATGCAGCCTGTTGTAGCCTGTCGCTATACCTACACAGTGTCACATCCCATGGGACCATAATCTTGATGACTTATGCATCTCTAAATGTAGCTCAAGCCAGCCCTCTTTCTCAGCAAACAAAATTCTGTGTAATGGAACATGCATAAAGTTTCAATACTCACCTGCTGTTACTTGGTCACCCTGGATCGCTGTTTCCACCTGGAGTTCCATATGGTCACCAACTGCACTCTGAGCCACTGCTGTCCCCACTTCACCATCTGCGCTACCGAGAGGCATGCCAGATACAGTTAACAGTATCTCTGCTCCTGCAAAAGCATTTACATCAGTCATAACCATAAGTAACAGTGAAGTCCTTAATTAAGCATCTCCAGCAAACTGAACCTTGGAGCTGAGCTCAAGTTTGCTTCTGATTGTATTCACATGGTACCAACTTCAAATCTGAGCCAAGACATCAGTTCTATAGACTGAGGATTTCTGTGGGTTTCCTCAGTCCCTACATAAAAATGGTGGGATGGTACCTCAAATTAAGCCATGGCTGCTTCCTTCCACATCCTTTCAAAGGCATTATTCACAATCATAATCCAGTCATGTGACACTACAGAGTCCAAATTAGTGGCAGTGTCGTTAAATGAACTACTAACTAAATGTAGGAGACGTGGAGGTGGTCAACCTGTAGGATTTCTTTCTGTAACCTCAGCATAAAACTTTTAACTGGAATTAAAACCTGTCAGCCATATAGGATTTGTGAATTCAAAATCCCATTCCCAGAGCGTAAATTTTGACCAAAGAAAATGAGATACCTTCAGTTTGATCGTCAGTCTGGGCCATGTTGGGATTTATCTGCTGTGATGTTTGTGCAGCTGTTACTGCAGTGTTGCCATCACTCAGTGACTGGGGATGTGCAGCCACTAGACTGGCATTCAGCAGCATGCTAGCTGGAGCACTGTTACCACCTGCTTGAAGTTTATCAAGGAATCCTGGAGTGGCCCATTCCTGATGAAGTTCACCGTGGCGATTTTCGAGATGACGTCGAATTGAATTGCGATGACGAACAGACATATTACAATATGGGCATACAAATATGTGCCCACTATGAAATTTTCTGATGTGACCTTTCAACATATGCTCCTGCAACAGATTTGTATACACTTTTATTACAGGCAAAATATTATGAACTCCATGGAAAGTTGTTATGAAAACAATTCAGCATCTGCTTCAAGCACAGGTCTTGATGTCCTTCACACGACTGTTTACATTCTTCTGTTGTTAAACCAGAGACTAATGCAAGACCAGCATACAGATGGGAGCATATTGTTAGGTCTTCCTACCCCTTGTCTCCCATATAGATCCACTATCAGAAGCCTTCAGCCATGAACTTCAGAATTTATTGCCTCATCATCACTGCATGCTGAGTGTTTTTGCTTGGCATGTGAGATACATATATGTATCTGATAAATTCCCGAAGTACCCTATGAAAATTTTGTTAGGAGATTTCAATGCCAAAGTAGGGAGGGAAGACATTTTCAAACCAATAATTGGGAATTAGAGTTTGCATGAAATTAGTAACATACTAATTAACAGTATTAAATCTGTACAACTATAAATCTGTGCAGTAGGAAAGCGGGTTTTAGGAGATGTGCTTTAATTACTTACAGTCCTGGCACCATGATAATGGGATCTGTATTTAAACAACATGACACTAGGCCTCCCAAGGCCTAACAGACTGGAACAGCTGTGCAACGCTCGTACCATATGGGTTAAGTGGGACTTGAGGTTCTCACTCCAATGACTATGAAGATATAGTCTTCTGTGATGTGATACCATGTACTTTGGTAGAAAGGAACCAATGTTGTGGAATGAATGTATAAGGGATGAGCCTTCTCGGCCCTTGCACCGTGACCTACAGTCGTCTATTGTGCTTTAGATAGGTACCAATGTTTTGGAGGAAGTTATTGTCTCCATTTTCAGGGTAGAAGAGTAAGTCAAGTGGGAAAATATGATCCCAGTCTGTCCTTCCTTCCCTACGTCATCATTTGTCACATACAGCTTACTATTCTACCCTGAAGATGGAGACAGCAGACATCCAATCCCAGTAGATAGTAATCTTCTTGTTTTAGGTTACCTTATACTGAATGACACAGCTTACCTTAACAAATCCCTTGTCACACAGATGGCATAAGTGAATACGTCCTTGTGTATGTTCTAGCATGTGCTGGGCGAGATAGTCCCTTGACGTGAAATTCTTATTACAATGATCACACGTCAGAATCATTTTGGCATTTGGATTATGCATAACAGCATGTTTCAGCAAATTGCCCTTCTGGAAAAATTTCTGTAAGGAATAAAAGCAATTACACAGAACAGAGCCTGTAACTATGGAGTCATTAAAAAATCCAGTTTATCAGCATTATAATTTGTAAAAAAGGTACGGGTGACTCTCGTTACACAGGGGGTTTACATTCCTGAAAAATGATGTACATACTGAACACATGTAAAATGGGAAAACAAACTGAATGAACACAGAGAATGGTGGGGCATTTCAGGAAAACTGCCTGCACAAGTCACTGGGCACATGCCTTAGCTTCTACTGTGGCTGTGGACAAGGCACTACTGCTCCTGACATAGCAGGAAAATAATAAGGGTACCAAAAGTGCATATGAGACACATACATAGCGTAATCCCCATCCAAGATTTATTTCTGAAACAGTCAATTTGAAGATTAAACTGAGAAAAATCTTAAATGGATGTAACTTAACAGTGAGAATCACTGAAATCACTGAAACTGGATGCTAGATGAGGGAAAACCTTAAATCAAAGATCATTAAATGGAGGTTGCATGTACTAAGGTACAACTGCATTACTGACTCTGGAAAGTGTGGGCCACAACAGAATTAGTCCGCAGAGATGTCACACCATGCAGTGTGGCAGACTGGAACCAATACTGCAGAGGAACCGTGTCGGCTCCATCTTCACTGTAGATGAAGATGCAGCGAACAAGTTTCTCTGAAATGTCAGGACCTACCAAACAGATCATACAGGATTATATTCCAGATGACCATAAGATCTATGTTCAATTATTTCACAAATGCAAATAGCATCTAAGTTCAGACTAAATGCCTTACATCCCTTTCAACTGCTGCCAATACATTCACTGACAACACCACCACCTGACAGGCTGAAGTTGAGTGTGTGCCAGTGCCAATCCTGTCAAGTGACGAGCTGTTGCCAGTGTGTGCCAGTGCCAATCCTGTCAAGTGACGAGCTGTTGCCAGTGTGTGCCAGTGCCAATCCTGTCAAGTGACGAGCTGTTGCCAGTGTGTGCCAGTGCCAATCCTGTCAAGTGACGAGCTGTTGCCAGTGTGTGTATAAATGCCATTTTCTCCTATAAATGAAATTCATGTGCAGAGAAATTTTAAAGTGTGGTTTGTCAAAGCCTGAAAGAATCAATGCATGGTGACTGCTGACTGTCTTCACACTTGTTCTCTTCTGTGTGGAACAATGGCTGATCCAGCAAGTAAAACACCAGTATCATGGCACCAAGTGTGTTGATGTCCAAGTTTCAGAATCATTCCCACTACTTCTACTCTAACCTTGTCGCAGTCCATACAAGAATATCGCCTGATGCCTGTGTGACGGTGCATGTGGACATCTAGGGACTTCTTGGTCTTCAACTTCTTGTTGCAGAGAGGGCAGGGTATGTGGGCCTCCTGATGCACAGAATGATGCTCCTGCAGCACGTCTTTACGATGAAACTTCTTGTTGCAAATCTGACAGGCAAACTTGCGCTCCCCTGTTGCACACACAAACATAAACCACTTGTGTCTAGTATTGTGAAAGAACATTTCAGAGGGTGGGTCTGTTTCTGTCATCAGGCGAAAAGACACTCAGGTGGGTACACAACAAGGGACCTAGTCTCAATCACTGGACTGGACTAGCTCCTTCTAATGGACTCAACTGAACATGTGCTTCCCCACCTATTCACCTTATTGCACACAAAGTGTCTTTCTATGATGGGAGGCTCTCAGAGCGATGGTTACAAAGAGTTCTATCTTTTGTGATATAAGGTTGTATAATCCATTGAAACTCATCCAACATTTCAGAGGGACATGTCACCTCCATCTTCAGGGTCCAAGAATAAGTAAACAAGAGACTGGGGTGAAAGCAGATGGCAAGCAGAGCTTGGTTTGGCTGAAGATGGAGGTGACATGTCCCTCTGAAATGTCAGCTGACTTTCACTGGACTACATGGCATTATATCCAGAAGATATAGTTTGTATGTCTATTTTTGTCATTTTTACACAAATTCATCTGCAGCTGGCAGAAGTGAGGCTGGAAATAAAGAAGATGAAAAGGGTTATAAAGTGGTCCTCTGGTTTATGACCCTTTGTTTTGGAGCAGACTGCTCCTTCCAGCATGTGAAGTATTTTGCCACCCCTTTAATTTTTGGATAGAATTTTCCCTTTCCCTTCCTATTAATACATACGGATGCATGCCAGTTATTGTGTAAAATTACTTTAATTTTGGCATCTTAAATGAGCTGATGCTTACCATGTAGCTGCATGTGTGCTTTCAGGATATGGATTGTCTTGTACACCTCGCCGCAGACATCACACACTACTCCCGACTGACTGCTATCATCAGCATTTCTCTTCTTTTGCGAAAGCACTTCACTCATTTCTCCCTTCCCACTTGCATGCACACTTTTGCTTTCTTCGTCTCTCTTATCAGCAGCTTTCTTCCTCTTTCTGTGTGACGTTCTAGGTTCTTCCCATGCACTACATATGTGGGAACTATAGTTTTCCTGTCAAAAACATGCAATAAGTAACAGTTAATGGGTTTAACTGCCCAATAGGGGGAACTTAAATCCTTAATTCTTTGCATCACGCTGGTAACTATATGTATCACCTATTTTAACACTCAAAACTCTGCACTTTGCCCATGAAGAGTGTTTCATGCGATCCTCACAATAATCAATGACTGTTTCCCTAAACAGTACCATCTGGTTGGTATTTGTAGCAGAGATATAATGTATTTTCTGTGAAGTAGGAACTGGTTCCATTGGTTTGCTCGCTGTCCCAGCTGCAGTCCTCACCTCCCTGTATTACATAACATTTTTCTCCATAAAGTGAACTTATTACTGCCTCCTGTGAGAACCTTCAATGTTAAAAGCAAGTAAGTTTTTAAAGAATCTCTATAACATGGAACTACTGCTGTGCCCATTTTATTAGATATTAAGTATGATTTTTGTAAGATTGGATGCTTAGGTTAAATGCAAGATGGCTGGCCGGAAGGCGAGGAGACAGAACCGCGGCTGACTCTTCGCATTCCTTGTCAGTCCATTGAGTTGTATTTAGAAAAGATTGTTTATGAATCAGTGGAAAGACCCGGTCAAGTTTCGCTTCACGTGGCAGGAAATATCCAACAAGGTGCCGACCTTAGGGATTTTGCGCACGCAGCTCTTCATGACTTATGAAAAAGTTGAGTTCGGGGGGGGGGGGAAAGCCATTTGGGGCATTCTGTTTCTAGCAGTTGCTACCAATGGACGGACTAGGGCAAAGTGTGCCTGTGGGAAGGAGTTGTGATGGCGCCAGTGTTCATCATTTTCATTATGTTCAGCACGAGTGAGTACTTGCCGTGGTTGGGTCACTGATTGTTAGAAATTCTGGTTCAGTGGTGTTTGAGAAAGAAATACAAGGTGCTGGTTTGTGCCATTTAGGTTTAGTGTATTATGGATAGGTTGTCTGTTGGAATAGTGTTTTATTTCATTATACATATATTACTTTATTGTTGTGTTTTGAGTACTTGAGTTTTTGTGGATCCCCCTAGTGCAAGCATGATTTCCACTGCATAGGTTAAGAGATATCCATGGACGTCCGATAGGGGGCGAGTACAGTCAGTGACCCCTATAAGAGCACAACACTATCACACACAAAACGTGTGGAACCCCAAATCAGTATCAACTGAACATCCATTCTGATTTTCATCATACTGTATTAAACCAAATTAAATTCCACATTCTTCTGTTGAAAGAAAAAATTAAAGCAAAAAAAAAAAAACACTAAAATATTTTCAAGAGCCCTGTTGTCTAAAGGTATAGTAATTTATTTTTCTAAAACATTCCCTTTCAAGCCTTGGTGTGTCTTAGATTCTGAGGTGGCTTATATTGTGAAAAATATAGTATTTTAAAATATAACGTGAAAGACAAAATTATATGAAGTACACAGAATTCTAAGTACTTTCATATATACATATATAAGTAATATATGAAGCTCTGATGGCAGTAAATACAATTTTACTGCCTTCTGACATGAAGGTGAAGGCAACATGTTGGTAATGATCTACCTGACAACTTACAGTCACATGTTTATACATGTGCATGTTCACGTTATTTCTTGCAACATTTTCAGTGTGAAGTGACATCCACTGAAAGTGAGCCCACTTACACAGAGATGAAAGCTCTGGCCACATTCATAGCAGTGGAACTGTGGCACACCATGTATTACTTGATGCTGTGACAGGCTCAGTAATGAGGAGAACTGCTCCGTGCACATTTCACAATTGAGTACAGTTTCTGAACAAGTGTGCAAAACCTTCACTGGATCTGTTCTAAAGCGTTCCTCACACTGTTGGCACATATATGGATACATATGTTGGTACACATGTTGCCTGAAAGTAACAAGCTGTGAGAAAGTAATGTTGCAATGAGGACACGCTGTCTCACCAACTGTCTCCAGCTGTTTTCCCTGAAACACACAAAACTATAGGTTATTGAGGTTTTTCATGAGCAGCCAATATTTATGCAACTGGACAAGAAACTCCTTGTTAAGTCCCTAAAGGAATGATTCTAAACCAAGGGTACATATACGCAAGATATTACGTGTGCTGCTGACCTCAGACTGAAAGGACAAAAAAAAAACAGTGACAACTTTTCTGTGCATGGAATAAATAAAGCCTGTTTAAAGTAAAAAGCCCCTGCATCTTCAGGTTATCTTGAAGGTCTATATAGGAATTTCGGAGGAACAAGCTACCTCCATCTTCAGGGCTGAAGTGTGTAGGGTGAGAGTGCAACTCTGGTTATACAGGCAGGAGGCAATGAAGGCTGTCCATCAAATCCATGGGTCCCTTCTGCCACAAAGATGTAAGCAGCAGACTCCCTCTGAAACACTGGTACCTTTCTACCAGACTACACAGCATCACATCCCAGGAGCAAGCAGAGAATGTTACCGTCACCTTCACCCAGTGTTCTCTACTTGCTAGAATCATAATCATCATGCTGGTGGCTTAGTCACTCTGTCTGAGAAGAGCCTCTGTTGTCATCTACTTCTTTTTCATGAAAAATGCCTGTTCCTTTCTAGGGGAAGGAGGGGTTTAGTTTACAGTGTTGTCAATTGGGAGACTACCATCTTGAATGTTACCATGACAGATGATTTTGAAAGAATCTGGAAAGAAGAGGTCATGGGATATTATTCCAGCATCTGGCAGGAGAAAGGAAAACCATGACAAACCTCAGTCAAGATGGCTGGCAATCTAGCCCAGATTTGAACAAAGCACATCCAAATATGAGTCATTATGTCACCTCATATAGCAAGCGCTTCTCACAGTCTGCACTTTGCATTTATGCAATACTGAATGTTCATATTGGTTCCTACATACACAAAGCAAAATCCCCACTAAGTATGTCAGTACATCCGAGTGCCTGTTACTCACCCTTCTGCAGTAATTCTGATGATTCTGTAGCACTTTGCCAGACTGCAGCTTCTTGCCACACACAGTGCATGGGTGATTCTCTAGATGCAGAAGCATGTGTTTATCCAAGTAGGAGCGTCGCAGGAATTCTCTCTTACATACGTGACATGGGTATACTGGGTTTGGCTTTGTTGAACACCGGTGTGAAGACAAAGTAGCTCTTGAAGAATACAGTCGCTGGCACTTGTTGCACTTCCATTCCCCTAATATTAACGAGCAGAATTATTTAGGTCACAAAGTATCAACAAATGCTGCTTCAGCTGCCCAGTCAGACACAGTGTACTCAACAGACACATTTCTGGAAGCAAAACCATGCATACCCACAGCACTGCAATAGCTCTGCTCTTCCTGGCCGCTGACCCTAAGGGCGCATACAATACACACAACATGCTATCCCTTATGTTACGTGCGTACTTACAGTATCATTTGCTGTTCAACAGCGGTGGGAAAACAAAAATGGGGACAAGAAGAAATATTAACAAATAAATTAAAAGATTCTTTCACTTGCCAGCCTCGACTTTTCATTTGTTCTGGATGAGCGGACGAGTGTTTGTGAAGACACAGTTACGAGCATTCTGTGTGAGTCAGACTGCCCCTCACTCACTGCTGTCACTGTGTAAGGCAGTACAGAATGCTACGTGGCATCTAAATCTGACAGCTAACCCTAATGAAATGATATAATTAACACAGAGTGATGTGAGTTTATGCGCATATAATTAACACACAGTGTGATGTTCGTTTATGTGCATATAATTAACACACACAGTGATGTGAGTTTATGCGCATATAATTAACACACAGTGTGATGTGAGTTTATGCACATATAATTAACACAGTGTGATGTTAGTTTATGCGCATATAATTAACACACAGTGTGATGTGAGTTTATGCGCATATAATTAACACACAGTGTGATATGAGTTCATGCGCATGTAATTAACACACAGAGTGATGTGAGTTTATGCGCATATAATTAACACACAGTGTGATGTTAGTTTATGCGCATATAATTAACACAATGTGATGTGAGTTTATGCGCATATAATTAACACAGTGTGATGTGAGTTTATGCGCATATAATTAACACACAGTGATGTGAGTTTATGCACATATAATTAACACAGTGTGATGTTAGTTTATGCGCATATAATTAACACAATGTGATGTGAGTTTATGCGCATATAATTAACACAGTGTGATGTGAGTTTATGCGCATATAATTAACACACAGTGATGTGAGTTTATGCACATATAATTAACACAGTGTGATATGAGTTTATGCGCATATAATTAACACACAGAGTGATGTGAGTTTATGCGCATATAATTAACACACAGTGTGATGTGAGTTTATGCGCATATAATTAACACAGTGTGATGTGAGTTTATGCGCATATAATTAACACACAGAGTGATGTGAGTTTATGCGCATATAATTAACACACAGAGTGATGTTAGTTTATGCGCATTAACAGTTTGTTGCAATGGCTATCTAGATATAAATAAAATACCTCTATTTCCTACTGTAGGCATAAAAAAGAACCCCTAAAAATATTATGAAATTCACCCTGTACACTTGCCATTACATTCAGTAACCACATATGTTAACTTTGTATGCAAGTACTGCAGTAGATTTCTTGGATGCTATTTAAATAAGCATTCCAAACTTTTTAACATTACATGAGTAAACCTTTTAATTCCTTAATTTGTAAAGTTTCAGGCAGTACTGTATACTGTAACACTGACAGAGAAAGTATGACTATCCCAGCAGAATGACAGATGTGAACTGAGAAAAATTATGAAGGAAGGACTTAGTAGTTGGTTTCATGTACTGTACCAGCATACAGCATATCAGGATTATAGATGTCCCTAGATTCAAACCCAGAACATTCCAAATGTTATCACATTCACAGATTCACTCCAGAACCTTCAAAATGCAAATTAAAAGAAATATGGTCCCTTGACAGCTACAACTTTACATTTTCTTTCACTTAAGAACTGAATCCTACCTGCTCCTTGCAAGACTGCTACTGGGGTAAACTTACCTGTATGTTTTGCCATATGCCTCTTAAAAATCTTCTTCACTAGAAATTTCTTCTGGCAATACGGACAGATAAGAGAAGATGTTTCTTCATTCACCCCTGAAGCATCAGCAAAACATGAATGGTTTGTAAGGCTCTCCTTACGAGCGAACACAGCTAAACAGGAGACACACATAAATTCGCCAGTATGTTTACGCAAGTGGCGATACAAGTAATCGGCTTTGTGAAATTCTTTATTACAAATATCACAGTTGTATGGCGGACCCAGATCCACTGTTTTTGCATTATCGGCAGGCAACAGAGATGTCCCATCTGAAACATCATTCAAATCAAAACTGGCTGATAATGAAATGTCATCCTGTCCCTCGGCACTTCCTGCGTGTTTATCTAGATTCTGCGCATCTGCTGTATCAATATCTGGCTCTGAAACTAAACCTAAGAATGCAGAAGACACGTCTTCCTGCCCCACTGGGAGACTCAATTCACTTGATGTAGCAACAGTTTCCAAGTCATCAGGATTAATTACACAGCGCTCATCACTAGTGCTTCCTGCTTGTAGACTCACAGATGCATCAGCCCCAGTCTGATATGCAACTCCAAGAGCAGTGCTGGGTTTCGGAACCATTTCCTCTGGTACAACATTACTTGTTTGAAATTCTTCAAATATACTAGTATTATGAACCTTGGGCTTATCTACTGGGTTCCTCACATCATCAGTATGAGCAGATTCTGACTGGTCATCACTGCTCATCATACTACCATTGTGAATGATGGTCACGTGAGTATTTATAATGTTTATAATATTTTCTCTATTATTTTGCTGATGATTAAGAGCTAAACCTGTGGCAGTCTCGGGTTTATATTCGGTCAAAATGCCACCTGGTCCTGTATCTTCTTCTTCTTCCTGCATTGTCTCAAACTGAGATGCCACATTTGTGTCATTAAGAACAAGGTTCATATCTTTCTCTTCCAGGCCATCTTGAAGGATTGAAACATTCTCCTGTGTTTTGTTTTTAAGGACATTACATCTGCTGTTTATTTTCTGGGGTACTTTACATTTATTTGTGCTCTCAAGCTCATTATTAGTATAGTAATCAACTGTTTCTGGACCAAACTGCACTTCATTGCCATCTTGGTACGTGTCAGTTGATTGTAACTGTTCAAGAAGTACGTTCAAGGCTTCATGTTGCCTCTCTTGAAGTTCGCTATCTGCCATACCATCTGTTAATAACCGTCCTGTATTTGTTACAAATATTGTTTGTGAACCTGGCTGAGAGAAATGTGATGGTAGCTGTCCAGTGAGATTTGCAATCACAATGCTTGTCACCTTGCCATCACGATCTTCTAACATATCATCGTTTTCTTCCTCTGCCATGTCCACACCAGCTGATTCATCTTCTTCTATATCACCCAATAATCGTGGTCTCTGAAGAACCATTTTGTGTCGAATAACTTTGTGTTTAACTAGCAACTGAAACAAAAACTTTAATTAATTGGTTATGGCAACAACCAAATAATGAAATTTCAGAGAAGAATACATTCTGTCTTCACTGTTTCCACTAGACAGTTATGATGAATGTGTACATGGTTGGTCCTAACCTTTTCAGTTGCAAACTTCTGATGACACAAGTGACATTCCAGTAACCGCCCTGAATGACCAACCGACCGCTTGTAGTGGGACATGAGATGTCTAGCAAATAATATAACACTGGTTTCTTCGGCACAGCAAAGTTTACAGCGCCATCTGTCAGGTGTTTGCCTGGCACCAAGCTGTCTGGCTGGCAACTGTTCCGCCAACTTCTGAGTCACTTCACGACCTACAGAAATATAAGTGAATGTAGCATTCTTGAAGCTATTATATGAACCAGTGAGTAAATACTTTAATGATACTGTCTATTTAATTACATACTGAAAAATGTTAATGCATTAATGATGTCACAGGAAAAGGTAACACTTTGTTAAGTACTCAGAAGAAGCACAATAGATCACTGTAGGTCGCGGTGCAAGGGCCGAGAAGGCCTACCCCTCATACATTCATAAGTATGCAGAAACAAAACTAATATATGTCAATGTTTGCTCGTATTTAGTCATGAAAGCCTACAGAAAACTGCAGGATTTGCCTGTACTTCATTTAATTACGATGCCAGTGGTGTGGGCTGTATATGTGATGTAAAATGAAGTGGTGGAGGCACGCATCAAGGTATTCTCTCTCTAAAACACCTCTGAGGGTGCAACACCATCAGTCAGTCACACAGACTGTTATGTTGTCATGAGAACATTTTCAACACATCACAGGTCAACACAGAGAACTTTTCTTCCATAGGACTGCCAAATCAAGGCACAATGCACCCTCACAGATGTTTTGACAGAGATAATCAGAAAAGTCACCCAAAAAGTGAGAGGAAGAACAAAAAAAACTCAAGTTAGGACAGTTAGTTTCTGACAAAGATTCAAACCAATCAACTCTGAACTACATGTCACAGGCATTATTGCCTCAGCCAATTCATAAGACGACACCATTTGGGCAACACTGATACAAGGAATGATATGAAAAGATCAGTGGCACCAACATAAATTTGCTGCTTAGGCTGTGAAACTGTATGCATCCCCCAGCACAATATCTACTGATCAATGTGATGCATGACTTTAAAACTGAATATTATAATTAAACTGCCACACGTATCTTACTTAGCAACATCCCATGGAAATTCTTCTTTTCCTTCTCTCTGAGCTTCTGCTTTGACTCATAAACATGGTCTGTACTCTTGTCTCCATTTGCCTGAAAAAAAAAATTACTAATTGACTTCATGGAGCCGCGCCATTCTTGAGAAGGCACCAGTTGTGCAGCTATTCAAGAACTTCCCAGCAATTTATGGGACCGGAAGGTTCACTACCATGCTCACAACAGTCCTCCACTGGTCCCTACCCTGAGCTGTATCAATTCAGTCCATACAACGCCATCTTATCTCTCTGAGATCCATTTTAATATTACCCACTGACCTATGTTTTGGTTTTCCTAGTGGTCTCTTTCCTTTTAGCTTTCCCACCAATATCCTATATGTATTCCTCTTCTCCCCTATTCATGCTACACACCCTGTCCATCTCATCCTCCTCGACTTGGCCATTCTCATTATACTCAGTTAAGTGTACAAGTTATGAAGCTCCTCATTATAAAAAAAAACATACACCTATTATGAGTTTGAATTCACATTCTAATGATCTGATAGTAGAGACTGCTATAAGAAACTGAAAGTAAGCAAATGTCAGGAAGGATGGCAGAAGTAACCAACGGTGGATACACGTATATACATGGACCAGTCATTGCGATTAGCTCTTTCCAATGGACTCAACAGAGTAGATGTCTCCCACCCTTCGGCTGAGGGTGGAAACAGATCCAGTTTCCAGAACGTTGTGTTTTTCAGAATACTGGATAACAGACGAAGCCCAAGAACTCAATAATTCTGACCATTACACACCACTGTCAGAACCCTTTGGAATATGTACTAGAAACCATATTCTGTACTGGGTGACTCTTACATATTTTCCAATTTGAAAGGACCAAAATTCTCCAATATGTATCAGCCAAAAATAAAGACAACCCTGGCCCTATATCACCTAGAGGCTACAACTTCCAGTTAAACAAAACTAAACAGAATGGGTCTCTCGCCCAAATACCAGAAGAAGGACTGAACTTTGCAAAAACTGGTCATCTTTTGTCTAAATGAAAATGCAAGACAAAACTTGATTCTGAAACCCACTTATCCTGTGTAATCTTCATCTTTCATGGAAAATTAAGGCACTAAAAGTCTTCTTAGCTAAAAATGAACATTCTGAAGATGTGTTCTGCCTCCATCTTCATGGCTCCCACCATTTATCCATGATGTCAGTCTATTAAGTATAATTTGTTAGTAAATGCATCTGCTTTTCCAGAAATCTTAAAGTTATTTAGGTTATGTATGGCTGACAAAGTTTGTTACATGCACAGAAACTGTTTTCTCAGAAACCTCAAACATCAAACTGAAAAACGATGTCATAAACTGCAATAATTTCCCATTGAAATTTCAAGGAGATTTATACTGCCCTGGTATCAATACAATTCTGTACATACTTGAAATAGAGCAATGACATTCACATGCTTACATCTGCTGTGAAGTCTGTACTGAAAGGCACTGCTCCCATTTTTACAGCGTAGTAAGGCGCATACCAAACTTTCAGTTGCTCACCAGCTTGGATATCTTTCATCACAGTGTAATATATATCTTGACCCATCTGAAAACCAAGCCAAATGTTTATCTGCAATAAGAAATCCTGTATTTAAGCATCCTGTTGCATTACTGCATCTAAAACAAGTGAAGACAACACCACACGCTGCTAGTGGCAACAACGCATAAGCAAGGGCAAAAATTACAGACTGCAGATGTAACACAACAATGGGCTGCTGCAATAAAACATCAGAAGAAAAGGATACAAACCTAAACAAGTGGGCAATGCCCCTTGTGAGATGTAATTAGAATTTTACAAAATTTAAAGAAAATTGTAATAGATTTTATTTCATTCAAATTAAGTGCACTGCAGCATAGCACATACCCGTTAGACTACGATTATGATGTTTTCAACTATGACATGTGCAGCTGCATATGTGATGAATGGATAACATTGTGTAGTGTAGCAGTTTTAGCATAGCAGGACACCCAAAGATGGCCATTTAGGGCCAAAACATGTTGTGCCGAAAGTGAAAGTGAAAGAAAGAGGAACAATTTGTTGCATTGTTGACAGACTGTGTAGTACATAAAGTTTTGCGATATGAAAATAATATTGGTCTTAACATTCAATGATCAACCCCCTGCTCTTTATGCATCAATACCGAAATCAATTTCCCCATTCTAACATAATGAACAGTAAAATCCCATTTAAAATACCCACAGAAAACTGAGTTGACAGTCATGCACTAGTAGCTTAATCATATGAAGCCTCAATTCATATAAATGATACAGATAAAAGAAGAGATCCTACCTCACAGAAAACACTCCATCATTACTCAGTCAATGCTGCTTAGGGAAATAACCACTGTTTACTGTGAGAATCATAAAAAGACATAAAGCAGGCAAAGGTAAGATCAAAATCCCTCTGATTAATTAAGCACCATGCTCCGGGGCCAGGGAGCCAGGATAGCGTAGTCAGTATAGCTACTGGCTGCACAACCAAGGGGTCAGAGTTCAAGTCCCGGTAGGACCAAGAATTTTCTTTTCTCCACCTCATCCAGAGCAGCTCTGGGGTCCACTCAACCTCATATCCAATGGGTACCAAGGGCTACTTCCCTGGGAGTAAAGCGGCAGGGGCGTGAAGCTGACCACTCACCTCCAGCTAGTGCCGAGGTCAAGAAAACATGAATCTATACATCCACTCCCCCATATACTTTCATGGCGTAGTGCTTAATCAGTAGTGCACAGACAACTTTACCTTTTTACTCTGGGGCCCACAAAGCCTCACCAGTAGGTATCAGGTCTTTGCCCAGGGATCGTGCAGCCAGTGCATGAAGCTAACCACTCACCCCCCTCTTGTGGCTAGGTTAACTGTGGAGCTATTCCTCCACTCTCTCATACATCTCCATGATGTGGTGCTGTCTGTCTCTGCAGGAATTTAACTGATTCTTCTGTTGTCCAGCTGGTAGCCCAGTCCAATGGTCTTCAACCTGAGGTATGCATACCCCCGGGGGTTCACGAAAACATCTTATGGGGTGTGCAGAATTAAAATTTGTCGCCGAATTGAGGGGCTGGTGTGCCAGAAACAAGCTCAATCATCTCATTAACAGGTCAGATCACAATAATAATTGATAAAATATTTAATCATATAATTTTGATTTACTAAAACACCTTTGTTCCTTTACTAATTTGTATATGATGGGCAATAATATATTTGCTATTTAATAGCTCGATTCTCCTTTTTCTCACATGAAACTTATTAATTATTTAATACATTATTTTGGATGTAATTTATTTAATTCATTTTAGATATAGCTTACAGACTGTGTATAACTTGAATTATACGCCAGCAACTTTGGGGGTAGAAAGTTGAAGAGGAATTATATCGGGAGTACGTGAACAAAATCGGTTGAATACCACTGGCCTAGTCATTTTCAATTTAATTATGAAGAAAGTACTCAACAGAAAGAAGTTTTTGCTTACCTGATAACAGATAAGATTTTGCTCTTTACAGGAAGTGGCTGGTGCAACAAGACACATCCAATTGCAAGCCTCCTCATCACTTGTATCCAGATAATAACTAGTTTCTTCAGTTTTACCAAAGACCTGAAAAAAATCAACACTTCAAGTTTAGAAACTCCAAGACTGAACCTGATATTCAGACATCAGTTGTTTTAGTGCCCACTCAATTATGATGCAACATGCCACAATTTTTAAATGTCTAAAACACATTACAACATGGTGACTGTGTCTATTAATTTATCATTTATTTAATGATGCTGTCAGTAGCTCAAACTACACAGCAGTGAAAGGTAGGATGATCGAATAATAATAGTAATGGCCTAATTTCAGGTACTACTGTGGTATCACCTTGGAAAGACTGAGGAAAACCATGAACTGAAGACTTACTACCTACCCTGACCTCCTGTATAAAGTCAATTTGAGGAGAGATGTAACTGAATGTCACACACGTAATGTGTTACTGCACTCTACTGATAAATGTTAACAACAGATCACTGGAGTCTTGTTAATTTTACTTAAATATTAAAAGGAGGGGTGGTACTGACGTCATCCTTGGTGAGGATGGCCGAGCCACGGCTGTCTTTGGTGGGGACGTATAATAGACTAGGGATGTGTTGGGACACAGCTTTGGAACACCTCCTCGTGATCCTGTCGGGCAATGACAGTCTTGGGGGGTCTGGATAAGTATGATTCCGGGGCTGGCGGCCGAGTTTCCATAAAGGGCAATGGCTATATGACCGGAGCCTCCCAGGCGGCGGCATAATGACTCTTGGGTGTCACTATGGTGTACCCGGGACAAATGCGGGACAGCACTCCTATTGGGGTAGCTACGGCTATTTGAGTTGTCTCCCTAGAGTACCAATAAGGTGCCACAAGCCTTAGGGCTCAACACTCTTAAAACGGTTTGACCAACCCATGTGGAGGGGTGGGAATGGGAGAGCTCAGAAGCAACCCCCAGGGGCGATAATCTTGTGTACGATGCCCTGGTCACAACCTCATGACTAACTGGTATCGCAATCCCATTTATCTGGGATAACCCACTCCTCCCAAACATGCACTCTTGGTCCTGGAGGCTTGTGAGGGTTGCATTTTACAGGACCAGACCACCTACGCCGAGGTGTGAGGCATCGTGCTGAGGGCTGCATGGCACTGGGGTGGTAATTAGCCAGTGTCTTGAACGATCCCCTTGGGGCACCAGGCAGCACCCCGTTATATTTATGCCTTCCACTCGTATGGGGCGCTGAGGGGGGTATTGCTGGAAACGAAACAGCATACCAATTAGCTAAGATTGGAGCTGAATATCCATTCATAGGACCTGAACCAGCCTGTGGCATCTCTATAGGAGTTGCCAGAAAGGCAATCAGGGATGGGACAAACATGCATCACAAGAAATACTGGGGATCCTTAACTGGACTCATATGAGGACCTTCTACTAAAAGAATGAAGGAACTGTTGAAGTTAAACAGGAACAAGCTACGATGGGTGGCAGGACTACTTACAGGACACTGTCACCTCAAAGGACACCTGTTCAAACTGGGACTAAGTGATAGTCCCACTTGTGAGAGATGTCAAGTAGAAAACAAAACAGCCACACATATCCTGTGCGAATGTGAGGCCCTAGCTCATTTAAGAGTATGTCACTTGGGTCAATACTTTATGGAAGCAAGTGACTATTTTGATGCCCCCATGCACAAAATCCTGTGCTTCATTCAAAGCACAGGATTGCTGAGGGGATAATCAAAAGGGGAAGCACAACAGACCACTGTAGGTTGCGGTGCAAGGGCCAAGAAGGCCTACCCCTCATACATTCATTCATTCATTCATTCATAAATATTAAAATATTTCCTTCATTTATTAACACCTTTAATGGAAAGTTGACAGCAGGATGTAGCATTTGTGTATGTCTGGCTATAAATGGTCCAAACTGAACACTTCGAACAAATGGTGCTCTGGCTACAACTGTCGTTGAGTTATCAGCCAAATTCTGTACTTCCAAATTAGCAGGCAAAGTCAATCTGGCTCGGGATGGAGTCTTTGTATCCTCAACCTGAAAAACAATGGTTTGGTTAGATTATGGAAAAAGTATGTAGATACTGTCAGATGTCTGAAGTGTTGGGGAATTGGCCAGGTATGAGTAATAAGCAGAAAAGTTATATTCCAGTATCCGGGGCACTCGGAACACGCCTACCAGTGTTCATTGCTTTGCCGTGTTTCGCTTTTCTTCTTTCTTGAATAATTCAAACTTAAAGTTTGGTTTTGAATTACGTTCTTAAAGATATGTGTCTAATGTTAGAAAGGGGAGAAAATTGTTTCCCTAATGCTTCCGCAAACTTCAGTTTCACCAGCATCACGTTCCTATATGGTGTTATAATTAAAAATTTTCATATTGAATCTAAACCAATACCTTTTATACTCACAGGTTTAAGTTCTCGAAGAAATGAGCACAATTCTGTCGTGTGGTTACGGCCGCAAACATTGCAACCTAAAATATAAAAAATATATTATCTTCTGTAATACCCAAACTCTAACCTCTACCTTCAAAACACATCCCTTGCTTTACCAAGTTTTCAGCTTTTCCGAGAACGAAAAATCGTGAAAAGGTGATGGATGCAGACATTGCTAGTTTGTTCGCATATTTTATTACCTGCAAGAAGATATTTCTGCATGTTGTCTATCTGAATAACTATCGTTAGACTTTTTTGCAAGTCATAATCTTGCAGTAATTTACATAAATTATAAAGAAGTTATAACTGTAGGTATGCATTTTCGTATTTTACAGTGCCCATTCCTTGATTATCGAAAATGGCTGAAATTGCTGACGACGGAGTTCATGTGATGTCATATCCGCCATGCTCGAGTATGTTAATGTAGTTCATGTATATCGAAGGCAGAAATCCCGAAAGCTGGGTCGTAATAAGATACTCTTGTTCCTTGTACACTGGCCAAAATCACTTTCGTTTTTACAACGTATTTCCACGTATTACTATGTATGTCTTCATTATGTGAGCAATGGAGGGGGTGGAAAATTCTGTAAAACTTCCTTAATGACTCAAATTCCACGGTGTGTCGGTAGAAGAAATTTATTGACGTGTGGAATTTAGTATTTAGCAAACAAGGTTAGTAAGAAAGCAACGTACTAAAGGACGGAAAGTTTGATTGTACGTATAGACCTCCACCCGTGCACGGCATGAATTATTAGGTTAAATTTGGTTGTTTTAGTTGATGTATATGAAACTTGCATGAAATTTACACCCTCCCACCGGCCGCATTATTCTTTCTCATGTCCTTCGTTACCTTGATGTGGCTGGATCCAAACCCAGTTCTTTAGTTTTCCTGAAACTACAATATTTTATGACAGCCCTTTCTGTAGAACAAAATTATTTTGTACTCATTTAGTCATGTATTGAGGTATTCAGAACTTGGATAATATTAGTTACTATAGGATTCTGACGATGGTGTATAACACACTGATATGTTGGGTTCTTGGACTTTATCCATCGTCCTGGGTTTTTTAAGATAACAAATAAAAACACGACGTTTCGGAAACTGGATCTGTTTCCGTCCTCAGGTGAAGGAAAACACCTATTCAGTTGGGTCCGTTAGAAAGAGCTAGCCTCAAACACTGGTCCAGTGATTGAGGCTAGCTATGTTATCTTAAAAAAACCAGGACGATGGATAAAGTCCAAAAACCCAACATCTCAGTTGGATAATATTGTTTCCCAGTAGTAATAGACCTGTTTAAATTGTTTATTTCTCTTTCAACAGATTCTGAATGATGAAGCAATTCCAATGAATCCATATTGTTACTACACTAGCGTGGGGTACTTGTAAAAAACTCCATCAAAAACACATAACCTCACTAGCTTCAACGTTTAGAAGACAGCTACACCAATAGTAAGATACTGAATTTGATAGAATAACAATATGCCCAGAGCAATGCTACTATCTACAGGAACATTTCTGGGGGGAAAAATGGTCACAGCAGTACCAACTCAAGCATACTTTCCACTACTGTAATCTTCTGTTCCCTTTCATAACTACTACCAACTGACTACAACATAGAAACACATAGTAATGTTACCTTTTTCTAAACAATATGAGAATGTGATCATGTGTGGAGTTTCAGAGACAAGGTAACTTGAAGAAACTCTGTTACAATGAATGTGTACCTTTTGAAGATTTTGAGGATACTTCCAATATTAACGTTAACTTTCACAGTTCTGGTATTTTGTGTTACTGTCTGCATTGACAGTGCCAACAGCAGCTTTATAATATTCATCTTTATGTCTGTGGAAGTGTATGTAAATTGGATTGCTATATGTCATATCAGTCATTCAAATGCCGATCCTCTAGTGTCAAGGATAACAGACGATGTACCGCACAAGAACAGTGTGATACTAGACATAAACCCAAGAAATGCATCTGTGACATATGGACAAAGTCACTATAATCACAGATGTTGGGAGACTCCAAATAAAAGTAATATGAATCAAGGCATTTCATCACAGTATACAGATATCCAAAAAATATGGTACTGTTCCAAATGTCTCACAAATACACCATTCAACTGTCATCATTGCCCTTTGTGCAACAGATGTGTTATCCAGCGTGATCACCACTGCCTGTTTCTGGGAGCTTGCATCTGTTTGAAAAATATGGGTCACTTTATTATACTTTGTATGTATGTAGGTTTAGTCAGCCTGTATGTGGACATTCGCTTGTTTCCGCTGTTGTTTGAGCATTTTGAAAGTCAAGAGAAAGACACAATAAGTTTGTGGCATCTAAGTTCTCGCTGTTTCTTTCCCATAGCATTTGGACGGTGGTTATCAGGTCACGAAGAACTTTTATTTCTTTTACTTGTTGCAATGTTCAATGTTTTGGTGCCTACTTCTGTGTTCACATTCGGTTTTGGACTTCATCATTTATATCTGGCTCTCACTGGACAATGCCAGATTAGGATGACTGGGCATAATGAAATTCATAATTCATACTCTAAAGTAAGTTTCAGAGATGTCCAAAATAATTTTTCTATTGTGTTTGGAAAATGGGGAGCATTAAATTTTATATTTCCAGTTGTACTATTAGAAAAATTACTGCGCTTCAAATATTTTCAAGATTCTAAATACAACTAGATACTTCTAAAGAATTTATAACATATTTCATGTTGTGGTCTTCTGAGTTGTCCATTGTGTGGCCTTGTAGATAGCAATTTATCAAAAAAAATGGTGCCTCCATCATCAGGGTTGAAGTGATGAGTAAAGATGAGGTTAGATTACAAAGGCATTGTGACAGGGACAGGAAGAACCCTGAGTGAGATCTGAGGTTCTCATAGAGTAAAAAATATAATCTCTTGAGCTGTATGTAGTCTGTTAGAAGTTTACTGATGTGTGCTTGCATGGTTTTTCGTAACTTGCACTCTTCTCCAAGTATAATTAGAACAATCAAGTCAAGGAGGATGAGGTGGGCAGGGCATGTAGCATGAATGGGGGAGATGAGGAGTGCATATAGGATATTGGTGGGAAAGCCAGATGGAAGGAGACCACTGGGAAGACCAAGGTGTAAGTGGGTGGAAATATTGAAATGGATTTGGGATAGGATGGGATGGATTGGATTGATCTGGCTCAGGACAGGAACCAGTGGAGGGCTCTTGTGAACATGGAAATGAAACTTCAGGTTCCATAAAATGCTGGGAAATTCTTGAGTATCTGCACAGTTGGCAGCATCTCAAGAAGGGCTCAGCTGTGTGAGTGAGTGAGATATTTTCTTGTCAGAGAAATGCTGAGGGCTGTACTTGTATGAAAGGCTCACGATCTTTTTTCAGATATCTGTGTGATACAGTCTTGATGGCTTTTATATGCTTACCTTGAGGTAAACAGTATGTGATAATGACATCCATCAAAACTACTGATAATTTTAACCAGTTTATTTTATCGGCTATTTTCCATGTACTTACACTTATATTTACAACTTAAGTCATCAATCTACAAAGTTTACCAACCTAACTTACAACATATGCTTAAATTTCTCTTTGTATCATTCAGCATACCAAATAATTATTAAAACTGATGATTCTTAGCCAGTGACAATATGTAAAAAAAGTAAAGGACTGGCACTTACAGCCCCAGGATGGGCCTTGACCTTCTTCTGGAGGTATAGCTCCAGTCTTTAACCTTTGATATTAAATGATGGTGAGTGGTCGACTTTACATCCTGGCTGCTTTACTCCCAGGAAAAGAACGTCAAATGCCCATTGGGTGAGGGTGGATGGGCCCCAGAGCCAGCCTGGGCATGGTGTAAAGAGAAACCTCTACTTCTCCCAGGAATTGAAACCCAATTCTTCAATGTCCAGTCCAAAGCCTAGTCAATATACAGACTAAGCTTTTCAAGCTCATGACATAATGTGTATCTGTATTGAATTTGACTGTGCAATAAAAGTACTGTCTTTGCTATAACACTGTATTATATACATATGATGAAAAGAAAAGTGTTAGATTACACTGAAAAACAATTTGACTTCATTTTGTTAGCAAACATGTTTCAGGTTGAGACTAGATTGGGATACACAGTTATTTGTTCCAACATCAACATCCATATGCTACATTACTACAAGGAAAAAAAATGCAAGTTTTAAAGCTGATATCATACTTTGGATTAGCCCCACAATTATGTATTGTATTTTAGAATTAAAGCCCCAGACTTCACTAAATGACTTAAGATTATATATATACATCTGAATCAGTACTGACTCAGTTGTTCACTCATCACATAAATATTCTACTTCACAGATTGCACTACCCATGCCATTGTATCTGCTCCATACCAGCCAACTTACCATCACATGACTAACCAAGAATATAAGATGCTCTCCCTTATACAACATAGTAACAAGAAATGACAGTGCTGCCATGTGAGATAGGAACCCTATGACAGGGCTTAGTTCACTGGCCACACTTGTGGCAACGTTGTGCTCCCAGTTTGTGTTTAAAATGGCCGTGTCAATTTGTGCAATAATTTGATGTCTTCATGCAAAAGGAGAAACTGCTACTGAAATTCATTGCCAACTTGTTTCTGTTTATGGTGAAGATGTTACTCACAGGCAAAATGGTGTTGTGAATTCGAAGAGGGAAGAAGTGATGTTCATGATGAAATAAGGAGTGGAAGGCCATCTGTTGCCACTGATGAAATCATCCAAAAATCCGATGAAAATTTACATGCTGACAGACGTTTAACCATCAGTGAACTTCATCAACAAGGTCCAGAAGTGTCGAGAGCTGTTCTCAACGTCTAAGAGAGCAGGTGGGAGATTTCTACGACACTGGAATAAAAAAAACTAAAGGTGGGAGATTTCTACGACACTGGAATAAAAAAAACTAATTCCCAGGTTCACTAAGCGCATTGCAATCCATGGTGACTATATTGAAAAGTAAATAAAGGTGTGTTGTGAAAATGCTACATGTGAATCCCTCCCAAAAAAATGCTTTACAAATATTTTCTGGACTTTGTAGCTTTACTTTCTGGATAGCCTTCATATTTACTGTTCAAATTTACAGCCTGACATCCAGAGAAAAATAAGAGAGCGCGCGATTTAATAAATTCACAATTTTTTCACTCATTGGCCTTAATTTTTCATCACTGCCAGTGGGTTTGTTGCACCATGTGTGTACTATTTCAATAGTAACATGCCAACACTGTATAGTCTCGATTCTGATGGCATCATTAAATAACCAACTAAGAAAAGTAGGAGCAAATAAGACAAAGTAGTTCTTATATCACAAAGAAATGCACCAAGTAAAATTAAATACAATTCTTCTAAAGCTCCGTATGAGGTTCATGATGCATTTGCTGCTTTGGATTGAAGTCACTGGGATGTATAAACAATCCCTCCATTGCCTGCCAGTGGACATGATGTGCACCTGGAGAAATGACTCCAACAATTTCTGACTGCCCATTTATTGGACGTCCATAGGTCCGTGTCGTTGCTGACAGGTAACTGCAAAATATCAATCTTGCTGGGTATACAACAGAGGAAAATATACACACTACACTGCTTGCATGTTTAAGCTGTCATATATCTGTGAACTTACTGATAAAGATTTCTCAAAATTTAAACAATTTCTCAGATATAATCGTAACCTCAACAGATCTTAACATTTGACTGTTAAGGCCTGCCACAAAACTACCTGGTCAAAACACCAAGGTTGCTTGGCAGTTAATGCAGCTGCACAGAAAAACCTGGAACACTTTCCTCAAATGACAGCACATACAGGTCATGTGAAAGAATGAAGTATGTCACAGATGATGCCATCCATTAACAGAAATGCATTACCAGTTGATTAGCAAGCTGNCAGGTCATGTGAAAGAATGAAGTATGTCACAGATGATGCCATCCATAGTTGATTAGCAAGCTACTCTCATAAGTTGTGGTGATTTTAATACAAGTACCCCAAGCTGATCTAATTAGTTTGTGCCACGCAAAGTGATACACAACAGAATGCAGATCAAAACTAACTAATGCTGTTCTTTCAATTTTCTGCAGTGCATGGGGTGTAGTACACAGTCCTCTAAACGATCTTCCATTTAAAATCATATGAAATAAACAGCCTTATTAATGTGTTATGCAAGTATCTAATTCTGACATATGGATGTATAAAAGTGCAGCTTTGATTACAGCTGTGTGTTTATTGTATCTGTTTCTCCATTATAATGGTTTTAAATGTTTATTGCCCTTCAGTACTGAAATTTCATTGTATTTATCTTTCTAATACACCATCTGATTTAAATTATGTCCAACTTACACTTCAGTATCAACATGTTTCAGCATAATGCCTTCATCTCTCTCCCAGTAGTCACCATCACAAATCACCATCCAGTGATCACCTGTATCTCCCTCCCCTAAATAAGGGAAAATAAACATGTATGACTAGTTCAACATGGGGAGAAACTGAGGAGACAAGGGGCTGTGGAGGAACACGGATGCAATGGAGATGTCTTAAGGAAGAACATAAGTGAAAGTAAAATAAAGATTTCCCTGTGCTTAACTAATTACGCACTACACCATGAAGATGTAGGGGGGAGTGAACGTATAGATCCGCATTTCTTGACCTTGGCACGAGATGGAGGTGAGTGGTCAGCTTCACCCCCCTCAGGGGAAAGATTGCCTGGTACCCACTGGATAAGAGGCTGGGTGGACCCCAGAGCCGGTCTGGACGATGCAGAGAAGACAAAATTCTTGACCCTACTGGGAATCGAACTTCGACCCCTTGGTCATCCACCCCGTAGCCAGTAGCTCTACTGAGTATGCTATCCTGGCTTCTAGGAAGAACATACGAATAACTCAAATAGAAAATTTTCACAGATTTCACAATACAGTCTCCACTGAAGTTGGGTATAAAATCGTTCCCAACATACTAACGTCACATTCACTTCTGAAGGTATCGCAGAATACACACAGCATCCGCTGCAGACCTAAGGTACAATACTGAAAGACACTGATGTCCAGAGGAATACACTATTGGTCCATTTCATCATAGTACTTACAATGTATACTCTGGAAATGTAGTTTCACTTATAACATATTCTTCTGAAAATATGAACTGTGAAGAATTAGAATGCCCTAAAATCTATTCACCAGCCCAGCATTCTGCCATTTAAGTTCAAAATAATGGAAAATCCTGAAGACGGAACAGAAGGAGTTTCCTCCTTAATATTTGAGTTCATATTACAGGAATCTGGATTACTTTTCAGGTGAGATGACTTTTTTTAAGTAACATTATTTCTGACAATATTTCTATGGAGGTATTACAAATTTAATTTCATGCTGTGAAATTTTAACTTTATTAAATTATGTAATAATAATTAAATACTATTTACTAATAATACACACTATAAGATGTCCACTGCACACATTTCATACTTACAATGAAGCTAAGTGCCATCTTGTTACCCAGTATACCGGTAGTGTGGATATAAAGGAATGGGTTTCAGAACATACCTAGCTCATCTCCATATGCTGATATTTCTTGGTTGCCAGACAACGGAGAGGTGAAGTGATGGGAGTGAAGATTTCTTGATGTTGCCAGATGCTGTAATCTGATTATGTCACCACATTTAACAGGTTCCCTATCAAAACAGAGTAACATAAAATGTAAAGTTGTCCCTGTGCATAATTAGTTAAGCACTTAGGGGAAGTGGAGGTACAGCTCTATCATTCATCACCTCACTACCCAGATGGAGGAGATGGTCATCTTCACTCACACCCCTACCACTTTACCCCTGGGGAAGAAGCCCCCAATACCCATTGGATAGGAAGTTGGGTGGGCCCCAGAGTTGGTCTGGACACTGCAGAGAAGAGAAAGATCTTGCACTACTGAGAAGAGAACCCATAACCTGTCAATATACTGACTGAGCTATCCTGACTCCCGTTAAAACAGAGTACCTACTTTTAGTACCTGACTTTAATATAATTACAACTTATAAATTAAACATGCCATAAGCAAGTAAAGACTCCCATGTGTGGGATAGATGCGTGCCAAAAGAGGCTTCTGTATTGCATTTTGTGAGTCATCTGCCTAGCAGCTACCTCCCTCCCCTCTGCATGCCTCCCTCCATTGTCATCAGCTGCATTCTCACTCTCTATACCAAGAGCTTTAAAACCAATGTTAAGGCACCTCTCTAACTCTCTTTGAAGCTTCCCTGCAATTCTGTAACTCCGAGTAAAGCTTCTCACAGTCAGAGTGAGAGTAGCTTGTAACATAAAAATCTCAGTACCCCCAGAAATGGATGTCATAAACCTGTAAAATCTTTTAGCAAATTTACACTTCATATGGTACTGAATGCATGTCTGAGGGGTAGGCCCCTTCGGCCCTTGCACTGCGACCTACAGTGGTCTATGGTACAATAGCAAGACATCAGAGAGGCAGTCAGCTTGTCCATAAAGAAGGTAAAAGCAAAGGTGTCCCTGTAACAGACCGTGGAGGCCCATAGGGTTGTGAGACGTCGAGGCTCCGACATCTTCTAGACAGCTGGCTCACAGAAGGCGGTAAGGTTGTCAGCCTTACGCGCCGGCCACCCTTTACCCCAAGGAATATTCCTGGTACTCATTTCTGTTAGAGGCTGAGCCAAGCCCAGGGTCATAGTGCGCCTGGAAGGATTAGGTAAACTGAAAAAAATCCAGTTACATCAGGAATCGAACCCACAACCTTCTGGCTTGTAACACTGTGCCTCAACCAACTTCACCTTAACAGAAACAAAAACTAACTTTAAAAGAATTAAGAAATGCTTGCAGAATGTAAACATTCTGCCATTTTCTATGGATTATTACTCCTACATTTTCAGTTCACAAATATTAACACACAATGCTCTCCTGTAAATAACAATGTACAGGCAACCCGGATGAGCTGTGGGAAAAATCAGTCCAGCAGATAACACAGCATAAGAATACCTTCTGTTGATTATCTCAAAACCCATAATTCTTATGGAGCAAGTGTAAAGGGTACAATAAGTGCACAAAATGTGTGTAGGTCTTCATGCAAAATTATTTCCTACTCTCCAGTTCTTAACAAAATAGGAATGTTTCAACAAATTCTTGTAAAATTCCTAAAATATCAAATTTCATGTTAATTCCATTCAGTGGATCTCAAGTTGTTACACGTGGATGGACAGGATGACGCTAACGGCTGCATTTCTGCAACATCATGTGAAATACACCCAAAATATAACAATTATGTTCACAGCAAATAGAATTGTGTATATTAATTACAGGGGTATGTCTGTGAACATAAAATGTATTATTCTCAGATATCTATGCACATGTAACAGTGCAAACAAACAACTTGAAGAGTATTTATCTTTTGGGATATAAAGCCATTTAGTCTGGTACAAGCCCATTAGCATATCAGAGGACCACACTGCCTACATCTCTCAACTTGCTGCCTGCTTCTTGCTTGGGTTACTTTCTGATCCTGAACATGGAAGCAGAATGGTCCTCCAAAACATCAATAAACTTCTACTGGGCTATCCAAACCATAAGACACCAGAAGTACTCTTCATAGCCATCACTAAGAGAACCTTAGCATCTCGAGACAATCTCTTGCATTTATCTTACCCTCGGATACAATGTTTTCCAGTCTCTGCCTTAATGGCCCAGTGGGAATTAACATCCTCTTGCACATCGGTGCCTGTTACAGACTGCTGACCACTGCCTGTACCGTACTTCACATCATGCGAATGCAGCCGGACCTTATAACCTGTGTTCATTAACTTCAGTACGGAGCCACATGTCACATATTGGTTTGATCTACCTATGGGCACAAACAGTATTAGTCTGAGGTCTTCATAATGGTGACAACTTCTTCGTCACTTTCTTCCCATGAGCAAGGACTGAGTTTCTATCTTCACCTCCCCCCTTGGGTCCCATGATGATCTTCCTTTAACGTCTCTACATAACCAGGCCTATTTCTGAACCTACATACTTCAACCCTGAAGATGGAGGCAGCATGTTCCTCAGAAATGTTGCCCGCCTACAGCACAGAAGACCACAATTCTAATAAACAACACTGTTTTTATACACACACATCCAATTATGACCAGGTTAGAAATGAGGCCATGGAAAGTTCCATGAATGATGCGAACAATGGCAACAGTGACTTTCCCATCTCTGCCTAGTGCTAAATTCCCCCTCCACTCCATCTGGCTTATGTCAACTAACCACTCCTATGAATCTGACAGTGGTAAAGGTTACTCATGTGATTGTCACTACCGATAGCCATGCTTGCAACAGGCTGGATGGCTGGAGAGGAATACAGAGGGAAGCTTAACATCTCAAAGAATATATAAAAGTGCTCAATCCATTGGGCTTCTGTCTGTGACCTCAGTGTACCATTTTATCAAGGTAGGTATCACAAGCCTATGGGCCTTCACGGCCCATTATAGGGATAGCTTAACTTAATAATATTGTAGATATGGAAATTTAATGGCATTTCATGTAACTCACAATAACAATCAAAATTCACATGAGAAAGGGATCTCAGTATATTGTGATCTCTGCAGCAACAAAATATGGAAGTCTGAAAAAAAAACTGTAATAAAATATGTCTGGTTGTCCAAAATAACTACCATTCATGTTCAGTCCTTACATAATAACACACTCATAAATCACGACAGAAATTTATCATTACCATTCACATAAACACAATCTATATTCCTGAGTTCCAGTTTAATAATATCCTCCCATTCACATTTATATCTTTCAACAAGCCTCTTTTCACAATGACTTCCTTCTAAAACACTGCGATTTTATTACTTGCTGCCTTCATCTGCTTTATATGTTCAATACATTAAAAATATTTTCATTCAGTTATTGTAACAATTCTCGAAGTACGTCCTCACTATATAATTTATCCATTCACCTCTTATTACATTCGAATATTGCTTGCTGCCTTTGCACCAAAAAAAAACGCCATCTTACTCGAAAAAAATCACGTATACTGATTCATCTCTAAACCTAACCTAACCTAACACACTTACCTACACGGCTACAAATTCCAATACATAAATCCATTTCACTGTATAATATGGCATGATCTTACGCTCGCAGGCTGCAATTCTACTCAGGCTTTTCTAATAAAAAGACGGTAACAAATCCTATCATGACCAGCAGTGACACCATAATATAGCTTTTGCTCAAGTTGATAAAGTCGGTTAACGACATTAACGGAAAAACACAAATACATATACACCTATATAACGTAATTAATAATTACCTTCCACTGCCTCAAGAAACATAAACACAATACTGAACACTATCGCCCACTTCTGTAAAGACAACACACTGTCCTCCATGTTGAAACACGTTGTCTTCTGTTATTGGTTCATTCACATTCACAGCTGTTTACACCCGCTTCGATTTTTGTCACAGCCTCTTTGATTATCTATGTTAGTAAACAATATACATAAAAGGTTGGCGCTAGGGGCGCTATTGTATGGTTGAAAAATAGGCTTCAGTGGGCTGCCTATACTCTAGAATAATTGGTATTAGTCATTCTGCACATTACTCTTAACATGGCATTGTGAATTAAAACACATATTTCTTGAGGAATTCGTAAGCTGCATTTATAACACCCCAACTTATAAACGATCTTGTGTAATTCATATGTACACCTCTGTACATATTCCTGAAACCTCTTGCTTTGTACAGATCAACCAACACCGACGTGAAATTCTGAAATTTCCCACCAAGGGTGCTTTGCAAATGTACCTTGACAACATTTAGAGGATAAAATACTGTACTTATGAAAGCTCCAATTAAAGCACCACTTAGAAACTGCTGTGATGCCTGTCCCCACCATGAATCATGTTGTGGAAGATAATAATTTGCTTCATCTCGTAGGAAAAAGAAAAAAACATTTGAAGGTCCATTTCGTAAAAGAATAGGTGTCAGTCCACGGTAATATTCCTTAAACCCATAATTAACACCTATTTCCTTCAGAGCATGAAATGTATTACGGAAATGTGTGTGATAATGCTGGTGTTGAAGCAACGTCTGCACTCGCTCAAATGGCATTAATGTAGCTTCGACAGTACCAGCAACCATTGATGCAATGACTTTGGACAAGTAATGATGTACATCTGCATTTTCTAGTGGTCTCCTGCATTCCTCATATACACCGAACATAATAGACAATGAAACTGTTTTCTGACACAATGGAGGCAGAATCCCACGATACAGATAATGGAAACCTTCACTCGATAGTTGGCCAGCAGCATTACCAACACCGATTCCATGCAGCATCTAGAACAAACCATTATAAAAGATTTTAAAATGAAATATATTTTCTTCAGTAACATCATGGGAAAAGACAAGTCTTACCATGTCAACCCATTTCCAACAACAGTTCCATCCACACGCAGTTAAAACAAGACCCCGATCATGGCCATTCTACCCTTTCCCTGTATTCATGCTACTTTTACATTCTTTGCTGTCTTCTACCCAGAACATGGACGCAGCAGGTTCATTGGAATGTTTGTAACTGTCTACCAAACCAATGGCCTCACATACCAGAAGACAATAGCCATTGCACTTAGGTCAGTGCTTTCCAGAAACAGCACCCTGGTGTGCCACATGCCTGACTTAACACGTTTCTTTTTTGTTTTCCTAGTGAACTTTTCTTGGGGGAACACAGTAGCATAGTCTGTTGAGGCATTATGCTACAAGCCAGAAGGTCTCAGGTTCAATTCCTGATGAAGCCATCGGATTTTTCAATTGACCTAAATCCTTCCAACCACACTTGGAGATGACTCAGCCTCTAACAGAAACAAGTATTGGGAATCTTCCTGGGGGTAAAGGACAGCCAGCACATAAAGCTGACAACCTCACTGCCATATGTGAGCCAACTGTTTAGAAAATGTGGGAGCCTTGACATTTCACAATCCTATGGGCCTCCAAGGCCTGTTACAGGGTTAACTTGACCTTACAGAGTTTTTAATGCTAAATACACATATTCAGTCTAAATACTTCATCTTAATTATCAAGTTTTTATGCTCAAATGTCTTGATAAGAGTCTTTTTCAAAATTTTCCCATGGAAGGACCACCCCCCATTTAACCTACTCAGTGCATTTCATCATCTGACTCCTCACTGTACCATAAATTTCAAAACTACAACAAACTGTGCCACAGGTATAACAAGGTTGGCAAACACTGCTTTAGACATTTGTTTCAGTAATATTAATCTCTTTCATAATTCATGCCTTGTTATCTCTGTTGCTCCTTAGCTACGCCTGTCAAGTTACCATGCCTTAATAATTCACACTTTTAAAATAAGAACTCCTCACCATTGCTATAACTTGAAATAGTATGAAGGTCTGAGTACCCCAGTAACCTGGAGAGCTATGCTAGTAGGATGTAAGTTTATGACAGGACCATAAAAACTGGAGAGGTCTGAGGATAGGGGTCAGATGAAAGGTGGCTCCTGGCCTTCCTACTTGGGGGGTTGGGCATGGAGATAACAACACATCCCAGACAAGTTATGATTCCTTAAATGGATGCCAGAGAGATAATTTAGGAAAATGACTAAGGAAGAGTTATGAGGAGAGTGAGTTAGTTATTTCTGATGAATGGAGGTCAAGAGATGGAGGCAAATAACAGAGGAGAATGGACATGTAGCCATGCAATATGTAAGTAAAAATGACCTGCCTCTTCAGGTAGACTTAACGTCTGTTCTGCAAGGTCCTTGACAAATGCCAAACCTGCATCAGAAAGTCACCTGTGGTATCACTTAATAAGTAACTGTATTTGACCTGGGTCCTCATAGACAATGCCAGTTTGTCTGAAAAATATTTTGTCAATGTAAGGGTAAAAGGAAAGTTTTCCTTGTGTCAAATTATGCCAGGAAGAATATGAGGTGCGTGGAGGAATCGCTCCACACATTGTTAACGTCAGAACTAGATGGAGATAAGTGGTCTGCCTCACACCATGTTTGTTACACAATCAGGGACAGGGCCTCCCCAGTATTTATTGCACAAGAGGCTGAGTGGGTTGCAGAACTGATTTAGACACTGTGACTAAGAGAAAAACATCTGTCCCTACCAGGAAATGAACCATGATTCAACAAATAAAAATACTCTTTCTAGAAGCACTGATTTGTTTCTGAACTTGAAGTTTATTTAGTTTCTTGAACAAATGTCAACCATTCTATCCTACCAAATAACCAACCTGTCAATGAATTCTCATCTATTATAACATTATTATTCCAAACACAATAATCCAACTTCACTGCCACAACTGGTTACCTGTAAAGAAGTGGTGAAACTGTTCACTCAACACTGGTTGCCTTTTATAGTGTCTAAGTGATAATGTCATTTAATCATTCTTCAAAACAAGAAGTTCTGGGAAGAACCTGCTCTCCCATCAATACATATCAAGTACATGATACGCCACAGACCACACAGAAAACAGCGCATCCAACAGTTCTTGCATTGTTGCATGTGTATTCATTGCCCTTCAACCATGGGGTGAGGGGGACACACAGATGAGCAAGGTGATCTCATAAGCCTCCTACATTTTTTAAAAATTAGGAATAGGCTAGAAATTGGAAACGGTTACATGAACAGAAAAAAAAAGGATTACGCTTCTCACCTGTCGGAATATTAGCTTGTTGATTGGGAAAGTGATTGAAATATTAATAAAAGCTGCTCCCCAACCACAAACAAATTCTCTCCAGTCATACACTGCACTATCCTGTGAGAAGAAACGTGAGTTCGTCTTTTGTGTGCAACCACAGCCTTTCTTGTCACACTCTGGATCATTTTCTTGAATGTTAATACTACAAGCAGGCAAGTGTGTCATTGCAGCATTATCTAAAGGAAATAAATATTTTAATGTCAGTATCAAATATTCCACGTATTACAAAATAATTAATACATCCATTTAAGGTTAACTGTAGGTGCGAACCTCAAACAACAAATATGTGCATGAAATTCTGCTGCCATACATCTCAATTGACATTTAACATTTACATTCGCTGCTTCTTCCTCACTCTTCAAAACCTACCTATCACGGGTTTGCCACATTGAATGATACATTGGCTAGCCTGATGATTTGTACTAATCATGTTGGCTATACTGATAATGCGCAGCCGATCGTATGATTTTTCGCACATTTTCCTTTCTAATCCCTACTTTACGTTTATTTTCACATTGCAGAACTTGGAGAACGGTGGGGTAGGTGGGTTGTAGTTTGCGGTCAATCGTAAGAACTTGCACTCGACCGGAACTTTGTTGTGGTGGAATTAGGCAGTTTCATAGTTATTCGTGTATTAAACACATTTAGTAAGTACGTTGATTAGATTTTATCGTATTTGAAGAATGTGAAGTCAACGTGGCACTTAGTGGAATATCGGTTGCCTGTGATGTTATTTCAGTTTTCAGATCAGCGTTAACTGGTGATAAAGGAAATGGCACAGCTGAAGGGAAAAGTAAAGGAGACCAATAAACAGAAACGGGAAAGGAAGAAAGATTTTGTGGAAAATAAAAAGCGGGTGTTTACTATTGTATTGCCAACACTGGGAGCTGTATTCATCATGATCGCTGTGTACATTTATTTTAAAACAAGGCCAAAAACAAACATCGAATTTTAATAAGTGACTTTAATTCTTCCTCAGTATATTACTCACATGCATTTGAAGATGAGCTTGGCACATCTGCCCACTTGTCACCTTAAGTTGGTACATAACAGCTCAGTGTAGTCACATGTCAATTACAACCAAATAAATTAATACTAGGGACCAAATAGTAATAATATTAATAGCAATAAATATATATTTTTGTTACATGTGATTTTATATTGGGCAAATAAATTGTGATAAAAATATGCTTGCATTTATTGAAGGTACTAGTTTTCCACATTCATGCAACATATGGAACATAACTGAGCTTCCTGGAGTACTGTGATTGTTAACATCATCATACCAAATGATTTTCTTTCATTACAATAGTACATAGAGAAGGAAATAATAACAAAATAAATACATCCAATGTCTCCCCCTCCCCACAGTCCATGTAGTTTTAGGTTCTTTTTGCATAGAAAATGAAATAATACCTTTACACATAGACACATCCAGTACACTCCATAAATCACTATTTCTGCCATTTAGTCTGTTAGATCTGCTATGAAAAATATATAAATTATAATACATATTTTACTTGCTAAGACCCATTAAAATCATACTTTCAGATCTTTGTTTAAGGAAACAGAATTGCAGCACATTCTTTAGAAAAGGACAAAATTTTGTCTCAATAAATAAATGGCATTCTTATACAGGTAAGTTAAATATTAAATCATAGTGTACATCATCTTAAAGTCTAACAGTATTCAAAGCAAACATTCATGTGCTGCTCACCCCAGGAAAATACTTGTCAGCTTCATAACCGGTAACAGATCATTCCCAATCAATCACTGCTTGTTGGTCCACCTATACATTCCTGCTGTGTTGGCCGGAATACTATATATTTCGTAATTAAATAAAATTATGCAAGATGCTGTAGGCATCATCAGGATAGTTTTTCAAGGGAGCAGCCAGAATATTTGCTTACACAAACTTATGTTGATGCCATAAGGATTCTTACTGATTACCCTAGAGTATTCTGGCCAGAATATTTCTTTAAATACTTTAGTTTTTATTACTCAAATTTGGCAATTTTCTTCGTCCTTAGACTTCAGTACTTTCTTGAAAATCCAGGAGGAGGCAGATGCCTGGCATCCCCCTTCCCCTGGCAGTACCAATGGGTCTAGTCCAATTCTAAAAAAGAAAGCCATAATTTGTATTCTGCTATCCTTGGTATGGCAACATATAAATTTAAAGTTCAAAAATATATTGAATACTAATCATTAAAGGGCTGTTTGGTGGCATTAAATAATCCATTGTGTGGAAGTAAATTACAGTGGAACCCCCACTGATGTTTTCCTTCATTTAACATTAAACTACAGGGATTGCAAATCAATAATCTCAGTGTTAAATTTCTCCCCTTCAAGATTTCCGTCAGTTTAATGTCAAAATCTGCTGATCCTGAAAGAAATCTTAAAAAGGGGTTTTGCTGTATGGAATAACAGTCTTTTGTTGCTGTAATCATAGCAGATTATATGCCTCTTCTCACTCTTTATGACATCATGACAATATACATATTGTTGTAATGTATTTAAGCTGCAGTTATTAGAAAATACTTGATATGCTTTTACAGCAATTCAAGATCTGTTAAGTCTCTCTCACTCCTAAACATGCACATGGCAGCCTGCGAGTATCACCACCAATTCATACCCTTTCATACATCTGTCCTGATAAAATTCCATACATTTTTAGTTTTCATTACATTTCACTTGAACTAATGCATGAGCTAGCAACACTTTCATGCACCAATTACTATGTTAAAAATATTCACAGTATCATTTAGATGTAACAAGTTCTCTTTTCTAACTTGTAAACTATTCAGAAGAGCCATTTTAAGTTGCACTTGTAAGCATAGGAAGCATTATGCTCTTTGGATTTTAATTATGTAATTTACATTATATATAAAAAAGGTTAGCATCTAATAAATCTGCGTAACACAAATTATGTTGAAACATATGCTCAACTTCTTTCTGCTTTAAGGCTTCACAATGCTCTCTTTTGTTTCCAAACAAGTCTACACTTGCATGCAGTCTGAACCTACACATAACAATTTCTCATCAAAGTCTAAATAATGCGATTAATTTATCATAGCAAACACAGGTGCCAGACACGATTTATTATTGTTTTACCTTTTTACCCTGTCTTTTGACTTGAGACAACTAGATTCAAAACTGGTCATGTCCTCTCTCCTGAAGCTCCATACTAGATGATTGTTACTTTCTGCATGACAGATATTTTTCAGCACTATAGCTGCATTACTGAGTACCTTGTAACAGTAGAGCTACCAGCACCAAATGACAAAATAATTCTGCCGTAATAATGGAGTTACCTCAACAATCTTATACAAACATATGTTTTACATGAGCTCTCAGTTGTAATGCCATGTAGGTCAGAGAAAGCAGAGCTCAACTTGCCACGTGCTTCTGCTGGTAGTCTCTGACCCTGGAGAAGCAGCATGTTCCTCTCAAACATATAGCTCTTTCCGAACAGTACAGTGTCACAGCCCAGAATACTGTACCCATCATGGCCACCAACATGAGAGCCTCAAATCAAACATATGTCCGACACTGTCCACTGTCTCAAGTATATCTGATATGCACAACATTTTGGGGGACTGGCTCCTTCCGACTGCAGGTCACTGGCTGTCATTACACCGACAGATTTATTTCAACTGGTTGGTTTTCACTGCCTCCAAGTACAGTCTGTTTGACGTCTCAGGCCTCTACCCCACCTATGCAAGGGCACAGAATCCATTTCTGAAGATGTGGCTCTCGCAGGGCAAGTTCTTTTGCCCCCAGTGATATGCAAATCATGAAAGTGAAGATTGGCAGGTACAGCTTAGCATGGACTGTGAGCCACAGGGACAGCCTGCCATTTCTGAAATTCTAAACATTTTTATCTTTGGTAGAAACAAAATTAAGGGAAGTTTTCAATCTATGGGTACAAAAAGTGGCACAAAGACTTGATGGGAGATCAGGCAGACTTCTCTAAATGACAGTCCACTATCACATTCCAGAACTATGAGGTCTCCTTTTACTGTAAAACTAATTTACTTTTTGTATTAATAGCTCTCATGGTTCAGTGTTCTAGCCTAGTGTTCAGTCCCAATAATCACCACTGATACCAAAATAAAGAACAATAAATATTTGTCAGTATAACGACAACCAATCACAGGAATACAGTCAACTTCTGGGACATAATGTATATCAAATATATCTGTGACCGTCGACAACATCCAACAATCGTATAATTAATGAAACTGCCGTCATAAACCTTTAAGAGAATCAATACTGTTCACTCTGATTTATGAAGACTTACTTATCACATTAACAAATTATTGTTGTTCCCCATTAAGCACATGAAAAATTAAGGATCAGTGAGTGTCTTATATGTGTGACCATGGCTTTTGGGAATTTACCACACAGAAAGTTGAAGGATTTCTGTTTTGGCCAACACTGCAGTTGCTGTCTTTGGGGTTAATGGAAACAACTGCTATATTATGAGAAAACTTTGAACATTCCAAAACTTCAGCTGCAAAAACCTAAGTTTCTTCATATATTTTGCTCATACACCTTAAACACATTTTGATTCACTTATTTTGTGTTATCTTCCCAGTTACAATCCTGCAAGCCCTTTGTTGTGCTTTATGGATGAATTATACAACAGTTATTGCTCCTTATAACCATTTTTAAAATAAAATGTGTCACAATGAGTACTGGCAATTCAAGCATACCAAACAGAAGACTGTTATTCACAATCTCCACAGATTATTAGTCACCGACCCAACCACCAGAAGGAAGAGGCGGCAAGGTTTTGGTACTGTGATCTGTCAGTCTTCTGAGGTGTTACTCGGCACTGCTGCAGTGAATGCCAGCATTTCATCCTCAGGGTCAATGAGGAAACAGTCAGGTTTTACAGGTACATAGCAAGGACATTGGTCACCTACATCCATGGCATGAAAGAGGATATGGAACTCCCTCTGGGCCAATAGCAGTAAAAAGGAATTGTCAGTAAAACAACCCTTTTCAAGAACCCAATGTTAAGTGTAGGGATAAGGAATTCTATAAAAGAGTGAGCAGTTTTAGGGGCTACCACCACCTCCCACATCCTTTTCCTCCTGTCCCCATATCTGAACCATTTTTCCATGTGGCTTACTGTTATACCTTGAATATGGAGACAAGATGTTCCTCCAAAACAGTGGAAACTTTCTACCAGAATACATGGAATCACATCCCAGATGAAAGTCATTGTCATGGCCCAAGAAATGTTGGCAGATGGACACAAATGTGGAATGAGCATCTCACTCAACCCTAATCAATGTGACAGGTTCAGTTACTGTATGGAAGCAGTGTCACACCATTAGCCTAAATCAGGGGTTCCCAGGCTCTGCTACCATGAGCCCCCTACCCCACCAAATTAATACATAAACTTACATGAGCCCTTTCAGCTTTATCGATCAGCAAAAAGTAGAATTCTGCACATTGATGCAGGTCCCTATCAGGCTGTATGGTGATAGCAGGAACCTAAATAGCTTTACAGCCTCTCTACAACTACAGTAAGCTACAAAATGTTCCTGTACAGTCAGAGAAAGAAGTAAAGTAAAGTAAAGTAAAGTAAAGCTATCCCTGTAACAGGCCATGAAGGCCCATAGGGTTGTGAGATGCTGAGGGTCCCAGAAAAATATATTCAGAAAATGTTTCATGAGCTGTAGCTACATTTCCCTAAAGCATGTATATGAAATCTTAGTGACTTGCCAAAACTGTGCTTGGATGCAACTATACTTTAAATCATTCTTGAGAACTCTGTGACTCTCCTTCAAGTCTGTTGTTGGAGAAATCATGCACTAAAAACTGGAAATAACCTGCTGTTATTTAGAGCAACACTGGTAAAATTTTGTGGTTACATACAGACAGTGAACAGAGAAACGTTAAAAAGACACACAAATGATTTTCCTGGTATTATGCTAGATAACACATTGACAGGTGACTGGACATTCATCTTTTAAATAAGGTTATAGAGTCCACTGGAGGGAGTGAGTGATTACAGTACCCTGCAGCAGGGCAACATTCTTTTTAACATGTAACATCAATCACTGTGATTTATTGCTGACGCATTATTTCTTGAAAATAACATGTTCTGAGTATATTAGTTATGTCTTAAACATTCTCGTAATCACTCCCTTAAGTCCTACATCGTTCACTGCAATACACAGCCGCTAATTCCTCTGACTTTTCCAGTAAATTGGCTCTTTCGTTCTTCAGGTGAGTGAGGATGGTTTTCAAATACCTTAGTCTTTAGGTAACCTCAAAGACAGATTTCAGGGACAGTTATACTGGGCTCTGCAATGTCTCCAAATTTCAATATCAGGTGTTCTAGAAACATTTCCCCTTAGGACAGTCATGATTTTTCTTGAGTTATGAACAAAATTATGGAAGAAATGGCTGTGATTTATTGCAGCAAGTTATGCAGGACTTCAGGGAAAAGTTACAAGAACGTTTAGGCTGTGACACTGAACACTGGGCTGGCATTCGGGAGGTGCTTGGCTCGAATCTTGGCCTGGCCACTGTTTATCCTTAGTGAGAGTTTCATGGTTTTCCTAAGTCCCTACAGACAAATTCCAGGAATTTAGATCATGAAGGCTTACCTGAAAATCCCTTCCAATGCCACATTCACCAGTTACCCCACTGCTTGATGGTGCACAGCCCAGATACTCCCAACATCACTGGTTTATAGTTTATTTTACATGTTACTTTCAAGAAAGAATGTAATGAAACTCGACTTTAGAAGAAGTTCCAATTTATTCACCAATCCTCTGCAGCGTAGCATTGAGAAAGGTTCACTGTAACTGGCAGACCCCATAAATACACAGCACTGGTAGCAACTACTTGTGCAGTATTTCTTCACTTAGATTATATGGGCTACAAGCACAAATTGTGAAAGAAATATAAATTTTGTGTGTGATTCTTTTGCATTGTGTTGAAGATTACTGTCTTGTGGAATGGGGCATCATGCACTCTGGCAGAAAGATACCAACATTTCAGAGGAATCTGTTGCCTCCAGATTCATGGCTACAACAAAGATGGTTGTAGTGGGTCCCTCTGAAATGCTGGCACTTTCCCACAAAACAACACAGTGTCACATCCCAGAAGACAATCACCTTTATATTCAGTAGCATGAGAACACCAAATCTCACACTGCATGGTATTCCATGTCACTACACACTTATTCTAACATAGAACTTATTTGGAATGTACTGACTTACAAGTATAGAAAACATATGCAAGAACTTCTGAATGCCTGTTATTTTTTCCTTGACACATTCGGATGTAACTGCACACTGGGGACTAGATCAGCTTTCGAATCCAGATGACTCACGCACCTACATATAACACAGAGATCCTTCTTTTTAGTCCATGCCTACATCAATTCATGTGATGTTAATGAAACAAAAGGGAGGTTCATCACAGCCAATCAGAGAATATTCCACCAAACCACATAACAACAATAGGAAGGAGGTACGATGTGACAGCACGTGTAACAGATATTTTCGGTCTTGCATTCGCAGATGAACCACCACTGGTATTATTTCTCGGCCGGTGCCTGTCCATTCCTCCATCCGCGCCCAAAGGATGGAGATTGTTGTCCATGTCATTGTTAGGTGGGCGAGGGAACTGTCTCGTTCCTCCAGATCCGGTACCAGTTCCATACCCAAAGTGACCTGAGTCACCAGAACCTTCCATATCATCATCTTCAATATCATTGCCATCACCAGAGCCACTCCCAGATCCATATGATGATTCTTCTGCAAGTCAAGTTGAAATGAAGGCAGTGTTAAACTCTTTCCCAGTCTAGTATTCACGTGATACAGTGAACCTGTCAAGTCACAATGTTCAGAACAAAACCTACCTAGGAGACTACATGGTGTCACATCTCAGAAGACTGTAATCTTAATATCATGCTCCTCTTAAGACCCCCTGAACACAGGGATGTCACACCTGGTACAAGGCAGGTGAAACTCTTCAATGAAAGGCCTTCAGATAAAGTGTGTAGGAACCTACTGGCCTTGGACAGGAAAAAATGTAGGCTACTAACTGGGATGCTGAGCGACCATGGTACACAGAGGTAGCACCTACCGATTATGTGCCTCTCATAAAGTGCCATGTGCAGGAAGTGAAGGAATCCTCCTACCTCATACTGCGTCAATGCCCAGCTGCGTGGTTACAGCCAACAGATATTAGGAGGCCCTCAATCATATGAGATCAGTTGCTCCATGAAGGGCCCTGACAAGATGGAGGGACACAATGGACCCAGCAGTGGTGAGTGTGCTTGGAGCAAGTGAACCACTCCCCCCCACTAAGTCAATAATGTCTCTCTTCACAGGCAGAAAGGTTAAATAAATCAATTTTTGTTGTGGAACCCACAATTCACAGCACCATAACAGGCTATGGAAACTGCCATTAAATGTTTCCTTGCAGAACATCAGGTTTGAAACTTAATACTGAGATTATTGACTTCAGATCACCGAATGTGATTATTAAACAAAGGGAAACATTACATCAAGGAACACTAAATGTAGGGTCCACTACATCTCCCTCTCTGACCAAGCTCACTCTGAAACATATCTATTTTGCTTTAACTGCTTATATAGTTTCATTCACTGCCCTCTTATTTGATTAATTTCAGAATTACACATTTCCCGCAGCAACATGTTCTCAGAATACTTTCAACCATGTTCTTCCCTCAGAAAACCCAGCTGGTGGTCCTTATCATGAGCCACCTGAATCCAGTTCACATTGTCACCAAATTTCTTTAAAATTTATTTTATCCACTGCAATAATCAGAGAGCTTCCCTTCCACAAACCATTGAGCTGCCCAGGAGGAAGGGGAACAAATGTTCCTCCAGTCAAGTTGGCAAGATTCAGGTTGCTGGCAGAACTGAAACCCACGTTTGTGTACACAATTTCTTTCAACTTTCGCTCCAATAAAATGCAGAATGGCTACAGTGAAGAAAGTTGGAGCACCATATGCCAACTGTAAGCCCCAAGCCTCACGCTGCTGTATCTGACCTGTCTAGACTCAAGTCCTGTTCTCTCCTGTGATGAAATGTCATGTATGAGTTACACATTGGAGCAAAAAGTGTTCATGTAGGATACATATCTGAAAAAGTTGTTGTATCAAAAATTTAGACAATCCCAGCATAAACTGACGAACATTCACAGTTCCAAGCAGAAAAAATAAAAATCTCATAGAACTGTACATAATTTAAGACAGAAAGGATTGTTACTGGACAAAACAGAACAAACTGAATTGTTGGGTGGACAGAAGTTCGATAAAATCAATGTTCAGCTTCAAACTTGCCTCAAATATCACTTAAACACCCAACACAGGAGACAAGTGTTTCAACTTCCAAGGTTCAAGTTAACTCTCTTCCTGAAATGGACCTATGACATGTGAATGTAAACATTCCATGAAAGTGCAACGAATGTGAGTGTGTTAACAATGGGGAACAATGTCAGCATCTGCTGTGCTCTGCGTGGGTTTTGCTTGTCCACTCTGCTGGATGACAGAAGCATCAGAGTTTCCAGCCTAGGCTGTCTCACACTGCACTCTCATCTACACATTTCCAAGAGGTACAGCTTATGTTCAAACACAATTTAACTAATCAAACTACTTTCCTTCTTACCAGCATCAATCCATTCAACATCCTGGCCATTGTAAGCATTCTTCAGCTTACTTGTAATGGTTTTCAGTGCAAACATTTGTTCGTTGAGCAAACTGCTTGGTCGATTAACATCCACTGTAACCTCAGGATTGGTCTGCTGGTTGGATATACCATCGCCAGTGATCTGAAGCTCATATCTGCAATGAAAGACCAAACGACTATAGAACAAAACTAACTTCATCTTCCAGGGCCCTCTGTGAGCAGTAATTAGTTATGAACATTGCACTGAATGGCACAGACCTCACTCTCGAAGGCTTTTAGCATAGAGGAGAGGTACTGTCAGAGACAAGCATGAAACCTGCCTGCAAGGACCACTGCGCACCCGCATGGTCGCTGTAAGCAGTGACAGACAGAGGCTACTCTGCTGATTTACCAATACCTTTACTTGTGCAGTCAGGGTGGAAGGGTGCAATGGGAACAAACAACAAGCAAAAGAATAAACAGACAATAAATAAATAAATACTGCAAGTAGAAATTAAACTGAAGAGTTCTATCTTCTGGGATGTAACGCTGCGTAGTCTTTTGAAAGTCAACTGATGTTTTGGAGGAACATATCACCTCCATCTATTCTTCAACCCTGAAGATGGAGGCAGCCTGTTCTCCTGAATCTTTGGTTGACTTTGAAAAAGAATACATGAACAGCAGACAGAACTCTCCACAGCCACTGCCGTGAGAACCTCAAATCCTGCAAAAAATTAAACCACCAGAGAAAGCCAATGCAAATTTGCCAACCACATATTTGGAATGGGGATGAATGCAACCTGTTACATTTGCAAATATGGCACTTAATGACGGCAGGACATAATGGTAGTGGGGACTAGTGAGATTTTAGACTTTTTGTCTGTTTATTATCTGGTATTCTGGGGGAAGGAGTTTCAGAAGCAGCATATGTTTCTGTCCTTAGGATAAAGTGAGGGAGGCACTTACTCTGTTGGGTCCATTAGGAACATATATGCATGCACCTGAGCCAGGTTTCAACAAGACATAACAAGAAAACTTAATTAACTGTACTGCTTGGACTCTGAGATATCTTAAAATGTTCCTTTGTGGAGGATACGAACCTGGCTTTCATGGCTCCATTCCAGCAGCTGTCATCCTTGGCTGGGCTAGCAGCAACATGATCGTTATTGCAAATCTGGTACGGTAAATGTGACCAAAATTGTTTTGTATCCTTCACCTGTGCCATGAGACAAACGAACACATGTAATTACAAAAGCCAAAAATGTCTGCATGAATTCTGTAAACGAAAGAACAAGGAAAAAGAGGTGATGAAAAATATCACAATTTAAACATTGCTGTCTTCTGGAATATATATTGCCGTGTGGTCTCGTAAAACATTACCAGTGTTCATGAGGAACATTCAGCCTCCACCTTCTCTGAAATGTTGGTAATGTTCTGTCAACCAGACTACACGGCTTCACATTCCAGGAGATAGCAACCCTCAGTCACTGCTGCAAGGACTCAAATATCAATTCAAATTTAAATGTGCCACCCCATTTCTGCCTAGCAAAGTAAGGGTAAAGTTCCCCCTGAGCTTAAGTAAGCCACAATTAAATTGTAGCTGGAGACGAAATTGTTAAATTCTTCTGTACAGTACAGAATGACAATGTTTTAATGCTAACTGAAATGCAGCCATTTATGGCTACTCCTTTCTGATTCTATCAAAACTACCTGACATTATCTTTGCAGTTGGTCTCTATAGAAATGACATAACCACAAACTGACAAATATTGCCCTACTTAGACAGAGTACAGAAACAGTACATGTTACACTGCACCTTTTGCCTGATATCCTTGACTAGTTTGTCGAGAGTGGGTACAATATTGCTTTCTCCATTCTGAGCATCTTCGGATCTCTCAAACTGCAAAGATTCAAACTCCAATTCTGTTGTATCACGACGTCTGCGACCCAATAAGGGTTTTCCACACCCACTGAATACCTATGACACAGAAAACAAATGTATTTAAACCTACAATGAGGTACAATGTTCTGTGAAAGTCAAATGTGAAATTTTCAGGAACTGGCAAGCTTGCTACTTGTTTAGCATATCTTCAACCCTGAAGATGGAAGCAGTACTTTCCCCTGAAACATATAAACTCCTCCTGGCATGGAGATAATATTCTGTGAGAACCTGAAACCCAACAAGATGGCCATCTCCTGTAATGTGATGGCACAGAGAAACCAGCTGGCTTCATCTTCATGGGAAAACAAGGGTACACATACAGGAAAATTATAAGCGGGCCTGTGGAAGAACACGGGCCCCAAAGCGGTGGGTTCCTCTCTTCCCCATATGGCTTACTCTTCTACACTGAAGATGGGGCAACAGTTTTGTAAGGCATCACAACCCAGGAGGCGCTGCGCACACTTCATGTTCTCTGCTACAACAGACTTTCAGTAACTCAGTTCAGAAGGGCTCACCCTTTGTGAAACTTCAGGACCATTTTCTTGGAAGTTCATGATAGCTTCGGAAATCTTTATGTCTATCGGTTCGACCACCATCTCAATATTGAATGGGCCCAGTAACCGGTCAGTGACCTTCTCCATCGCATCTGCACAAAATCAAAACATGTCACAGTTTAGCGGACAAAACATGACAACTTAAGAATTACATCTCATTGTCTGGGAATGTCACATCATTAGTCATTACGAAGTTTTGAGAAAGTTGTGCTGTTTTTTTTGGGGGGGGGGTAGTATTCTTAACACTGGCATTAGATGGAAAAGTATGGCTAGCTTCATGCCCTGGCCACTTTAGCCTTGGGAAGGAGCCCACAGTACCCACTTCATGGAAGGCTACGAGGGCCTCAGACCTAGTCTGGCCACAAAGAGAGTCTTGCTCTTGCCAGGAACTGAACCTTGTTTCTTTGTCATCTGGCCTCTAGCCTGGCCGGGTATTGCAGCTCTTTGCTACTGGGGGAAGGAGTGGAATTTCTCTTTACCCAGAATGCCATTAGCAACAGGAGACCATGCAAACCAGAAACCTCAGAGACACAGAGATATATCAGCAACATTCTGAAATTAAATGATTACAGTCTCACCAACAAAATTGTTCCAATCTGCGTCTAGCTCTGCCTGATAGGCTAGGCAACCTTTCATCACATTAATGCAGTAGTTGCTACAAGCCTTCAGTTCGGGAAGCCCCTGACAAGCTGGGCAGCCCGTCATCTTCGTAAGTGCTCGTACACAATCAGGACTAGGATTGATCTGTAGTGAAACAAAACATGGTTGAAGATTGCTACCTTTCTTCTGCTAAAAAAGCTTTGGAAGGACGCAGCCATGGCCTAACCAATGTATTATCTGGCATTTGCCTGGAGGAAACCCACGATCAAACCTCAGGTAGGATAAGTGACGTTCCAGCTGAGATTCGAACCATGAGTCTCCTGAATGCAAGACCAACCCGCTCAGTGATTACTGTCTTCTGGGATATTAAGACATGTAGTCCTGTAAATAGGAACCAATATTTTGGAGGACTGCTGCCTCCATCTTCAGGTTAGAAGAGTAAGTACATTTCAGACCACAATGTGTTACATCCCAGAAGACAGTGTTCAGTCACTTCTATGACAACCTCAGTATCACAAAACAGCAGTTAGTGAGAATGTAGCAAAGAAGGGTCCTTTCTGTAAAGGTACCAAAATTGAAACATAAACAATTAGAGAGAAAACTTAAGAAGAGCCAATAAAGTCTTATAATTTTACTATTTTACATGGAAAATATACTACTACATGGATCCCGTTTCCAAACAAGGACAATTCTTGAGGTGAAGCTGTCCCTGAACTTCATTAGGCACAGCACCAGGAAGATGAATAAGGGAGCAGAAGTGCAGTAGCTCTCCATGCATTCTCAACCTTGGCACTTGATGGAGTGCCAATTTGAGAGGGGTTGAGAGGGCCCCAGAAACAGTCTGGACACACTGCTTCTCCCAGGATTGTCTGGTTGCTGCACTGACTAAACTATCCCAGCTCTTTCTCACAATCTCCTGCCGCTATTAAACAGTGCAGAAAATGATGTGCGCCACTAAATTACGTTTAGAAAAATGTAAAGGTGAGGTTATGGAAATCAGTGCCCAAGGATCCTGAGGCCGGCATCCCACAGACACCAGCTAATGAATACCTACCCACTACCTGGACTGTTGCTTGAACCACTGCACCATCAGCTCTCTCTCATAGCTCACAGAGTTACTTCCTCACGTTTCTGCACCTTCTGGTCCCTCGAGACTAGGGAACCGATGACCAGCAGTACTGACTCCAATAAAGTCAAAACCCCTTGCCAACCCTCACACCTTCAGGGAAGCCATCAAAATAAGTCACACATCCCCACAACTTCAACTGTGAAGACAGATATAAACTGGCTTCACTTGATTTACTCAAACTTTCCTAATTACCCTAAAGACTGTGACTACAATGTTCCCTGAAATGTTGGAACAGCTTCAACGTACGAGATGGCCGAACACTGAGCTGAAGTTACACATTACATATACATGACTGTTGGAATAAGTTTCCAACACTGCGATAATGAGCTACTTCCAACTTCTCTGAAACCCACAGCCAGTGTTCCGGTAAACAGGATCTATGAAGCATAAACATCAGCATATCAGAAAGAAATGAAAAAGTCACCTTACCTTTACCATATTGGTAACGACATCACTAGCCACATTGAGTGCTTGCGAAAACGTTCGTGTAGCCACAAAGGAACGCTTCAGTTGAATGGACAATTTATGAGGAACATCACCAAAGGGCTTCAGTTCCTTCATGTGCTCCCCAACACAACCCAGGTATCTGTCCACACAATAAAATTCACTGTTAAACATTGTACTTCATTACACGTTGCTATAAGTATACGTAACTTACACTTTCTTTAGCAAAAGCCTCCTAGAGCTACTTACACGTATTACTGAGTGTTGTGTTGTGAAGGTTTTCAGTAAGAAATAATGTAAGTTACACTGTGAACTTGTACTTTATGTCATAGCCCTCAGGGTTCTTCTGTTTATCAATGTCACATTCTTTGTATTGATATCAACTGATGCTCTTTCTACACTAATCAGCTTCTCTATGTAAAGTTCAGAGCTACTTAGATTTTGTGGAGTGAATTATGTTCTGATGCACTTTAGAGCTAGCAAATCGAGACGGCAATTCTTCAACACGCTCAATTTTAATTCAGTTAACATAACTAACAAAAAAGTTTTTGTGATTACTTCAAGACACTAAGTACAACTTCTAAAACACAGAACTACTTGTTCATACTTATCCTCACTTGTCATCGAACTCGTACTGAGCGTTGAGGACAGTGAACATTTTTTGGTAAAGAGTATTGAAAAAGTTCTCCATTGCTTCTCCAAGGTCAACCTGGCCCTTTGCGTAGTACCGCTCCAATTCCTCAAACAGATCCGTAAAGACATACGAATTTTGCTCGTAGATAATGCCGTACGTCTTCTTGAACATATCGTGGAATTCTCGTTTTGATGTTGTCAGCAGCTCCTTGAAGAAATCTGAAATAATTCACATACAGTATAACGAAGATAAGCCATGAACAAAGATCTCGTAAGAAACCATATGCTACCATTTCAGCCCTTTGAAGCACAGCAGTAATTATACATATGCTGTCAATTGTTGTTACAGGCAAATTTAATATTCAGAGGCTAGATCTGCTTCCATCATCAGGTGTAATGTGCGGACCAACCCTACTCAGCTATGAATGTCATAAAGAGGGTAGTCTCAATCATGCCCAGTGATCAAAAGGGTAGTCCTTTCACACTAATCCATTTTCCACCTGTGATAAAACACCAGCATGCCCCTTACAAGGGCAGTTTTACTACCCAGCTTTCCCATTGGCCTCAGAAGGTTCATTACCACGTTCACAAGATGAATCCAGCCCAAACCTTCACACCCAAATTCCTTAATATCCATTTTAATATTATCCACACATTACAACCTATGCCTCACAACAGATCTCTTTCCTTCTAAATTTCTGACGAAAATCTTCTACCCATTTCTCATCTCTCCTATGTCCCATCCATCTTATTCTCCTTGATTAGCAGAGACGGTGGGATGTGACGCCGTGTAATCCGGCATAAGCTCAACGACGTTTCGGAGTAACATACTGCCTTCGTTTTCACGCAGCAAGTAACCATCAAGAAACGGATAGGAAGCACTTGCTTAACAGAGATAGTTGACTTCTACCGGACTACACGGAGGCACAGTACTTTAGTAGGTTTGAGGGAAAAATTCTCCTCCCCCCACCAATGCGCTGTATAAAAAATATTCTGCTGGCGCCCACAAATGCTATTTGTGGGAATCGGATAAAACAGCGCTCAAGGAAGATTTATATATAGAACATGAAGGTTTCTGGGAGCAAAACAGGGCCCACGGCTGGGGGCATGCAGTGTTCTAGTGCTCAGTTTCAAGCCACTTGTATCTGGGTTGGGTGCTCGGTTACAGTCTCGGCCGGGACATGCCTCAGTCCCCGCACACAAATCCAGGGAGAGTACCCAGAATGGGCCACGACCAAATCCCTTCCACTTCACCATTAGTCATCCTACCATCCGACGCCCTATAGTCTCGATACTGAGAGCGTCGTTAAACAACCGACGAAACAAAAATATGAAGCCATACGAGGTGCGAGCTGAACTTCGTGTTTTGAAGGGGTAAAACTTTTAGAGTCTGCTCTCAAGACGATAAGCAAGGGGAGAGAGCTATGCCAAACTTGCCATAAATAAATTTTGTTTCGGAAGACGCGATAATTCTGCGGCGTGTCCTGTGTGTAAGAAGGAAAGTGGCATAACGCGTGGGCACGAAAACATTCGCACTTTTCGTACGAAAAAGCAACAGACACAATAAACCTCACACTGGTAAACCAACGCAACCAACCGTGCAAATCATAAGACATGATATTTATATCCGATTCGTACCTCACAGGAAACACTGCGTCTCCATTACAAGCACGAAAGAGTTGATTCTGCTCCTCCTCCTCATCATCATCATCATCATCAGTAATCTGTCAGACGACAGGTCCACAGTCTCTTCCAAAACAGTTCCTCCACTTGATGCGATCTAGAGCTTTCTCCTTCAAATGAGAATATCCTCTTCTGTCCCCAAGGTCATCCAGCATCTTCTTACGTCTTCTTCCTCGTCTTCTTGTCACTTCTATCCGCCCCTCTATCTTTCCTTCAATAACTTTTTTTAGAAGGCAGTTTCTGCGTAAAACATGACCAATCCAATTAGCCTTCCGTTTTCTTATTTCGTGTAGGATATTCCTCTGCTCACTGACTCTAAATAACACTTCTTCATTTCTCACATAATCGGTCCAACTGATCTTCTCCATCCTTCTCCAACACCACATTTCAAAACTTTCCAGATGTTTCTGATCTGCTGCCGTAAGTGTCCATGTCTCAGCCCCATACAGAGCTATGCTCCAAATGTAGCATTTCACTAGTTTCTTCCTCAAATTTAAGTCCAATTTGCTGGTAAAAAGATTCTTCTTCTTGCTAAATGCAGCTTTTGCCATGGCAATCCTGGATTTAATTTCACAAGTACACCTTCCATCATCTGTTAACAAGCTACCCAAATATTTAAAACATTTCACATTCTCCAGTTGTTTTTGGTCTATCTTTATTGTGACTGGGGTTGGTTGTCTCGAAATTTTCATTACTTTTGTTTTCTCCACATTCATTTCCATGCCATAGCACCTTCCAATTTCAATTAGTCTATCAATCATGCCCTGTAGCACAGTTTCTTCCTTAGCCATTAACACAAGGTCATCTGCATATTTCACAGTTTGAATAATTTGCCCTCCTACTTTGAAGTCACCGAGCCCATCCAGAGCTTCCTTGGTAAGGCATTCGCTGTACAAGTTGAACAGAATTGGTGATAAACAGCATCCTTGTCGAACTCCTCTTCCAATCTGCACACTTCCTGTCTCCCCCCTGTCCAGTCGTACTCTAACTTTCTGATCCATGTACAATTTGCTAATCAATCTTCTTTCATGCCAATCGATACCTGTTTCTTTCAGGATCTGCATTAATTTGGTCCAGTTTACCCGGTCAAATGCCTTCTGCCAGTCTATGAAGCAAACACACAGTTCTTCATCTATCTCCAAAGTTCGTTCTTCTTAATTCTCATCATCCCAATTGATCCCTGGTTCCTTTTCCTCTTCTAAATCCAAACTGATCTTCTCCAAGTACATCCTCTATTTTCCTTTCAATTCTTCTTTTAAGTATCTTTGCTATTATCTTTGCTGTATGTGCAATAAGGCTTATTGTGCGATGGTCGCTGCATTTTGTAGCTTTTGTCTTTTTCTTTAAGGCAATCATTGTAACTTCTGTAAAATCCTTGGGCCACTCTCCAATTTCATATATGGTGTTCACTAGTTTTGTCAGTGTTTTCAAACAGGGAAATAAATACCGTATATTCTGAGAATTATAGTTAGGAAACGCATACATGCGCTAGATTTCAAAGCAGATGGTACACACATTAGAGGGTAAATATAAACGGCATGTCACTACTTGAAGCACCAACCCACAGAGGGGGGATCCTCTTCAGAATCTGATATTAGCTCAGCTAAGATATTCACCGCATTTTGTGGAAAACTGTACGTGCACTACCGTCTTCACGGAGGTTAGAATTCTCACCGCGGAACCCAGGGTTCAATCCCAGGTGAAGTGGCATTGGAGCACATTTTTCTCCTGCTCGAGCACTGCCCCATACGCATCCCCGTCTTTAAGTTGAGGGCGCTTCATCTCTGATCATCTCTCGCCGTTTGGCAACTTAAGTTTAACAGAACATGGATCACCGCTCTAGAAATACCATCCTGGCCCACTCGCCACGGGCCAGTTAACAGATGCCGCTGGCGAGGACATTTTTAGTTTTGGTCTAAGTTTGTGGGTTGAGCGGGGGGGTTGTTTCGTCATCTGCATGTTTACATAGCACTTATAGGGGCCCAAGCATACGGAAAAAGGAAACGAGAAGACACCGAAGTAAAGGGAAAAGTAAAGTCGTTCCTTGGAAGCATGCCACGAAACCGAGCAGGCGGGCGTGGCGGTAACGCTCCACACTTGCATTTTGGAGATGCTGGCTTCCAATCTCGGCAGGAATAGACTATCCTGGATGAAAAATGTCATGGTTTTCCACGGTCCCTCGAGATAAGTGCTAGGATTGTAAGTTATCTCGATTAGACCATGACTGCTTCCTTCCAAATCCTTCCCTATTCATCATTCGTCATCATCGTAACACTCGGCGCTATACAGTTTCGATACTAACGGCGTTCGTTAAGTAACATTACGTGATTCCGTTCACAGAACGCGATTACGAAGTAGAATTAAACGCAATTTTCTCCCGCCAATCGCAAGCGCTTCACGATCCGAAACACAAACGCCTCTCGTTTAAATCTGTTCGGATTATTGATCGTCTCCGCGCTAATGCCAGCGATGGCCATCACGAGGAACATCATCATTTTCACTGCTCAGTGCACGCTACAGAGCGCACTCGCTTCGCTTCGGTACTACTGAAACTCTGCAACAATGTGAATCGCGCTTCCAACACCAACTGTCACATACACACATTGCAGTCTGTTTGGAGAACTTGCTCGGGTTTATTCCAATCTGAATAAAGGTAAGTACTGCGGATGTTAAATTTTGTTGCAATAATCTTGCCAACTGTGCAACGTTTCGGAGGTTTTTACCGGTTCTCACGGTTTCTTTGCTTCCGGATTTCTTATATTTTTCCTTCTACCCTGAAGATGGAGGCGATACGTTCCTCCAAAACGTCGGTTAACACCACATTTACATGGTGCCAAATCCCAGAAAACTGTTTTCTTCATAGTCACCGCCGCGAAAACCTCAAATCTTACATACCAGCAACAGTGTTCTTAAAATGTCGAGCCAAAACTGCGAACTCTATGGGAATAAAATGCCCTACACGAGCATAACCCAAACTTATTAAAATAGCTAACAGTTTAGTTGCGTTCCTGGAGTGACCAAGGTTCGTTTCCGATTTGCTATCCGGAGTGATCACAAAACATGCGAAAATAAAACAAATGTTTTCTGTCATCATTGAGACGTGAAAGCCCCGCGGCAGAAAGCCATGTGTTCTTCAGAGATCTTGTTTCAAACTGCTTTCAACATCAGGCTGTATAATTAAAACGTTCTTCTGTAAATTCTTTGGTCTGAGCAAGCAAACTTCTACCCCGGTGCTGCAAATGGACCTAGCAACTTTCTAGTTATGACGCGCCCTCAAGGAAGGTCTAGGCACAGAAGATTCAGCACGAAGCTATGACGACGAACGGGCAGTGGAAGCAACGCTCCATGCATTCTTCTTCTCAGCACTAGACAGAGGTGAATGGCCAGCTTTATAATCCCGTAGCAAACAGCCCTCGATACGCACTGGATGGGGGGCGTGGGCCCCACAGCATGTCCAGACAGACACTGAGGAGAGAGAGGCCCTGCAGGAATAGAACTCCGATTTATGGGTTCCACAAACCGTAGCCCAGTCACTACAGACTGAGCAATGGAGACCCCCAGAAATACTGCAGTGTCACTGGCTTTATCACGTCGTTAAGCACTTTGATGGAAGTGTCAGTTGAGACGTGTATGGGCGCCAAGTCGAGCCAGTAGACGCCACAATCTCCGTGTTTATATCCGAGATCAACGCAAAGAGATTTCAAGACAACCCAGTCCACAGCCCACACTGCCTGTGGACGCGGAAATGGGTTTAGTCGCTACTGAATCTTACAAGAGGGCCGTCTTCTGGGATGTGGCCCCGTGTAGATATTGTGCAAACCGACGTTTCGGAGGAACAACTGCAGCCACCTGCTCAGGCTAGTTCCTCGCTCGCGGATTTTTCTAGGCTGAAGATGGAGGCGATACATTCCTCCGAAACGTCTGTTCACACAATATCTACACAGCGCCACATCTCAGAAGACGGCATTCGTCATAGTCACTGCCGTGAAAACCTCAAATCTTAAATTTTCTTACAAATTTACGGTTAAGACTTTCTTTCTACTGACTGCCATACAGTATTCAGGTTAGAATAATATTTTTTAATTATTTAATTGTTGGCATCGCTTCTTTCAATTTTCATTTATTTAAATCCAGAATGAGGAGGGGGGGTCCCCTCGCTTACCCCACTCTGCCGGCGTAGCGGCCGGACCGGGAGCAACTTGTCCCTCCTACAGGACTCTCCCTGCGACATACCTGAGGCCCTCACACGCCAGTCTAACTTGTCCCTCCTACAGGACTGTCCCTGCGACATACCTGAGGCCCTCACACGCCAGTATTCAATAAATGACGTTCGGACAACTTTCCTTTCGCTTAATTTTAATTCACAACAATTTGGCGGCAGAAAGTAAAGTTGTCCTTTTGCTCAGTTATGCATTGCACCATTAAGGCGTATTGGGGGAATAACGGTATATCTCAACACATTGACCTCGGCAACAGAGGTGAGTGGTCAGCTTCAGCCTCGACCGGACGATACATATTAAACACAAAAAGGTAAAGAGTAAACTTAGTAATATTTACAGTTACATTTGAGTTGCCCGAAGGCAGGAAGGGAGCCCGGGTGCGGCTGAGAGCACTCAGCTCGAAGAGTCGGACGTCCCTTTCGTTCAAGTCGGCCCATACATTACGCATGCGCTAGGTGTGTGGAGCCTCTGGAACTTCTTACCATCAAACCTCTGTGCTCGTAGTTTGAGAAGAGTTCCAAGCTTGTTGAGCGTGTCCCTGACTGCGCGGTCGAACTCCCGCCGGCTCTGGGCACTGAGGTTGTGTTCCATTTCTTCTGTGCAACACGTCAACCCTTGCGGACACACACGCAGGTGCTCGCCTGCAACACATACAACTCACTTGACAAAAGTACCAAAGTGTGGCGTCTCCATAATAACTCAAGACATTTCCTGTCCTTACCCCAGCGGAGGTAAAACTTGCACTTAGTTGGTAATCACTAGGGACCGGATTTTAATGCAAATGCATATTTCTTTCTTGCAACCTGAAAGTATGCTCGTTTCGATATATGTATGAATTACTTCATTTCTTAACTTTTGGACGTGGTTTGATGGTGCATATAAATGCATATTTTGCCTGTTTTATGAATAAGCATCATATTTTTTTAAGATCTCTATTTATACTGCATATTTCCTTTTTGAAATATTTATCATATATATTTTTTAAGATTATGTTCAAATTTTCAATCCTGGTCGTGTGTGTACAATTTTTCTTTTCCGTATTAGAATATGTTGCATATTTGACTCAACATTTCGTCATGATTCATGTTTCTGATGCAATACCCAGGACGGGACTTCCCCGATTCCTCTACTCGTAACTTGCCTCATCCGCGTACCATCAAAATGGCCGCGAAGAGATTAGTCAGAAGCGTATCAACGTAATAATATTCAACCGATAAGGGACTTCACTTATTTATTTCCGAAGTCTCCATGAGGTTCGTTGCGCTTCTTCATTTGAAGCTGGGGGCCAACCACATTAGTGGTGACTGGTCTGTAGTTAAGTTTGTTTAGCTTTCTGTAGTCATGCCGAAAGTGAAAGTAAGTCAGGAAACTAAATTACAGATGTATCAGCGGGAGTTCGAAGGAGAGATGATAAGCACGGATAGCGAAATTCTTTATTGCCGAGCGTGTGAGAAAACATTTGGTTGTGAAAAACGCTTTCAAATGCTTCAACATTTGAACACTAATATACACAAAGAGAATATTAAAATTAAATCTACGAAAAGTGCTCCTGTTCAAAAATTGCTTAGTGAATTTTCTAATAATAGTTTTTCATAGTTTTTCACAGTTTTCCTTTGATTTATGCGAAGCCTTTTTAGCGGCAGACATTCCGCTGTGGAAACTAACCAGTCCTACTCCGAGAAACTTCATAGAGAAGTATACACAGTGCAAAGTGCCGGATGAATCTACTGTGCGCAAAAATTACGTGAAGCAGTGTTACGATCTTACAATTGAAAGCATTAGAGATAAGATTCAAGATAATTTTGTGTGGGTATCAATCGACGAAACGCAAGATTGTGAGGGACGGTTTATTGCAAATTATATAGTTGGGTCCCTTAATAAGAATGAACAATCTACCCAATATCTTCTTGCGGTAGAGCAATTTGAAACCACAAATAGCTCCGCAGTTTCCGGATTTTTTATCGATTCAATGAATTTACTATGGCCTAATGGCATTCAGTATGAGCGCGTATTGCTCTGTGTGACTGATGCCACAAGTTATATGATGAAAGCCGGTACTGCTCTTAAAGTTATATTTCCAATTATGATATATTTGACTTGCCTTGCCCGTAGGTTGCACCGTGTTGCAGAAACAATTCGTGCAAATTTTCCGCTTGTTGACAAGTTGGTGTCTTCTGTGAAGAAGGTATTTGTTAAAGCGCCATACAGAAAAGGAGCCTTTAAAGCAGTAGCACCGAGCGTTCCACTTCCGCCAGAACCAATTTTAACTGCCTGGGGCACGTGGCTGTGTGCAGCGAGTTATTATACCGAACATTTAGAAACAGTTAGGAATGTCGTGAATACATTCGATTTCAAAAGTGCAGCATCAATTCAAATTGCCCAAGATGTACTCAAAAACGCAGAACTAGAAACTAATCTTTCCTATATATCTGCTCACTTCTCTCCTCTTCCATCCGCCATTTCCTCACTGGAGGCAAGCAATAGCAATGCTACTTTGTATCAGTCGTGAAGTGTGTTCAAAACCACTTTTTCCAAATTGAATTCGGTTCGGAGGGGGGGGGGGGTACTGGCGGACGCTTGTACGCTCGGTGAGGAACATTCGGGCTCCATGAAAGGCTTCTCACGAAGGCCTCTGCTCCTTGGAGTTGGGTTAGTGTTTAAGCAAGAGAAACGCAAGGTACGGGAGGCGCTACCGACATCAGTGTGTACCAGTTCATGAGTTATTCATCAAACCGAAAAGCAAACAGGGCTCTACTTGCCGAACGTCAGGGCTATCACACACCTCAGGGACGGTGGTGCGTAATTATAACACGATTATATCATGGGAAAACCGAAGAAAACTGTCGCGGTAACAGGTCTATCACTACGAATCTCGTATGTGGCCTGGGACTGAACTCGGGGCTCCGGGAGTCAAGAAATGGAACAGAAATCAGTAACATCGCTTTCTATGCAGCGCTACGCCCAGCACGAACAGCAAACATGTAATTAAGAGCAAGCCGTTGGACACTCAATTAAAGCGGCTGATTTTAAAGGACTGCAGATTTATTATTTGGTACACTGCGTACTTTAAATACAATTGAAATCCAATATACAGTCAGTCGGCGAAGTCCCTCTGTTGTTCATACATTTCAATAGCCATTATAAACGTAAGCTAACATGGCGGCGGCAAAAAAAGATTAAAACAAATGCAAACGTTGAGAAAAAACTGTTCTCGTGTGCATTGTTAATGCGACTAGAATTTATGATACTATACGGCTCTACCTTTTATCTTTTGTTTTCTCAGACTCGTAGGCCTCAGCTGAGGCTATACGCAGCCGCGCATTGTGCTCGAGTGGACTGCCACGTATGTTTACTTGATTCGGTAGGGGACACCTCTTCCTCCTGTCTGCAAATCTACAGCCGACGGTCGCGTTTTCTTTCCCAGGATACACATAATTACACACACCGCTCCTCAGCTTACCTGCTTATGCAATAAACATAACAGAGCCTCACAGAGGACAACAGTACACATACAGCAACCGTTAATCTGAACACTTATCCTTCACGTTGTTTTCTTGTCTAAAGTAAAGTAAAGCTATCCCTGCAACAGGCCGCGGAGGCGCATAGGGTTGTGAGACGTCGAGGTTCCCACATTTTCTAGACAGTCAGCTCACAGATGGCGGCAAGGTTGTCAGCCCTACGCGCCGTCCGTCCTTTACCCCCAAGAACATTCCAAGAATATTCCTGGTACTCATTTCTGTTAGCGGCTGAGTCGACCCCAGGGCCATAGTGCGGCTGGAAGGGTTAGGTCAATTGAAAAAATCCAATTACCTCATCGGGACTTGAACCCACGACCTTCCAGCTTGTAGCACAAGTGCCTCAACCAACTACGCTACCGCGTGCCCCCAAAACAACGTACTATTTGGTATATGAAGAAGGCCGTGTTCTGGGATGTGGCGCCGTGGAGGCATTGTGTTAACCGACGTTTCGGAGGAGCGTAGCGCCTCTATCTTCAGAGTATAAGAAATCCGCGAACGAGGAACCAGCGTGAGCAGGTAGCTGTAGTCAAATCTTGCATATATGGTTTGTATCTGGGGTCAAAGGGTACGCCAAACAACCAGCAAGAAGCAACAGCAACTTGTTTCAAGCTTCTCGCTGCGTATTTTTTTCCGTCACCCTCTGATAACATTTGAGACGTTAATATTTGTTTCGGAGAACAATACATCTCTCTTCCTAGCTAATGTGTTCCCTGCACCTTTCTGATCCTTGGCCTATAGAAGCCGTCTCGAGTCTGGCTTCTAGACAGGGCAAACAAGAAGGGGGGCCGGATATATCCAATCGACGCGATGAGTGTCCCCCACCCCTCGCGCGTGCGCTCTGCATCATGAATGTGACGGGCGAAGACACATCTGTGACTTCAGGAAACATATACCAGATATCACAAGTTCCAAACACCCAGAACTGACAAATTACATTTAGACCCAACATCCGGGAAGTTTCAAACCACGTTAACCCCTTGAAGCAGAGACGAGTGAACAGATCAGTCAGGTAACCACTGATCCGTCGTTCTCTTTCGCGAACATAACAGTCAGAATGCGATGCCGTACAGTTTGGTACAAGTTCACCAATGTTTCCAACTAACATACCGCCTCCAACTACAGGGCTGTCACACTGCAGGGCACTATCTGAGTTTGCGGCAAAAGATTTACCGTGTTTAACCATTTTAAAGCATAGTGGTAAGCATATGTAACATCTGTTTTAACATTTTAATAAACAGTGATTATGTCTCTAAACAGCATTAACCGGTTGGGCTTTGTAGTGGAGACATAATGTTTCCTGTGAGGTACGAACTGTATGTATATATATACGGTCAGCACTTACATGAAACTTACGTTCCAAGCGGCTAATAGCAAACTAAACAGCGATATGTATGGTTTAAGGTTCTTCTGCCTACTTCGTGTAGGTTCGTTCCTTTGCTTACTCTTCAATCCTGAGGATGGAGGCGACATGTTCCTCCGAAACGTCAGTTGACTTTCACAGGATTATGGCGTTATATCCCATAAGACACGTCGATTAGTGAATAATGCACTGGGAAGGATTTGTAAGGAAGTGGTCGTGGGAGATACTATTCCGGCATTTACCTGGAGGAACTGAGGGAAGCCATGGGAAATCTGAGACCTCTCGTATACGAAGCAGGAGAGCTACTCACTCGACCGTGAAGTTTGGTGCTCAGAGGAACGTTCAGAACACACTTGTGCCATTTTTGTTTTGAACAAACATAACCGTAACACAGAACCTCCCTAAAGTCGAGAGGGACGGAAATGAAGCCATTAAGACCTGGCAACGTCGCCATACCTTTCCGACATGTTCACTTGTGTTCTGTAGAGCCGTCACCTTCCCAGCGGTAAGAAACACAAACACAATGACAACGAAACGCAGGGAGAGTCGCAGCGAACCGGACTGGCCAATGTCGCCTGCAGCAGCGTCATTTGCCACCCCTGGGAGTACGGCTACCAGCTACACCAATGCCCGAACTCTACAGAAGCGCATAAAATTCGTAACACCACGACCCCTCAAAACAAACATGAATTTATGCCGCTCCCCAAATCTCTGCCGGTCAGGAAATACTGCAGTCTGCGCACTGCTGAAGGTCCCTATCAGG